AGCGCCCTCCCATCCCACCCCCGCACCCCCTCCCCCGCACCCCCTCTCCCCCTCCCCCCCGCACCCCCGTACCCCCTCCTCCCCCTCCCCCCCCGCACCCCCTCCCCCATCGCTCCCCCTCCCCCCGCACCCCGTACCCCCTCCTCCCCCGCACCCCTCCCCCCGTACGCCCTCCGCATTTCTCTTCAGGTGTGTATCGGACAGACACGAATGAAGTAATAACAATAATTGTTATTATTGGCCTCTCGGAGCACTTCACAGCACTATATATATATATATATATGTGTGTGTATAATAATAATAATTCTTGCATTTGACACAGCGCCTTATCACGTCTTCGAGACGTCTCAAAGAGCTTCACAACATACACTGTGAAGTGGATTGACTATATTTTGCAGCAAAATATAGATATTTATAATAATAATAATAATAATAATCCTTGCATTTGATATAGCGCTTTTCACGTCGGGAGGACGTCCCAAAGCGCTTCACAGAACACACTGTAAAGTGAATTGACTGTATATTTGTGGGCGAACGCGGCAGCCAATTGCGCACAGCGATGTCCCACAAACAGTCGTAGATTGAAAATGACCAATTTATTATTGTTTAAATAATAATAATAATTATTTAAATAATAATATGCATCCATAATATGGATGCGAGGGTTAATTTCACCTTCAAAATAGTCTTAACACCTTAAGAGTAAATCCTGCAAAGCGCCTCAAGACGTCCTCCCTCCGTGAAACCTAATGCAAGGAATATCATTCATTTATGTGGAGTCCTGTAGTTCAGTGGGTAGAGACCTGAGTTCAATTCCCGGCAGAGGGCGAAACCTTGGGCAAGTTTCCTTACTCCACACAGAGCCTAATAATAATCCTCCAAAACCAAACACAATAATAAATTGGTCATTTTCAATCTCTGACTGTTTGTGGGACATTGCTGTGCGCAATTGGCTGCCGCGTTCGCCCACAAATATACAGTCAATTCACTTTACAGTGTGTTCTGTGAAGCGCTTTGGGACGTCTCGAAGACATGAAAAGTGCTATATCAAATGCGAGGGGATTATACCACGGTTACTGAATATAAAATACAGTGGATTTAGCTCAGGGTGTATTCGTGCTGAGGAACAGATCATTCTGTTCTGTTCCTCGGCACAAATGAGAAATTTTCTTTACGAGTGTTTTGTCTCAAGAGCTCAGTTTTTCATTTACATGTCATTAAGTGATTTTTGCCTGAAAATCTGTGCCCGAAAGCCACAGGTTTCACAGCCTCAGCTCGAGCAGCTGTGACGCGGATGAACCATTGGTTCAAAGGAGATGTCCGGACAGACGGACAACGTTGAAAAGGGAGCTATATTGCTTGTGGCCATGAGATAAAAGGGATCAATCGGTTCGGTTAGAAGTGATTTAGGAATAGAAAGTCAAAGAGATGTCGAGAAAGACAGCACAATACTCTATTTGCTTGGCAATTGTACATCAATGCTGATTTCATTTCGCCCACAAAATATACAGTCAATTCACTTTACAGTATATTCTGTGACGTGCATTTCGGTGACGTGATTAGGCGCTATATCAAATGCAAGGATTATTATTATTATCAATATTATATGGAGTGCCCTCCATATAGTCTCCAAACTTGCAGACTGTTGGAGAATCTGATGGTGTCCCTCTGGAGATGGTTGGAATATCTCATAATTCACTGAAGCCTTTTTTGGGGGGGAGGATTTTTTTTTAAAATAAATAAAAAAGGTTAAAAAAAAATGGAAAATAGGGTAAGTATTTGTTACCCCAATGTTCCAAATTACCTTTCAAACAACGCCAACACGTATCGCTGTAATCACGGAACACCGATTCAAACATTGGCATTATTTGGAGAAAAAAAACCCTGTTATTTCCTTCCCTATTTCTCTCCAGTGTGTCCATGAGCCGTACTCCCCGGATTCCTGCTGCGAAAATAAATGGAGAATGTTTCTGTGGCCTGTGTCGGTGTCGTGTCTCAGTGCTGTGCGCAGCTGAGACCCGGACAGAAGTTCCCTTGGCATTTGGGAGCTTTCTCATGTCCTGCACCTGGCGGACCAGCTGCAATTGGGGAATCCCGAGTGGGAATGTCAGACGAGGCTGGGATTTGAAAGTGGATTTGTGATGTCGCTGTATAATCTAACGGCAAGCAAGTCCTTTTTTTTCTGGGGGTGGGGGGGGTGGGGGATAGAAAATCCTGGTTTATTTTTCCACCCGTGTAATAATAATAATCCTTGCATTTGATACTGCGCCTGATCGTGTCATCGAGACGTCTCGAAGCGCTTCACAGGATCTACTTTAAACGGATCGACTGTGTATTTTGTGGGTGAAACGCAGCAGCCAATTGGGCACAGCAGTGACCCCACGAACAGTTGTTTGATCCTGGCACACTTTATGGGGAGGGAGCGGCAGTGTGTGTGTGTGGGGGGGGGAGAAGACATCAGAAGGCCCCAAAAAGCTGCACAGATGCTTCAATTTCAAACGTGATCGCAGCGATGTAATTTCCAGACTACACACCATACTGGATCGAGAGTTCAAACAGCCTCAAGCCTTTGCCAATGCGGCTGCCAAATTGGCTGCTCAGGGAAGCATGAGAACACCACCCTTTGGGAGGACTCACCGTCAGCACATTGCAGCGATGTAGAACATAAGAATTGCTGGACAAAAGAACAAGGTCCATCCAGGTCACCTGCCACCATCCTGACAGTCGCATGTCCCAAACTATCCCCTGTACAGCAGCAAGAGCAGGTAATTTGGCTCATGAAGCCTTCTGGCAGTTTATTGACATCGTTTATTCCTATTTCCCACCGTTTCCTCCGTACCACCTTGAGGTTCGCTTCCCAGATATCGGCTGCCGAGTTTTGCCCACGAAATACACAGTCAATTCACTTGATGTAAAATATATAAATTTCACACCGTATTCCGTGAAGCGCTTTGAGACGTCTCGAAGACGTATCAAACGCAAAGCATTATTACCATCATCTATTTCCTTTTTAAACATCCTAATTAATTGTGCATCTACAGTCCCTAACCCCTCACTCCCACTCCCCCCCCCCCCCCCAATAAACATCTGGGCCAAGATTGGGAACTCAAAACAGAATCCAACCACTCTTAACACCCAACTTGTGCAGTGCTACACCAGTGCATTTTGCCATCTGGTGGCCACCGATCATGTGTTGAGTTTCGATTGAATTGAATCAGAGCAAATCAGTTTTATTGAAACCCCTGGTGGGTCCTTCGCTGTGCGCTTTTTAACCGCCGTGTTTCGCCCACAAAATATACAGTCAATTAATTGACTTTACAGCATATGTCCTGCGAAGCACTTTGAGACATCTCAATGACATAAGGCACTATATCAAATGGAAGGATTATTACAGGGTGACCAAACAGTCGTGATACCATTTATTTGAATAATAATAACTATTAATTAGCATAATTTCTTCAAGGCTTATTGTAACGGTATCACAACTTTTTTGGTCACTATTATTATTAATCCAGATCCTTATTTTTTTTTTACAATTTGGATGAGCCCAGTTCTCCAGGTGCAAATTTGGTCCAAAAATTAAGATGTGGCTTTGAAACTGCAGCACAGAATTTGAAGCGCTGCTTAATTCAGTTTAGAGGGGGAAAAAAAAATGTAAAAATACACTAAAATATATTCCAATACAATTTTTGCACTCACATTCCATCATATTCTGTGATCTCAACAACAACCTACCTTTGTAAGCACCTTTCATGTCGGGAGGACATCCCAATTACCTTTATTTGTTTAGTGTCTGTTCAGACCACTTGTGTACTGCTTTTGTGATTTGCATCTATCATTTTCCCTTCCCACCGTTCCCCACTTAAATCCCCACTGGAATACGTTTGTGGAACACTGCTGTGAGCAATCGACTGCTGCATTTCACCCACAGTAAATTTTGCAGTGGTTTCTGTGAAGCGCTTTGAGATGTCTAGAAGGCGTAATGAGGCGCTTATATCAAATGCGAGGATTACTACTCTTATTAATATTGTGCAGTGGGTTATATAACTTTTTCAGGCTGAACACCACACCCTGATGGAATCAAACACTCTTACTTCTTTCTGTCTTCTTGGTTCACTATAACATCAATTGAGTCGCACTCCCAGCCACAATGGAGGGTCTTTTCTGTTCCGCAGTTTCAAGTAAATCTCGTCTCAACTTACGCGGAGACCCAGTCTTGATGCGCAGCTTCGAATCGCGCGTTGGCTTTTCGCTGTAAGACAAAATGCGTGTTCCTCTTCCTGCGACACAAAACCAGGGATAATGTTTCTGCAACTCAATGCTTTAACGAATACATGACAAGAATTAATATACGCAGTGCACAATACTGCAGGGAGAGTGCATTGCCTGTTAAACGTATTCATTTCGAAAACCGTTGTAATGAATGCAGGACTCCTCGCATGGCTCATTCATTAACAGCAACGACAGGCATCTTAACTGTACATATTTCAGCGGGTGGTATCCAGATGACAACTTGGATGAAGTCTTAAAATACAATCGTTGATCCCTGACCAACGCAGGGGCTCAGACGGTATGTGAGCTGAATATTTCACGAGCTGCGGATCATCCAGAACTCTGCAGCTCGTGCCCTCTCCTGCATCAGGCTCCGTGACTCTTATCACCTCCAACCTCGCTCGGCTCCACTGGCTCTCCATCCCCGAGAGGGTAGAATTCAAAATCCTCATCCTCACTCCTTCCCTACTTCTGGGATCTACTAACACCATATAAACTTGTCCCCTCCCTCTCCACTGCTGCTTCATGGCCCCCCCGCCCGGCCCCACCATTGGTGGTCGGGCCTTCAGCTTTTCTGCCCTCACACTTTGGAGCTCCATCCCACAGTCCCTTCATCTCGCTCCCTCCCTTGCCTCCTTCAAAGCACATCTCAAGACCCTCCTCTTCAACCATGCATTCGGCCACCCTCCCCTGGTCCCAACCCCCGGCTCGGGTCCAAATCCCTGACTGTCCAGCGGCTTGGGACGTCCTCCCACTGTGAAAGGCACTTTACAATTGTAATTTGTTGTTGAATTATGTCCACGAGTGTTTTGTACGTGTATGATATCCACAAGGGTGGATTAATGTTAGATGGGTACGGCGTAAATATATATATATATTTTTATAAAAAATGAAGTGAGATAACGCAAAGACCAAGATTATAAAGACAAGAAAAATTACCTTTACAACACAATCGCTTCGAAATGCAAATAATAATAATCCTCATCACTTCGTTGAGACATCTCAAAGCGCTTTACACAATGTACTAATGTATATAGCCCACAATCGAGATCTGTGTTGGTTGTGATACAAAACACATTGAATTAATGAACATTTCTTATCAGGAGGAATAAAATGTTCAGACTTTGGGAAATTTAAGGACTATTATTTGGAACAGCTATTGTGCCGCTACGAGTCATGTTTTGGGAGTAAAAAAAATGTAATAAATGGCAGCTATTCTGAATGCTTATATTCTTTTGGCTATTGTAAATGTATTGTTGGCAAGATTGTTTTTGGTTTCAGCTGCAATGAGCAATGACCTCATCGGGGATCCTGGGTTCAGTAAGAGGGGCTGCAGAGCACAACAGTGTAATTGGAAGTGAATTAATAACAGTAGAGATATGAGCCATTAACCTTAGGTGTTTCAGGCTTCAGCTGTGCACATCAGTTCAGATGCCCTTTCACTGTAACTCAGCAATTCCTTAGAGACCAGTCAACCCTCCCTCACCCGGTGATGTAATCAGCAATTACTGCTTAAAACGTTTTCCATTACCACCTTAAACCTTAAAAGTCACACCCATTTTACACAGCACACACATACTTTAATATATATATTATATACACACACACACAAAGTGTACACCTTACAAAGAAGGTTTTCTTCTGCAGATTACGGTGTTGTATTTAAAAGGAGATTTGCTTAATCCTGAGAAATTGAGGGGGGAAATGTGCAGCAGAGGCTTTACCTGGTAAAGATTGGAGCCAAGGTTCCTAAAAACAAGGTGGGGTTAAGAGGGAGTTTTCGGGATCGACTGTTTCAGTCGCTCGCTTATTGATCTGGGTGTGGCTGGCTTCCGATCATAAAATGCAGCTGGCAAAGCCATCATCTTAAAGAGAATTGCGTACATTTAAATGACCTCTTCCCCCCCCACACCTGTCTATGGCTGTCTTCCATTCCAACAAATAGACTTCATTCCAACAAATTCAAGAAGCTTTACGTGAATTTCCGCTCGTGAATATTTCTCCCCTTTTCGGTCAAAAATTACTCGAATTTTAAAAAAAANGACAAATCCCACACGAAGGTATGAAACCAGCTTAGAAAAAACTGGATAAAATTTATAGGCATAGGCAGAAGAAAAAAAAAGTTGCAGTAAGATGCGATAGGATGGAACCTGTGGCTGTTCTGTTCCTGAACTTACAAAGAATCATTTCCCCCTCAGCACCGATAATTTTTAACGTTACTTAGCGATAAGATTGTTTGAATCCTAACCCTTTTTTTTAAAAAAAGCTAAGGTTCCTATCTGGTGTAACACATAGATAGCGCTCCTCTCTCCTCCTGCTTCCCTTTAGGATTTTAACAATTATTTTCCCCTTAAAATTGTATTTTCCCGACAAAGAGATTCTGTTGTATTTCAGAGGTGTTGTATTTCAGTGGTGGGTTAGCTTTATGGGCAAACATTTAGAGCTCCGTATAAACTTGCTGATACACTGTCACCCACCGTTTCAACAACAAGATTACATCTGTATAGCGCCTTTCACGTCGGGAGCATTTCAGACCTGAGCTGGGGTCAGGGAGGGAGAAGGGGGGGGGGGGGGGGTGACCGATGGCCTGGTCGAAGAGGAGGGTTTTCAGGCGGGACTTGAAGGAGGCTAAGGAGGGGGCGAGGCGGAGTGATTGGGGGCTGGAATTCCAGAGTTTGGGGGCAGAGTGGCTGAAGGCTCTCCCGCCAATGGTGGGGCGGGTGGGTCGGGGGACGTGGAGTAGCCAGAGCCGACTGAGCGGAGGGGGCGGGCGGGTTGGTAGGGGGTTAGGAGGTGGCAGAGGTAGGGTGGGGCGAGACCATGGAGGGCTTTGTAGGTGAGGACCAGGATCTTGAACTGGATCCTCTGAAGGATAGGGAGCCAATGGAGTCGGGCGAGAGTGGGGGAGATGGGGTCACGGAGTTTGCTGCGGGAGAGGACACGGGCTGCAGAGTTCTGGATTATCTGCAGTCTGTGGAGGGAAGAGTTGGGAAGACCCACAAGCGGTCAGGAAGGCATTGAGTCACTGGGTTTGCCTCCACGACACCCAAACTCTCCATGGGTGTGTAGACAGTGAGAGTCAGCAGACTATTTTCATCACCTGCACACAGTCTGACACAATTCTCAACCAGACAGACGTTCACATATAAAATACCTGAATTTTCAACAACAATTTGCGTTATATAGTGCCCCTCACACAAGAGTAGCTTCCCGGAGTCCTCGACAGTGGTGGAACACGATGCTGAGCCAAGGCGAGGTGACAGTACGCTTTATGGTTACAATGGCCTCCTCCTGTTCTCTTATCTTCCCCCAATTACTCAAGTGCAGCAGGGGAGGTTTGTTTACATTAGCAAAACTCAGCAGCCATTTTTGCACACAGCAGGGTCCCATAAACAGCCCCAAGGTAGAGACTACAAACAACGTCAAAACATCTCAAAGCACTTCAGAGAATTTGCCGTGAAGTGTCGGGGCTGCGTTTACGTGGGGAAATAGCCAACAGATAGGAAAGGCTGACAGCCGGGAGAAACTCCCTTCTCCTTTCTAATATTCGCGGCTTCTACATCCTCCAAAGGTTAGCGAGGCAGCACTCGGCATCACAGCTCATCTGAAGGACGGCATCTCTATGTGTATTGCACTGGAGGGTCAGCTTGGACTATGAGCTCAAGTCTGGACATTGATCTCGAATCCACAACGTAGCGAGTGCTGCCTGCCAACTAAGGAAACTATTAAAAGACAACGCACAATAAAACAATAATAATACTTGCATTTGATACAGAGGCTTATCAAGTCATTGAGAAGTCTCAAAGCGCTTGAAATTGAGCAGATGATGAAAATAGTGGACTTAAGACTAGAAAATCTGTGCATTTGGGGTGGGGGGGGGGGCGGTGAGGAGAAGAGGAGGAACCGAGAAGAGAAGGAAGGAGGAGAGAGAAGGAAATCCCAGCAATAGGTACAACCTTAAATCCACTTGATCGCAGAAGGCAACGAACGACTCAGCTGTATATTTGGATGTGTATCACCGTTTATTGGAATTCAAAGGCTGGGAGCAATCAGAATAGTCCATCGGTATCACCATTCTGTGCAGGTTTATTTATCATTTTAAAAACAGTTCTGTGATTACAACAGCATTCATAGAAAAAAAAATCCAGCTTTTCAAAATAAAAGTCAGAAATTCAAGTACCTGGAGCAAGGAGCAGTGTTACCAAGAATGAAGGTTTTTTTTGTTGGAAAATGTAGCTTTCATATTTCCTCATTTTTCTTGCCTCAGTGCCGGAATTTCCAGTTCGTTCGATATCAGGATAAAATGCTTACATCAGTACTACCAAACTACCATTATAATTGGCTAAGAGTTTTCAATTTACCTTATACAATAGATTTGAGATTCTGTGGCTGGCCGGTTAGCAGCAAATTAGCAACTCTTCCAGCCCAGAAAGACACCTTTTCCTCTACGCAAGAAAGCTTTACAGGCCAAATTAGTACTTATTAAATAGGTTAAAATGAGTGTAATAAATATACTGAAGAGGTCCCAAGCTTAAAATGGAGGGGAGGGGGGGGGGGGGTCACCAATTGTAATGAGTGCGACCCCCACCACATTGTAGATTCAGTCAAAAATACCAATAGAGTGAATGTAAGGAATTAAGTATGGCCGCCAATTTGAATCGTTAGCTTTGTCTTGTGAAGGGCTCTGGGGGCTAAAAAGGCTTATCATCGTTCAGGTTTCTCAATAGGTCGCACTATATATATTTTTTTCTAAAAAAGTAACAAAAACAACCTCTAAATTTAGATCAAATTATCAATCGATTTACGTAGACTTTACGCATCCAAACTGGAGGGGTGTTTGTCTTTACCCCACGTAATGCAATAATGAACTCATAATCTACCTTACATCTGTGGCATCTTTATTACAAGAGTAGCTCTGATGTGCGAGTAGAATCTACACGCAAAAGTGCCTTAAAATGTATTCTCTGTTGGCGGCACTTGAATGTAAAAGAACAAATCCCTCATTGATCCAACAATATCTGACCTTGGCAAAGTCACATTGGCTCAAAAGATTACACGAGGGATCTTGCTAGAAAAAAAACGAGGAAGAGGAAAATGGTTAACGCAATCTGAAGTCTTATTTCAAAACCCTATATTTTAATAGTCTAGTTTCAAGTGTATGGCAATATTGTGCAGAATTATGATGGAGAAGGGAAAGTTTTTTTTAAAAAAAAAGTCCTTTTAATAAAAAAAAGCTGACTTACCTTTAATATTCTAACTTTACGAGGAGTTAAATGTCTTGAGCAACTCCATTATTGACACCCTATGATTTATTCAACGCAAGAGAAATAATCAAACTTGGTCGGGATGTTTCACAGATTAATTAGTTGTGTGTCCTATTGATTTATGACGCCTCTTAACGAAAGGCAGTGGTTTTAAACACTTTAAATGGTAAGCAGCAAATAGCTAGCCACCACTCCAGGTACCATCATTGACTTTTAGAAAAAGAAGGCAAAGAATTATAGGAGGTACCAGTGTGGATTTTACGCTTGTGAATACATGGCGGACACTTGAATTGATTGGACCATTAGACTTGGGATGTTTATGAGGTACTTGTTGGCGATGCATCATGGAACAGGTTGAATTCTTCTATTCTGCTTTTTAAAAGAAAATAAATGTCCTCCCATTCCCTTCCCAAAGGAGAGCAAGGAGGTTGCTGGATAGCCAAGTCACCAAGGGAGCTGCAAATACATTTTGTTTTAAAAAAAGGGGAAACTAGTCCATTCGATTTAACAGGAAATACAGATCTGATCAGATTCCAAGCACACTGAAATTGTGAATTAAGAGTCTTGGAAAAATCCTCTGATTCGTGTAAATTAAGGTTGTCGGAAGATAATCCAAATACTTAACAAATTACGATTGCAACCGCGTGAAAATTCACAAATAGCCGGCGTTCACATGAACCGAGCAGGAAGGATTACAACAGGTGCGGGTCGAAAGAGAGTTTCCCCGTTGTAGGTTCCATTCACTCAACAAGTGCGCGAGAAATATGGAGTCCATCTCGGTATGAAGCCTTCTGCCGTGAGACAGGAGGAGCTCGTGGAAAGATGGGAGTGCCCTCTAGTGGGCCAGAGGCCAGCAACGAAGAAAGCCAGCAGGACATGAAGGGAATCCTCCCTCCACACTGCAGCGGAGATGCGCGCGAAGCCGTCGTTTCGAAGGCGAAACATAATTCCAATATTTCAGATCGTATCGCGGAAAATGTCAAGTTACAGGGAGCGCGGCGGGGTAAGGGTTAAAAATACTGTCTGCGTGAGGTTCTGCGTACGGAAGCAAACTTGAGGGGGGAGGAGGGTGGGGGAGGGATGGAGACGGAGAAGAATGTGGGCCGTTAAATCTGCTTCAAGATAGAATTGGCATTAAACTGCACGGAGAAAATACATATCGGGCTCGGCCGTATTTATATATAAAAAAATATGAAAAATAATGAGAAGCAAACAATTCAAAAACACCTCTCGTCTAATCCTGTGAGCCAACGGATAATAATGCCTCTCGATTCTAACCTCAGGGATTTTTTTTTTTCTTTTTAAATTAATTAATTAAGGGCAAGGGCCTATACGCACATCACTTTGGTTTTGAGGAACATGTAGTGCAGCAAACCAACTGTCCCTTTAGCAGCGAGTGGTTGCAAGAGTAGAGCAATAATTTCAACCTAAAATACAGATATACATCCTCCATTAATTCACGGTAGCTCAGACCGCCATTTCAAAACTTGCTGCAAGCTTGCCCGTCGCCTCCTCCCCTCCCCCCCCACCCTCACCTAAACGCGGACTGGTCGTGTACATCTGTTACTGCAAAAAAAAAAAAAGGTATTTTAAATTGTACCCAACACCTCGGAACATTTTCCTTCCAACCGTTTTTTTTGTCCTTTTAAATTAAATTTATTTACAGACATTGTTTTTATTTTATTTTTGTTTTTAAAGTTGATTTTTTCAGCTCACCCTCTCATACCAGTTCAGCAAACCGCTTGCCTCGAGAGTTTCAACGTCAAAGCAGAAAAGCAGATTTGTTCTCGGGTTCTCATTAACCTGGTCGTCTAAGTTTGGAACTACAAGCCTTTTTTTTCCCTCTCTCTCCCCATCACTGCGTCCGGCTCAGGTAACACTTCACTGCAAGGAACGATTTGCATGTTGCTTCTCTCTCATCCAGGTGTGGATCTTTTCCTTCAGTTCAGGCACTGCAACAGATACAGAGAAGCACTCCAAGGTAATGAATTAAGAATAACAATCCTTGCATTTGATATAGCACCTCATCACGGCGTCGAGATGTCTCACAAGAGCTTCACAGTGAACTGATTGTATTCGTGGGCGAAATCTGGTAGCAAATTGCGCACAGCAGTGTCCCACAAACAATCGTGGATTGAATGACTGCATTTTTTTTCTAGCAGGGATCATTAGCCCTGCAAAGCTATCCGGCAATCAACTACCAAGAGGGCTTACTACTTACGGCTAAATAAACAGGGAAGCTTTCTTACTCCAAACGGCTCTAAGGTTTTGCCCCGCCCAGGAATCAAACCCGGGTCCTCTGCTTGTGAAGCGAGTGCTCTAACCAACGTGCTACAGGACTCCACAACTGGATTGAAATAGAATAGCATTTCTCCCTGCCTTGCCCCCCACCCCAGGCCATTTCTCCATCTTTAACCATTTATCTCTTCGCTCTCCTCTCGCTCTCGGGAATTCATGCTCGGGTCAGGTTTCACAGGCTCTGGTGGCTCACGCCCAAACAGCCTCATGTGCAAGTCCATGTTATGAGCGCTGGCAGTGAATTCAATTGCAGACTGCATCGTACATAATCTTTCAACATGGCCACTGTGGCGGGAGGAGAAAACCTTCCATTTATGCATCTCAGGGGTTCACAACCTTGCATTTTGGCTGCTGAGGGCTGGATGTGATACGACAGATCAAATACCCCTTTTTTAAACCACTGCTCATATACCCCTTTACCTGGTTCCAGCATATTCTCCGTCAAGTGTTGTCGGTTAAATGGGTCTGTTGGAGAATTTAATAAGTGTCTTAAAATAATAGAGCGGTCCATTATGGTCCCAGAGGGCAGCTTCACAGGATCATTCATCAGGGTGTCCATCAGTGGATCTGTAGCAAGAGAAACCACACAACCATCACACTGGCTGCTATCACAACAAAATGCTCAGCGAATAGCCAAAATCCAGCAGCTAAATATATGGATATTTAGGACTGGTACAACATTATAAGCAGACATTTGAGAATGATGAGCTAAAGTCCAAAGTGATTTCAATTCAACATACCAAAATCATCAATTAATAGTGCTCAAAAGCAAATATCAAATTAATATGAAGCAGTTTTATCAATAATAGTAATAATAGCACGCATTAATATAAAAGCTTTCACGTTCTAAACAAACACCTTAAATTGCTGTACAAGAAAAACTGAGAACCCGGATGGGGTTGTTGTGAAATTGTAAAACCAATTTTTTTCCAGGTGCAACCAATCTGAATCAAGCTTCAATTACTTTGTAGGTGGGCACTTTGGATAGCCTTGGAACCAATTCTGACAAACAACTGGAGGAGGTTACAGAGCTAACGGAGCACTATTAAAGCATGTCAAATACTCCCTACATTTCTAGTCCAATGCTGCTTTTGAAGGTTTTCATATGCACTTACCTCTGAACTCATCCGGGGCATCCCCATAGTCAATCTCTGCCCGTGCGTTCTTTGTGACGATTTCTTCCACCTTTTCTGCCAGCAGCCGAAACTTCTCGATTGCGATAGTCGACTTGATTCCAGCCTTTTTCATTTTCAAAATGACTTCGTCAAAGAGTTCTTTACTGTACGATCGCTGCACCAGAAAAAAGGGGGAGCAGGGGGGCCAAGATACACAATCAATTCACTTTACAGTATATCCTGTGAAGGGCTTTGAAACATCTCGAAGATGTGATAAAGCGCTGTATCAAATGCAACCATTATTATTATCATCATCATTATTATAAAATGCTAAAGGCTCTCCTGAAAGTTTCAGATGTGCCAACACAGAGCAAGAGGACACAGGTAAAGGAGATTATCGACTTGATAAGGCACTACATCAAGTGCAAGGATCAAAGCTAAGTAGGAACCCGATCCCTCAGTCGTGTATTACTATTAATATTATTATTGAACACAGAAATTAGATCTTCACAAACCTGATCATCAGCAATGGCCTTGGCAAACCGGGGACAGTCTAAGTGCAGGTAAATGTCAGTCAGCTGATCCAAAAGCTTCTTCGGTTCAAACCCATATTTCTCGGGATTTTCGACTTTCAGGTCGCGGCATTTAGGCCCACACAACTGCTGCAGATTGAAATTCAGCATCGCTGCTAAACGTGGACCAAGTTCCTGCAACGCACAAGGTTTTGGGGGGTGGGGGGGAGAAATTGCTGCTCAAATTTTTTTCTTAATGGATCCGTATCTATCTGTGCGCTCCCTCAGCTCAGCGGGCTCGGGCCTGCTCCACCCCCCACATCGACGGTCAGGCTTTCAGCCTCTCTGCCCCCACCCGTTGGAACTCCATCCCACAGTCCATTCGCATCCCTTACCCCGTGTGGCCCACCTAAAGACCCCCCCCAATCTACGACCGTGCCCTCGGTCACTATCCTACCCCTACTCTCCCTGCTCTTCAGTTAGACAGGAAGGAGTTTTCAATAGTGTTAATGCCACAAACCGCAAGTCACATTTCCCCGCCAACCCCCATGTCTTTGGCTAATGGAGATAAGGTAAGAGTCGTTGAGAGGTTTTACTCACAGGTCTGAGGAAGGGTTTTTGAACTTGTTTGGTGAGATAATGGAACATGTCCACAGTTTCAGCACCAAGAGCAAGGTATGAACGAGACACACGCTCATCCTGGGTTAGCTGTGATTGCCGACTCTGCTGCTGGTCCTATGGAAAGAAGAGCTCTCACGTCAGTGTTACCAACTCTCCCACACAACACACAGTCAATTCATCACTTTACAGTGTATCCCGTGAAGCGCTTTGAGACGTCTCGAAGATGGGATGAGGCGCTGTGTCAATTGCAAGGATTATTAGTGTTAAACAAACGTGGTAGGATGTATGCGGTGAAGGACAACACAGGTTTTGAGGCGTCCTACCGATGCGAAAGGTGTCATAAATATAAATCATGTTGTATTTTATTTCTTACCCTTGGCAAAGCATCCCAGCGTTCTTTGTTCTTCATTTCCTCCTGGACCTCATGAATCCTTTTGAGAGAATCCAAGCTCTCGTCTAGTAGGTATGTTGTATCGTTGATCAACATATTGATGTAGCGAACAAACTGCTTTCCAGAGCTGGGATTGTATATTAAAAAAATCACACAATATTACTGTGAAAAAGCAAATCACCCCGAAATACAATGACTGCTTCAGAGGCTGAACACTCTGCTGTGCATCAACAAATACAGTCGATTCACTTTACAGTATATTCTGTGAAACGCTTTGAGACGCCTCGAAGATGTGATAAGGCGCAATATCAAATGCAAGGATTATTATTACTGATTTTAATCTACAACTTCTCATCGATTGGCAATTTTAAAAAAAACTTTCCTGAAATGATTGATGATCCATCTCCCACCCCCCCACAGAAAGAATCAATGACCAGAACTGAGTCAACTTACTTAAACTCTTCCATAAAGGTGCCTTGATGTGCCACATTCTGCCAGAGACTCTTGAAGATTGTGCTGATGTGGTAGCGAATAGTAAATTTATCATAGAACTCGCTCGTTGCTCCTGTATGTTCAACATCTGGGGGGGGACAGATGTGCAAATGACTATTAATAAGGATCATTAAGTTTTTGCTGCAGCTTCTAAAAGGCATGCATTGAAAAAGTAAAAACTAGCAATGCTGGAAACCTGAAATAAAAAAAAATGATTTATGATGAATGCTTACACCCAGGATACCAAGCAGCTGTTTCAGAGACCGATCAACCGACTGCATCCACAAGTATTTCTGCTTTTATTCTACGATGTCCAATGCTTTTATTTACAGTTCAGCAAAACTTTCCAATCCGAAGGCTACCATGTTAAAAGACTTTCCTGAAACGATTTGTGATCTTTCATCAATTGCTGTGCGCGATTGGCTGCCGCATTTCGCCCACAAAATATACAGTCAATTCAATTTACGGTATATTATGTGAACCGCTTTGAGACGTCTCAATGATGTGATAAGGATGGGTATTATTATCTCTTCCTAGTTCCTGTCTTTAACACTGACACAAGTCAACTACCACTTCCTAGTCCACTAGGAAATGTGCTACAAAATAGCTAGAAAGACAATTAGCTTAGTTATTCAACAACAAATTCACATGAACATATAGAGGTTGGACAAAAGTCTTTCAGTACAGTACGAATCCACTTACAATTTCTATAATCTACTTGGGAAAGACAGCATAACCTATGCTTAAAGTCTGCTATCCCTTTCATTGAAGTTGCATTAAACAGGTGTAAATCTTTGCCTGTCCGATGTCCTCCTGAAGTGAAAGGCGTTGTACAATTTGTTGATGCTATTGAAGCATAATTAATATGGCCCCAGACACATAAAGCGCTCTAGAGTATTCACCAAATTTAGACACAACCTGATAGAATCTGAAACGCACACCATGTTACATTAACGACCAAGACATCTCTCCTTCCTTCAACACATACCTGTGTAAAATTTCATTAAAGATGGCACCAGTTGCTTTGTGGCCAGCGGGTGATTCTCCAGGATTTCATAGAATTTCTGCGTTCGAGGCTGAACTGCTGGGTTTGTCACAAACATGACTTCCACCAGTTTGGCAATCAGGTATGGATTTCGGATATAGTTCTGACTACAGATAAATACGATGAGGAAGGTCACTACGTCCTGAGTGCAAGGCTCATACAAAACCTGAGGGGAATATCTGCAAATGCAAGTTCAGACAGTTTTATTTTACATATACACAATAACTTGTATTTATATATTCATGCAGGGTAGCGTCCCAGAGAGCTTGACAGTGGCGGAGCAACCCCTCACGATCACGATCCAGTAACATTGCTGGATGCATGTGTATCGTGGCGGTGGGGAAAGTGAATGAAGAAATCAAGAAATGGATTGAACTGGTTTTGGCTTAGCTGCTCGCACTCAGCCTAGCCTCCTGTTTGAAATGTACAACAGGCCTTGGCCTCTACTTTGAAGGCTCAAAGTTAAACAGCCTGATGCTGACCACTGTCCAATATCACGGGGGAGGGTGGGGGGGTCAACAGGAACACGAGCAAAGTTTTTGAGCCCCGTGGTTTGTGAAATCAAAGCCCCGGAAGGGTTAGAAAAGAGGAAAGAGCAACAGAGTCAAACATTGTGTCCAGAGATAAAAATTCTCAAGTGCTGCATTGCCAATCCCATTATCAGCAAGCTTCAGTCATCGCTTCACCACCCTACACCGCACCTTCCACTCGACTGTAAAGATTCACTACTTACTGTACAATAAACAGCAAAAATTCAGCAACGTCTTCCAAATAGAATTCAGGCAACGCTGCAAACACCTTGGGGACCTCTGCGATCAGGGGCAGTGTCATGCTATCGGCGGACGGGGGGGGGGGGAGAAAAAATTACATTGAGCAAACTTAGAATTCGTGAAAGAAGACTCCTCATTGGATGATTTCAATTTGTTCAGCAGTCAATTATTTATCAGCATACTCTTTTTGCTCGTTTACCCAGCAACAACTCACACTTCTATGCTGCCTTTTACACACAATGAACGGTTTACAAAATATACAACAACAACTTGCATTTATATAGTCCCCTTCACGCAGGGTAGTGTCCCGGAGCGGTGAATATAGTCAACCACGTTATAATATATTCTGTGAAGCGCTGTGAGATGTCTCAATGATGTGATAAGGCGCTAAATCAAGTGCAAGGATTATTATTATAAAATCTTACTCTGGGTAGCGTGGGTCAACCATACGAAAGATCAACTGGATTAACGTGCCGTAGAACTGGAGGCACCGTCTTAACAGGTTTTCATCCAACAAGCCAGCATCAGCACAGGCCTTGCTCCTCACCAGTTTCTGCATTTAAATACAAAGAATGCACCAGTAAAATTCCACAAGAAGATATAATCGATCAACACACTAGGATTAAGTAACCCTTAAGTATCTGTTTACCAAGTCCAACGTAGCATCAAGCAGACAGAGATTCGGTCACCTTTCTCTCCCACCTGAAAATACGATAAATTATGCAGTGCTGGGAGAGTCATCCTTTAGATGAAATGTTAAACCATTTTTTCTATATGTTCAGGTGGGAGTTAAAGACTATGTCAAATGTAAGGATTTATAATACTCATAGTGCTTTCTGCAACACCTCTTCCATACCTTCAACTGAGTTTTGCAGCGTTTCAGCATTTCTCGATGTCGGTTTGCTAGAGGAGAATCCTTCCACTGACTCTCACTATTTTTCAGTTCTTCAACTGTCCTACAATAATAAAATGAGAACCAGTGAAAAGCAGATCAATGCATCGTAAAATACTGTACATGACATTGTTGATCTATTAAGAGTGTACCTTGAATTTATGGATTGGCAAGCATATTTTACTGGGGACTAATTTTTTTTCAATGGCTTCAGGTTACAGGAGCATTGCACTATACAAGAACACAGACATCTGAAGCCATAGCCATAAGTGCACTTGGGTTACCAATCGCAAAGTAATAAGAACAAAGATGGGCATTACTCTTTTTTGTAGATAAACACAAGTTTTTTTAATATATATTCATTTATTTTGGAGACAATCCCTTTCTTCTCTTCAATCAGTATCATGGGATCTTTACCATCACCCGAACAGAAAAGATTTTCATTTTGAACGTCTTATCAGAAAGATGGCATCCGACAATGCTGTGTTCCCTCAGAAGAGAATCGAACCCACAACCTCCTTGTTGCAGAGGCAGAATTGCTACCGGGTGACACATAAACACTGGATTCAAACAAGTGTCACTCTTGAAAGCCGAGGAGTCAGAGATGGACCTATTCTATTCAACTTGAGACATCTCGAAGACGTGATAAGTCGCTATATAAAATGCAAGGATTATTATTATTATTTAATGACCTTACGCGAGACTTAAAAGCTGAACCTGAGACAAGCACAGCTCCTCCCTACCTGTTGAGATCTCGAATAGCTCGTAGTCTTCGGATATATCGGCGACAACTGGGAAGAATGGCGAGATGGTGTGCGTGTAGAGTCAGGAAAAAACATTCTGTTGGGAATTTGGGTTCTGCAAACTTTGACTGCTCGTCTGTTTAAGAGGTGGTGGTGTGGAAAGTGGGCGAAAGAAAAGAGAAAAATTTGTAGTTTTAAAAAAAAAACTAGATTAACTTGGCTGGATCCTGACTGACACAATCGAGGTAAGAGGCTCACATAAATAATTATTGAAATTGCTAGAAGCCGGGATTTGTGGCAGTCGCATCAATTACAGAGGCGAATATTTACAGCATTAAAACATCTTTACTTCATGTGCCTTCTGAATCCATTCACCCACTAAAAACATTACAGCACTAAACCGCAGAGAACAGACCACTTACAAAGGTTAAAGCAAGGTTAGCCCAACCAACACTTTGTCCCCAGTACTCACTTGGAAAAAATTAGAAATTTAAGCTTTACCTAACCGAATGATTCTCTCATCAACTCAGATAAACTCCCTCTACTTCCAATCTTACATAACAATTGCAAGTCGGAAAAAAAGACCCAAATCCATTCAGTTCGCCTTCCACCATCCTGGCAATCGCGTGTCTATATTGAGTTCAATCTTGCATTTGGACTTACTGAGCTCTGCGAGCCAACTTTTGATGTCCTCCATAGAGGCTTTGACACGCGTCTCATCAGCAGGTATGTTAATGCGACACTTTGGATGGAAAATATACATTGGGTCAACAGTTTCCAGCTTGATTTTGGTACTCAGTTGCTGCAACACCCACAGGAAGTTCAGCATAAACCCATCCGTGGATACCAACCGGTCATCTGTCTGTTAAAGAAAATAACACCATTTTCAAAGTTGAATAAAAGCTCTGTGGACTGATGCTATGTTTTTCCACACTATTCAAGTCACAAAAAAGTTTTTATTTTACACTTAGTTATTCCATTCGCATTGCGCCCACCTTTCACCTCGGGAGGACGGCCCAAAGCGCTAATAGATATTTTTAAAAGTGTACAAGCACTTTTAAAAATGTTTTCAAAGCTATACTTTACAACACAACATCAACCAATGAATAAGACTCTTCTCCTCTGGGGATTTAAGCACAAGTTGTGGAAAACGAAGGACAATTGAAGGAAAAGTGCCCTTGAATCATCCGGCTATCCTCAACTTCCGTGTATATTGTAAAGCACTCAGAATTCACATCCTACATTCCAGGAAGCAATCTTTAGAGAAGGCATGGAGAGAGCTTTAAAATTAACTTTTATTCACAATACAACACACTTAAAGGGACACATTCGACAAACTCCTCTGTAGCAGCCTTTAATTTAGGAAACAAACCTGCATGGCAAGGTACAGGAATTAGCTCTTCAATCTGTGTAGATAATGTGCCAGGAACCAACAAACATCTAAGGCATATTACAAAAAAAAAGCCTCATACTTACTTGCATCTGTGCTTTCTTCATATTGCGGTTTACCACAGATGCCATGTAATTTAAAGCAGCTTCTCTGGTCTCACCATTAAGTAAAATGTTGTGCAAAATTTTGAAGAGATCACTCTGCAAAATAATGAAAGAACATAACAGGCTAGGATAATAAATCCTACACAATGAGAGAGAGACAGAGACATACCAAGTGTCTGATTTAGCTGAAGGTACAATTTATAAGACTTGAATAACAAACAGCCGGATTTGAAAAAAAGAGATGCACACTATCATTTTGAAATGCTGGAAAAACACTTTGCCGATATAAAGCAGCACCTCCGTGGCTCGGCTGACAATGTCACCCAGTTACATGAGCCACAAACCCACGCATTCCACACACACACAGAAGCACAAGGCAACTGTAGCTCCCAATCCTCACCGCCCCTCCCACTGTTTCAGCTACCATTAGCTTCAGTGGCAGATTAGCTGCAGCACAGGAAGCTATCCACGTCACGTACACCCGCACCGACATCTCGGGTTTGCAAACAAAAAGCCATCGACACTGAACGAGCCACGTTCTTAAGTCATCCCGGCCCAAACCAACCCATTTCACACAAGGGGTTAGTTTGAAGCCCAGTGATTGTTGTGCAGAACGCACAATTGTCCGGCTTGTGTGGCTCAGTGCTACCTTGGGTGGTCCCTCCGCCCACTTGGTATTCAAGCAGCTTCGTGAAACTTTCAAATAGAAATGATTCACCTCCCTGGAGGCTGAATGCATTGCACCAGGTTTAGGATACTGATAATAATAATAAATGAATAATACAATTAACAACAACAAAAACTTGCATTTTACACATCGCCCTTCATGTAGCATGCCTCAAAAAACTTACTTCAGTTTAAGCTTTTCAGCAAAATGAAATAATAGAAAACTTGGATATCACTAAGGTGTTAAGAAATCTTAAGCAAGGCACGATGCTTATTTAATATTAGATATCATGAACCATTATGAGTGACATTTGTTGACACCTCATAGCGACATGGCATCATGCACAACTGGATGAAGATCTTTATTGGCAGGAAAATAAAGACAAATAAAAAAATATTTGAATAAATGATTTCCAATGGTGATAATCTCACCTTGAATCAGTTACTTACCCTGGCTGACTCCAGATGGTGTTGCAAGGACTGACTAACAACTCTGGTGTTTTCAAGGGTAAGTGTAGGTCCTGAGAAATATTTCTCCACAACTCTTGTCTAAACCAAAACACATGTTTGGTGTCACTGTTACAACACACTGGCAAATTCACACGAGGGAACTAAAAATCAGCATTTACACAGAATATTAAAAACAGATCAAAGTTTGGAACCACTTTCTGTGGGTTGCATTTCACACTTTAGGAGTGAAATTTAAATGAAACCCATATTTATTATTTTTTTGGGGTGATGGGGGCACGTACGGGGAAGAGACTGACTGATGTCAGAGAGGTTTAATAATTCATCTGAATAGTTCGTTCAGAGACTAAATGGAACAATTAAGGTGCGGTGTTTCAGAAGTGAATACCTACATCGGATTGTCTGAGGAACCATTTATTTTTAAGTTGAGAAACAATGACAAATGAGATCCAAGAACAGCGACTGCTGAACTCAAACTTGTTACAGTCCCCAAATGATAGCAAAAAAAAACATTTATAACCATTACATTTTTTAATAGAAAAGTGCACTGTTCTAAAGATTTTCAAGTAGGAATTAACCAGGTGAAAGAAACTACCTGCTCTGCATGCCATCTCACTGGGACCAGCCAACACACGTAGGCAAACTTCATTCAGATGGTGTCAGCACCCGATTTATGAACCAGTATGAAATAGGCTAATCTTACGCACTGGCTCTGCATTTAAGACAGAAGTATTAAACTTGTCCAACACTTCCTTTTGGCTTCCTGAGCCCCCAGCACTTCCAAAATAAATTTGTTGCATAAATTCGAGTTGATTATATACAGTAGCTATATGACTTTTCCGATCATACACGATAAGATACAAATTATGAATTATTTGGTTTATTTCTTCAGTTCCACCAGAAAGTGGTCTTCTACCCCAACATGCTACCCCCTGGATCACTGAACACATACTCAAACGAATGAACTGTACATTACAGTACTCACATCATCCTCTGCAAAGACAGAGAGACTGAAGAAAGAGCCAAGAACTGATAGCTTTTGCAGCTCTCTGCCAGTGCCCTGACTCAGTGAATCCGGCAGAAATAAAGGCAGTGAGGCAACCTGGAAAACAAAGGGAATTAATTAAACACCTGGAACCTGGCTGCAGTTCCCCCCCCCTCCCCCGCCCCACCCCGTTATAAAAATAAGGTCAATAAAGATAAAGCTTAATTGTTAAATTGTGTGCTTTTTTACAAATTGAAAAATACAAAGGGCAAATTTTGCATAATTAAGTCGTTGCTGATGAGGCAACCTCATTTTCTACCCCCGACTGAAAAGCAACAACTTGCATTTATATAGTGCACTTCATGCAGGGCAGCTATATAAATTCATACAAAGCGAAAATAAATATAATAGTTAAAGTAAGGCAGCTCGGAGTGTTTAACAGTGGCAGAGCCTGACCGCAAGCCGGGGGGAGAGAGGGAGGAGGTAAAATAAGAATTATTTCTCATCAATCCATCATTATTCATGGACAAATGTAAGAATTTATATGGAATTGAGAAACTTACCAGGTTACATACAGGATGGGTCTTCCCAAACTTGATTTCACACAATTCTTGTAATGCCTGAAATTAAAAAATAAAGCACATTCCAAATTAAGTAATAATTTTGAATCAACTTTCAGGACAACAGAAACAAAGGAAATGTGAACAATGTTCTCCAAGCGTGGCTCAGCTTTAAGAAGTTACTTGTCCCTTAAATACTGAACACTTCACTGCAATGTATTTGGCTTTTCTTAGAGCTTTTCATACTGTGTGCAAAATACTGGAAGTTCAGGAAATGTGTCTTAGTTGTGTAACGTTTCATTAAATTTTTGGTCGTGAACTGTTTTTTTTAAAGAAAGAAAATCCGAAATAATTGGGAACAGTGAAGTCTTTGGCATGAGATCACCTTAGTCTGTAGGGAATGCTGTACTGCATCTTCTTTTCGAATGTAAAAATGATTTACATTCAGAATTGGCTTGGTGCAGGGAAGGGATACTTCAAAATCCCTTCAGACATTGAAGCAAAATTTTAAATTCAATTGGGTACATTAAATTTTCTCAGATGATTTTATATATACACAACAACAAATTACATTTGTATTGCGCTTTTCACGTCGGGAGGACATTCCCAAGGCGCTGCCTTACCACAAGTGGATACTTGAAATTATCACCATCCAAGGAACATTCTTTCACTGCCATCGCTAGTCCTTGTATAATGGGAAAGAAGATCTGTTGAAAAGAAAGCGAAAGAGTCAGTCTGATAACCTTGCATTATAATAATCCTTGCATTTGATACAGCGCATTATCACGTCTTCAAGACGTCTCAATGCGCTTCATAAAATATACTGTAAAGTGCAGTGACTATTTTGTGGGTGAAATTGAATGGAAAAATACAACACTGCCAAGACCAAAACTCATGTCAAAATGTCTTAACTGCCTTCAGTAGTCTTATGCTTATCCTCACCATGTGCACAGCTCGCAAAATGATTGACAGGCAAGATCTAAAGATAGTCCTACTTAAGAGCCAGGCAACAGCTTACAATGTTATATACTTTTTATAGCAGTCCATAACAAACAGAACTAAATGTTTATTCATAGTTTCCTGGAGGACTGCTAGGACTATGGAGGGCAGGTAAAGGGAGGCGGAAAAGTGATGCAAGTTCTTTTTTGTAGAAAGTTAACCATACTCTGAAAGCACACCATTACTGGAACGTTTCTCACCTGTTTGAATACTTCAGAGTCCTGATGAGTCATCCTAACTAGTTCTTGAATGAAGCCATAAGGAAGATTCCGACACAACATATAGGGAACCAGCAAAGATTGCTGGAGCAAGGACCTGATACAACGGACAGAACGGAACACATGTTGAACATGTTCATCAACATGCACAGCAAGATTCCACAAACAGGTACACAGTATACAGTCTGGGATATGACACGTGCAAGCGACTGCCAGGATGGTGGAAGGTGAACTGGATGGACCTTGGTCTTCTTTCGTCTAACATAATTCTTATGTTATTTATCTGGAGGAGCTTTGCACAGAGGAGTTATAGAGCTTGTATATTACAATCTAAACAGTAGTGCTCAGGTCTAAATGCTTTAAACAGCTAGTACTCATGGTTCCTCACTAAATGTCGGAAGCAACTGACTGGCTTATTGCCCTCATGCACCCTCACACATTACCTCATCCTCTCGAGCTTGTTAAACCTCAGATATCAATCAATAGAATAAGGTGGAAGGAGTCCTGCTTCATCTTTTGGCCCTGTACCTTATTTCATTATATAGGATGTCATTAACTAAGGCTATGAAGAAAAATTCAATTGGTACCGTTTTGTGTCAACTTTAGGTTTTGTTTCTGCACTTGGTAATAGTTTTAAGTGAATCAATGCATTTCTTGCTTCCACTGGAAGCAGTATAAATTTGATTATATCATTCCCCAAAGACTGGGAATGAGGTATGAGAATATTTTGCCTTCAGATCTGCTCCAACTTGTTTAGGATGCAGTTCAACTGCAAGATGAAGATACCTTTTGTGTGCCTCCAGCTCACCGCCTTAAATATGTACTGAAGCAGGGTGGATATTTGAGCTAGTGATTACAATAGTGAAATGCAAGCAAACCTAAATGATGTAGTTAGTATCTGTTATGCAGCAACTGCTTAAAACCATAAGTTGACAAACGAGTCATAATTTGCTGTTTTGAACAAGGTCAAGGTTAAAATTACAGAGCGATGACTCAATATAAAACTCTGTTATCAGTATAGGAATAGGGCAATAGCAATCCTTGCATTTTGATATAGCGGCTTATCACGTCGTTGAGACGTCTTAAAGAGCTTCACAGAATATATTGTAAAGTGAATTGACTGCCTATTTTTTGTGGGCTAAACGCAGCAGCCAATTGCGCACAGCAGTGTCCCACAAACAGTCGTGGATTAAGTGACTGAATGAAATGACAACACATCCTGTTGAGACAGCAGAAATCCTCCAATTACCAAATATAATGGCTGTACTATTCTATAAAGCTAGAATAACTTTTTTTTTAAACACACTTGACATGCTGATGAGACTGGAAAACTAACCTTGGTTGTGTGAGGGCTCCTTGAAGCACGAGTGCAGCATGGGAAATACACTGGGATCGGATGTTACTGAGCAGCTGACTAACAGATGGTTGACAGCACATCTGAAAACATTCGAGACAGTTTGTTGGTCACAGATAACATTACGTTGTGCTTTAAGCATCGAGTGTGACAACATTCGACTGAGGGAACGAGGAAGTTGGCATGAAATATGAAACATCACATTCGCAGGGGGAAAAAAGCCCTGCAGATTTATATCATGATTGACCACTTTTGTCGACTCAATTCCCGACTGAATCGAAGTGCATGATAACTGTGTTCCCAGTTATTGAAGAGGCAGCTTTAAGAACGTCAGAAGCAATCAGCGCTCAATGCCAGCCAATTAAGCTTAGTTGCATATGCGCAAAGGTCTCCTTTAAATGGCCTTCGCTTCAAGCGAGGCAAATTCAAAGATCACGGTAGATCCCTTGTTCAGTGTCTCTGAGCGACTCCAGTGAAGGCAAGGCATCAAATTACCTCCTTTCATTTACACTGTCAGTCATTCTTCATTACCACTTATAGATTGACAAGTTTTATTCTGCTAATATGTTTACCAGTTGGAGAATTTCACCATTGGTCAGTCAGCCACTTGATATCATATGACAAACGATGTGTTTTTTTCCAGGGGGTTTGAGGGATGGACCCTCTGCTGTCTTTATCAAAACATCACATGGCATTGTGCAACATTATAGCCAGCCATCAGCGCAAAAGCTAGGAAAGTCAACATGTTTATTGATCTGAAATGTATTTTTAGTCGCCAATTGCACTTTGAGTGTATGTGTGCTTCACTGCTTGAAACACCAGCTCTCACAAGGAGCACATTGGAGAAGAAGAAACAGGCACCAACTCTCTCTCTCTCTCTCAGCTGTCTATACTAATAAAAAAAATCCTTGCATTCGATGTAGCGCTTTTCACGTCTTCTAGACGTCCCAAAGCGCTTCACAGAATATACCGTAAAGTGAATTGACTGTGGGCGAAATGCAGCAATGTCCCACAAACAGTCGTGGATTAAAAATGACCAATTTATTATTGTTTTTGAGGGATTATTATCAGGCATGTGGAGTAAGGAAACTTGCCCAAGGTTTCGCCCTGTCTGGAATTGAACCCAGGTGTCTCGCCTGCAAGGCGAGTGCTCTAACCACTGAGCTACAGGACTCTATTATAAAGTGCTTTCGAGAAGCTCTTTCAACTTGTGCAAAAGGCATTGTCAATACAAGTTCAGTTCTTTACTGTGCTAGTTTAAAATCAAATTTAAAATAAACATTTTCATTTGAAACAACAGCAACTTATACAGAGCCCACCATGCAGGGCAGTGTCACAGAGCACTTAAAACAGGTTACCCTTTGTCCTTCGTGCACCAGTGAAGTTTTAGGAACAGGAAAAAGCAGTTATATTGAACTGCATTTGCCATCTATTGACCCAAGTTCAGCAGAATATAGATTGATACAACCGAAAGTTGCTTTAATGGTCATTTTACCTTTGGAGCTTTTCTCTCTTCGATTCCAACTCTGTCAAAGCACTCAATGAGGTAGTTCAACATCTCGGTTTCTTTACAAGCTTCAATGGTGAAGCGGTCACTGCCAGACTCTGTGGAGCAGCCTCCATTTGTACCCAAACTAAGATTGGGGTGCGGGAGGGGGAGGAAAGAGGAGAAAAAGAAAAAAAAATTCATTAAACAGAATACGTTGTCGAGTTACTCTTTGTTAACAAGAGCAGGAGAGCACTCGCAGGTGTGAGTAAGCTGAAATCCCCACACACATGTTACAGCACAATCCCAATTACACAGATGACTCAATCTTTGACTGCTTGCATGGTTTCATTTCTGCACTGTATGCAGAATGATTGTCAAGCAAATCTCAACGTGCGCAGTGTTGCCAATGGTTCTCTTCATACCTTGGATCTACCAGTCTTCGATGGAAAAATAGAGCATTTCCTTGCTATTCACATTAACAAAAGCCCCACAAAATATACAGTCAATTCATTTTACAGTATATTCTGCAAAGCGCTTTGAGACATCTCGAAGATGTGATAATGGGCTATATATATATATATATATATAAAATGCAAGAATTATTATTATTCCAAGATAGAGGCAGCTAACGTGAAATAATTCAATTTACTTTGAGTTAGGTAAGAGGCTTGCCTCGTAAATTAAATGGTCCAAGATTTTGATAAGACAAATTACTATTCTGCGGAATGGGTGTTATTCAGGCTTAAGGATTGAAAAAGATTCATTCCAATGATGGGGAAAAGCACTCTTCCTTCTCTTGACACTTTTCATTAGTGATTCTTAAACAGTGCAGAGGTTAAACCGCATCCATCACCTATTTGTCCATTTAAACCCGCAGGAATATTAATAATAAGTTGGTAAAGAGTAAAATTAAGGAAGAAAAGAATAGAAAAGGCAAGGAAATGAGAGAAGTATGAAGAAAGGTGGAGAGAGTAATTTTGATTTGTTTTTCCATCAATGCTAAATACATGGTTCCTGATAACATGAAGCATAAATACTTGACAAGTCAAATCTTGCCCTTGGTTAGAGAGCACATGAACGTACAGGACGAAGGCAGTGAGGTTTTCTGCAGCATTAGTTATACAGTACACACACTCATGACCATGCAAATTGTGTGTGCAATTAGAAACCTAACCTGCCAATGCATACAATCCAAAAGCACAAGTGTCAAAATAACAACCTTTCAGTCGCAATATACACATTACTAAACGGTCTTCTCCCAAACTGTAACAAGCAAGCAGCAAATTGCTCCTCGTCTAGACTCAACTACACTGTGTCTCAATAGTCTGGAACCACAACTTGTTAGTACAATGTCCACTTTCATTTGCAGTGTTATCTATTGAAAGGGTGACTTCTGGTGGAACTGAAAAATCCGCGGAGTCTGGATTGTACAAAAAATACAGTCAATTCACTTTGCAGTATATTCTGTGATGGGCTTTGAGACGTCTCGAAGACATGATAAGGGGCTATATCAAAATGCAAGGATTATTATGTAATATGTTGGATTAGACTGCAACATACTATATAACACAGCAGCCATCCACACAACTTAAATGCCCACAACCCCTATACTGGAACACAGCAGTGTACAGCTTTTATAGGAGTAAAATGAAAAGGAAAAATGTGCAATATGAAATAAATAAATTCTGCACAGGAAAAATAAACTTGCCCTGATTTGACAATGGCCAATGGTTAGTTTCACTTCCAAGTGCTCAACCCATGCTTGTTATAGTAAAAGCTGCCAATCTTCTAACAGCTGATACCTGGAACCAAACTGCACACTAGACAAATCAACATCATCTTCCTCCTCATCAGGAGCATCCTCCTCATCATCCTCATCATCACTGCTGTCTCCAGGCAAATCGGCAAGAGCGAAGAGGAAAAGGGAGAAAGGGTTGTTGTAGAGACTACCGGGAGGGATATAGAAGGTGATTTAGCACAAAATAAAAACACACGAGGAAAGAAACAGTGAATCAAAACAAGAAATTAGTTTTCCTGAATAAAATGTACTCACATATTTAACAATGGAGAAACACAATATACGTAATGAAAAATTACAGTTTAGTGAAAGATACAACTTTCATGGGCTTTTCTTTACATTTTTCATACAAATATGTTGAGTTTTAATTTCCCTCTCTTGTGAAATGAATTAAAACCATTTTCAGATCCCCAAACAAGTGGGATTTCTAATGAATATTCCACAATCCATAAACAGCAACAGGATGGAAGAAAGTTGCATCTTTGTAGAGATATATCAATGCAAGGATTATTTCAAACGTGTTAAAATTTGCCTCATTTAAGTTACAGCCGATTCAATCAAGTGAATGTTAAAAAGCAACATCAGAGGAAAATAAGTTACTTCCAATAGTTTACTAAAAAAAACTCCATAATTGACTTTATTCTGGAGAAATTCAGCTTAGAAAACTTTACGATTTCTTAGGCAGGCATCTATATATTAAAAGATCAATGAAGACTTCTGAGCATTACTGCTGTACTAAGAAATCACACCAAGTGCTATGGTTTCACTTGAAACTCAAGACAACTTTGTTCGCAGACACTCAATGGTATTCCATTCCATGTCAATGCTCACTTCTGCAAGCACAAAATACAGGCGAGATTTTCTTTTAACGCTAACACGCCTTGCTTGCAAAACTCAAGCAGCTGCGATATGGAAAGCGTTAAATAGGGTGTCAATTGGTTGCTCTACAGAAAGCAAGTTGGACTTGCCCACTAACGAAAATCAATTTGAATGAGCCAAAACCAGGACCTATTGAAGTAGAGGCCTACATTCGACGATAAGAATGCACGGAAGAACGATTTGAAATGCAAGGCCAGATGAAACCCAGAAGCTGGTGTAGAGGTGATGACTTAAAATGCAAGTCCGCGGGTGCAAACGTAGCACTATAAATCTTCTGGAACAGAATTTCTAATGAATAAATTCTGAAGAAATGATTCAATACCAAAATGCAAAATCAAAAGCATTTAGTGCATGCATTTCAAAAAGCTTGATGCATTCTTAAGAGGCAATAATACCTAGAAGGTAGTTGGTTGTGTTGAGTCGAGCGGGGCATTGCTGCTGGAGGAGTGACGGGAAATAAAGGTGGGCCCATTATGGAGGGCCGTTGTCTTGGAGAACTTGCTTGGATTGGTGATGGGCTAGTGGCCACGGTTTGTGGGGCAGAATAATTAATCACGATGGGCAACGGACTCATAGCAACAGTTCGTGGCCTGGGAGACGTTGATAATGGCAGAGAGTTGGTGGTCAGTGGCGGATGCCTTGAAGAACTGGTCTGTGCTGAGGAAGAACTGGTAGCCAGGGAACGCACACAAGGATTGGACACCAATGAATGAGGGCTTATAGCAAGAGAAGGCTGGCTAGCTGGACTAGCGCTCGTGGAGGCATGGCTTGCAGTAAAAGATCGAAAACCTGGGCTGGTTCCATACAGACTAGAATGTCGAGATACATATATAAATTAGAAAGCAGGAAAGGAGAGAAAAGAAAAACAGTAGACGATAAATACAGCACGATCACGACTAACATTTCCCGTTCCATTAGGTAGATATCACGTTATGTCCTTACAAGCCATAAACAAAACAGCAGTGCAACTCAATTAGATCCTAGTTATCATTTGTTTCATTCCACTTTAGAATGGCTGCAACATTCGGAACCAGAAATAGATATTGCCCTCATAATCATTGACACAAATAGTTCTTGCCTCTTTTAAATTATTAAACCAACTAATGGTTGGCATTAAGATTCGGCGGAGTCTCAAGAATCAAAGCTACTTTAAAAATAGAAACAAAAGCACATTGATTTACATCAAAGTGGATGAGAAGCTGACGTAGCATTTGGATCACATGGTGGTATCGCAGTACGAGTACTTTACATTAAAGGCCAGTTCTTGTTCACTGGAATTTTGCCAGCATTAACGCTTCTGGACTCATCATCTTTCCAACCACAAGCATTTCCCTTCATTGATTTCACTCAAGTCCACAACCTTTTAAATTATGTCCTGACCTTAATTGCATAAATTTACGCAAGCAGTTTATAGAAATCAACTTTTAAAAAAAATTTAAAATATTTTTATAGAAACAAATATACATCTTCACTCTTCATAATTGCTATTTCTGGGGAAATCATTCTGCATTTCCGGGGAAATAGTCACTGGAAAAATAAGTTTAATTGGATGAATGACTAGAATCCTTTTACTTGGGAAATACAATAGTCGCCAAATGAAGAAGCTGTCCGGTCATCATTAAATGCAGCATTGGAGAATTCTATTTATATTTAAGCATGAGATGTCAAACCGATGCTTTGGTTCCTCAAACGTTTAGCTTTCAAGCATTGAAGATCTATATGCAGACAAAGAACCCCATCCCACTCCAATAGTTTTTTGGGATAGTTACTCAATCCTGAAACATTCTTTAGACTTAGCCATTCAATACATGTTTATTGGTGATTGGGTGTCTTGACACTTGCCGGCAATGCACATATACACCTCAGAGAAATGTTGTCAGTTAATGTAGTCGACCTCCATTGTGAATAGACTGCCAGAGAGAGAGAAAAAGAGAGAGAAAAAAAATAGGGTTTGGGCTTTCTTTTTTTCTGGAAGCCTCAACAAACTAACCAAAGCTCCCTCAGCACAAATTTTAGACTCCCCTGTGGTATATTCAGAAACCTCATGATGCAACCATTTGAATAGACCAATGGCACTTGCACTGTTACACTTGCCTTGATAAAGAACTGGCTCCAAACGAGCTCGGACTACAGAACATCGGACTTGTTCCGTGGCTGGATGGAGGGTTCAGGGTCAAGTTCCTGTCCGGCGATCGTGCAGCGGCTGCAATTGGCTGAGACGTGGCAGTTAAACTGGCAAATGGGTTGTCTTCTGGCATTTGAGTGGACAACATCAGAACCTCCATCAGAATCTGCCCAATCAAATCTTTCCAGTCCGAAAAAACTATAAAAGCAAAACAATTTTATCGTCAGTTTCACTTCCAATCACACAACTGGTCTCAGGAATCCCCCCCACAATGCAGTGTTCCTCCAGTCCTCAAGCGGCCTAGGTCGCTGCCCTGCGCGAAGGGCGCTATATAAATGCAAGCTGTTGTACTGCACTATAGCATGAGATTAGACTATGAGTTCAAGTCAACCTTCTGACCAACTGAGGCAAGCAACCCGTTACCTCTTCACCTCCATTTAAAATCGTGGAAGCATCACTCAGAAATATCCCAAACTCCCCACATTGTCACCTGTAGTTTGTTGATCTCAATGGATGACCTCTTTTTGCCATCACCCAGGGTGCTGGATGTCCCAAATGTAATTCTGTATTTTATTGTACACTCAATTGACATTGACAGAGAGCATGACTGGATATATGAATGTGGCTTTTGAGTGCCCACACCCTGGGGATTCTAATCAGCTCTCCCCTCTCACTAACAGCTCAAAGTCACGTGGAGTTCTGTAGCTCAGTGGTTAGAGCACTCGCCTTGCAAGCGAGACCCCTGGGTTCAATTCCAGGCAGGTCAGGGCGAAACCTTGGGCAAGTTTCCTTACTCCACACAGAGCCTAATAATAATCCCTCCAAAACAAAACAATAATAAATTGGTCATTTTCAATCCACGACTGTTTGTGGGACATTGCTGTGTGCAATTGGCTGCCGCGTTTCGCCCACAAATATAGTCAATTCACTTTACAGCATATCCTGTGAAGCGCTTTGAGACATCGAGAAGACATGAAAAGCACTATATCAAATGCAAGGATTATTATTATTATTATAAAGCATCAGAGGAAAGCAGGACAGAACTGACTCACAATTGCAGCAAAGTGAAGGAGGAGGAAAACAGTAAACCGGAGGCTGAAATTAAAATGAAGGGCTTGTCGGAAGAGATGTCGGAAAGACAGAAATGAGGGAAATTAAGATAAGGTCACGACTTTCCACATTCTCCTAGAAAGTAGTCATTTTGTCAGGTGAAGGATCGTTGTGGAAAACACGCCTGGTTGATTCCTACCTTCTTTTGAATTATACTTGAACTCTGCGGCCAGACCAGGCAGGAAAATCACATCCCGGTCACGCTCCTTCCAGGAAACTCGGAAGATCTTACATATAAGCAAAAGTGTTTGTTCTTCAGATACATCTGACCCCGAAGAAGGTTCCTTGAAACAAGAAGTTACTGGTTATTAATAGAGCAGATCATCGTCTCACATATGGCTGATACGCAACTCTGCAGAAGTTTAAGGGATAAGTAGCGGAGGTTTGTTTTAACATTTCACCACACCAATTGAGAAGTGAAATTTCTGCAATTGAAGTTTCAGCTTCAACAATGATCCAAACAAAGAGTCATTCTTTATTGTGCGAGCAGTTCCCCAGTAGAAACAGTGCAATTGCAACCATTTTAACACTGTACTGCAACAGTCTGCATACTAATTGGATTTATTAAATGATTTCCCGTCAATACAATAGATCTTAGGGCCTGTGATCATCCTAACACTTCTGTATTCACTCCTGCTGCCTATCTGCAATCATTAATATTCTGTTGTATTCATTTTTGCATTTCAAAAACACCCTCTGCAAGACACTGCTCGCCTGAAATAAAAATAACATCTAATTTTCTCTCTCTCCTTCCCCCTTTCTAAGTGATAGACTTCACTTTCACACCAGATTCCAGCTAACAGATGATAAAAACAGGCACAGCTGCCAACATCTGCTACCACTTGGACTTATGCCACAATGCCTCAACTATACTTCAGGTCTACTGTGCACCAGTTAACATTAGCACCTCATAAAAATACAGCAAAGTTTTAAATCATTCAAGACATGCAAAATCAGAGATCACCACGGCAGGCTGCTTGCACATTTGGCCATTATTAAGAATCCAGCAAAAGAAATATCAGCAAGCTGCAGCATAAAGTGGTTTTACCTTATCGGTTAAGCTCCTCTTTTCTCTGCGATCACCCTCATCAACTTCCATATTTTCAATCCCCGAATCCACATCCACTTGTGATATGCTGTTAAAGGAGAACGCGTTACTCGCATACATAAAATAATGGCCTGCTGTGAAAGCTGGCTTTTTAAAAGATTAACATTTAACATGATGAACAGCAAAAGGCCTGGCCTGATAATTGGGAGTTAAATCAAAAGGCAGCCAATTCAGAACAGCAGCACATCTGTAACTGGATTAAAATTCAAATGCTGGAATGGCATTTCATCTTTGCAATAAGTGTTTTGATTAGAAAAGAACTTGAAATTTCTTAAGGTGCATTGGCATTGCACGAGCCAGTCGCAATACCAGTACAAGTCTAACCTTTAGTTGGGGGGGGTGGGGGGGGGGGGGGTTGGGAGTGAGGAGGAATAAATATTTTGATTTTGGGGTTATCTGCCAGCTAGGATTTAATTTAGTCATTCAATCCAGTTTGTGGGACACCGCTGTGCGTAATCGCCTGCCGCGTTTTGCCCACAAAATACAATCAATTCACTTTAGAGTATATTCTGTGTAGTATAGGCGCTACATCAAATGCAAGGATTATTATTGTTGGGATTATACTGCGGGCATTAATATGGCATTGTAGTCTTGACCTGGTTTCATTGAGTCGAGGTTCTGCCAGGGTGCCAGGTGCCACTGGGTGCCACACCAGTCACCAGGAACCCACCGTAATTGCTCAAGTGGCCATTATTCCTTCAACGATAGGTAATTGGACAGTGGCGTTCAGCATTTCAGTTTAGCACAATTCCACCTTGCGCATTCGCTTCCCAACAGGAACGTTCTCTCCCTAACCCAGACATGGCAGAGCCACAATTAGTGCACGGGCTGGCACCCCGGCTGAGTCTCAGCGCAAGTCAAACCTGCGATCTTATGTTTTGTGTGGCTGAGTGCCACTTCGGGTGTTGCTCAATTAAAAAATATTCTCAAAGCAGTGCTCACGCAAACAATTAGAACACAAGAATTTGCAAGACAAAAGATGACGAAGGTCCATTCAGTTCACCTTTCACTATCTTGGCAGTCGCATGCACATGTCATTGCCCCAACCTATATATTGTAGCCCGAGATATTTACTAGAGTGGTACAGAAATACCAGCCATTTCAGCACAAGCTTGTTGTTGGAATTTCCTTCCAATTCAACTCCTCACATCGTCATCATCAGCATATAAAGGCCTCGCCAACCATTCAGTAAATTAGCCAAATTAAACATATATGCACGTTTGTTATCTTAGAGGACTAAGTGCCAAGAGCTTGAAATTAGTTCAAGGTATCCCTGCTCTGACAGTAAACATATCAGAATAATCAATAGATTCTCTGAAATGTCAAATATGCCCTGGCTATAAATATGTTCAGAGAACCACTTGTCTTCAAAGAAACCAGGCTTTTGAATGCCAAACTCCCCAGGCCAAATCCACGCATCTTTACATTAATCTCATGATCATGGTACTCAGAAAGAAAGACACGGAATGATTCTGACAGTGAACAGTACAGGTAATGATAGCGGCCAGTTACCTTTTCTCACAGGATACACTGTCAATATCCATACTCTGAGATCGGGAGAGACTCTGAGACTGGGTTTCAAGGCTGTTTGATGGGGAACTACTGAGCGAGCTCACCCCTTCACTACTCTGGCTTCGATGGGCAGCACCTGAGGAAGTAAGGCATTCAGTACAATAAAAGTCCAAGAAAAAAAAAGGTAAGCATTACAAACCACGCATTTACATCAGATAGCACCAAATTACCAGATCAACTAAGAAAAGGCCCCAAAATAAATTTAATACTAAGGTAGAAAATTATCTTTGAATACACAGGCAGTGAAAAGCATTCCAGAGCAGGATGCTAGCTAATTCTCTCTCTCTCTCTCTTACCCCACCCCCCACCACCATCTCCAAGCCCAGGGGAGTTTAAGACAACTGAAGTGATCCATTAGATGAAATCAGCAAAAACATGTCCTGAGATAGGGAAGGTCAGAATTTACACAGCACAGTCTTACACACAACAGTGACTTTGTCAACTGAGCCCAGAGCTCTCAACGTTTCAAGGACCGGTATATCTTTGCGCTATTTACCACGTCCCCATATTTGCTCAGCTTCAGAAATGTTATAGCTAGAGGGCATATTAAACACTTTTCGGAATATGGGCTGCGTCTGAAGTTACTCGATCAAGTTAACTCATCGCTGCAGAAAGATTTTTTTTTAATATGCATGTGCACAGGAAACAGTAATTCAGCACATTGGATCAGTGGCACTGCTACCAGCCCATTTTTCAGCTTTCTCCCAATCCCTTCATGTTTTTTTCTTGCTCTGGGATGTATCCAGTTCCCGTTGGAATGATCCAGCCTCAACAGCCATTTGCGGGAATGAATTCTACACCTTAACACCATTGCAGAATTTCCTTTTTATCACCTCACCCAATTCTTCTGCTAATAATCCCGAGACTATGCCACATTGTCACCAATTCCCCAATTTGAGAAAACAGAAAAGAAATTGCATTTCATTATAAATCTCCCCCCCTCCACCAACCCCTCTCCATTTACACCATAGGTTAAGAATTAATCTCCTAAAGAATTCAGTGAATTCAATTATGTAAAAAGGTTTTAAAGTTTAATGAAGTAGTGACCATTTTGATGATTGTAGTGAAGCTGGAGGCAGTGTGAATACTCATTGTACTATTGTACTACAGAGCACAGGTTCACAACGCTTTTGCTTTGAACATTCCCTTCAAATTTGCAAAATGAATTAAAAAAAATTCCAGTAATTACCTGTCAGCTCCTTGAAATACAAATTAAACAGAACGAATATTGCTCTACATTCCAGAAAGGAGAAAACGCATAGCCCAGCTTAGAATCCAAACCCTACAGCTAGCTCAACAACATGCTTACACTGCAAAGCGAGAAATATCAAATGTAGGATCATAACCAGAAACTCAAAATGGCAGCACAGAACATGAACATCTAAACAGATCTATGCAGCACAGAAGCGTATTCAGTATACAGTTTCAGTTGAAATTTGGAAGGGAAAATCCCATAATGAACAGGTTCAAGGGGCACAAACAATTTAGATTATTATCTCTACCAAATTTGCAATGTAGTAAGTCTAAAGTTATAATTCATTACTAATCCTAGAAACAGTACCCTCAAGTGCATGACCATTAACAACAATTCCATGTATAAAATTTCCTTCATTGGAAACACTAAAATGTGTGCGGCAAAATCTTTAGCAACCTTCTCATAAAAGGACAATCTTCAAAATTTACTGAACACTTCTTACGCAAACCAAAGTGAACATACTTTAGGGACTTTCCATACCAAGTTTATTCAAAACTTCCTGTACTTGCAGAACAGCTAAAGAGAAAGAATGTGAAACTGATGGGTCTATTTTTCCCTCTCCTCAAGGTATTTTAGACTTCTTTCCTTTTCCACAGCCACATGTGCAAAAGAATCGCTGGGTTGGAATATTAGTTGCGTAATGGTAGACAGACCAGGAGCCAGCGAGACAGGGCCTTGGATGTGGGATTTGACACTCCCAGGAGGGTGAACTGGGTGGTCGTTTGGAAGCCAATAAAATTTTCAATCCGAAAATCAAGTACTGCATTCTCTTTGTGGAGTCCAAGGACAAACCTTGCAAACAAAATCTGAGTTCTACAAACATTGACTGTTTAATCCTATCATCTGAAGTTGTCTGACGGGTATCAACCTGTTCCATTGCATACCTGTTGCTCCAATGGGAGATGTGGCTGGAGTCATGCCCTGGGCACTGAGCCCCATACTTTGAGTCATGCCTGGCGTCGTTGCTGCAGATGCCCCCGGTGGATTTTCTCGCTGAGGAGACGTGAGCGGTGTGGTGGGTTGAGACGTTTGTCCGCCACCAAGCCGAGCAAGGCGTCTTCTACGGATCTACATTCAAAAGGAGGAAGGGAAAGAAAACTGCTCAGCAAAAAAAAATAAAGAGTGTCATTCACTCACTCACCTTAAAATATTATAGATGACCATCTCCAAGTGATTTACAAATTATAATTAGAATACAATTAATTATTTACAAGCAATAATAAAAAATAATAATTTGGACACTTTCCATGACACTTAGTGTAACATTGCTGTGTACAATTGGCTTTCATGTTTCACCCACAAAACACAATCAATTACAGTATATTCTATTAAGCGCCTTGAGACGTCTAGAAGATGTGATAAAGCTCTATATCAAATGCATGGAGTATTATATACGCATAAATATAACTGAATGAAAACAAAAAGATTGTTATATAAGCAAATGTGGCAGATAAAAGATGTCAGCAATGTGTCACAAGCAAGCTGAGCAGGCAATTAATTTGAATTATCGCGTAAATGAATAAAGTGTGGAAAATGAACCAGTTTCATTGGGAGAATGACACTTCTTTGATATAGCAAGACAGATTATATAAGTAAACTGGGCAACTAATTTGCAATAACCACAAAAATAACTAACTGAAATTTCTTGCTGTGAACGACATTTTGTCATGTCAATGACAAAAAATACCAATCAGGAAACTGCTATCAGTTTTAAAAACCGGAATAGAATCCTACATAAAGTTGAAACCCTGTGCATTTTTTGGGAAAAAATTCAATACAGCAATTGAATCTCAGCATTTAGACAAGCGTTACTTTGAGCAGTTTGTAATAATAATAATCCTTGCATCAGATATAGTGCATTATCACGTCTTCGAGACATCTCAAAGCGCCTCATAGAATATACTGTAAAATGAATTGACTATATATTTTCCCTGACAATTCCTTGCAGTATTCCTGGCTGTTTAGAACATGATGCATCAGTGGTCTCCTCTTCAAACGGTTTCCTATCGATCACAATGGAAGGTTTTTATTCCTGTAAAAATGTATTTTTAGACCCTGATGAGTCAGGAATATAATCTAAAACCGCATTACCTAAATATTTATCGACATGAATGAGAAAAAAAAACAATCAACCTTTTAAACTATTATTCCACGGACAAAACACCTCCAGAATGTGGAATCAATGCAGTTACCGTTTGGTTGAGTTTATAATAATTTATAGCATTTTGACTTTGTTGGAATATCCACTTAATTTAAAGCCTGACCGGCCAAGATTATAACCCTATTGTTTTCATGGGAATGGATCAAGGGCAAAACGCAGGTACATACACCAGCATTTTTACAAATTCTCAGCTCGAGAACCGAGTCAGCAAACTGCATACTGTGCAGCACGTGAGAGCAAAATGCACATCACATCAATTTAAACATTCAGCCAACCACTGCATTTCCAAACAAGTTTATGTTTTTGAGGGATGGGGGGGGCAGGGAGAGAAGGAAGAACATCCTGTTGATCAAATAGTTATTAAAACCAAGGGGGAAAAAAATTACAAGGACATATTACGCTAGTAGTTTCCAAAAGACAAGATCAGTCTCGGTTGTGTTGCCCTTTGCAGTCTAAAAGATTCTTTGTTCCCTGCTGAAAATAGCTGAATACAGTCGAAAGGAGATACAGAAGCATAAATGGGAATGTTTTCTTTTTGTTGCCTGATGCAAATGGATTTTGAAACAGCCAATCACCGTTCTTCATATAGTCCCGAGCACAACATTTCCCCAGCACTGTACCAAAATGTCAACCTGGACAAGGGGCGTGAACCCCCAACCTTCTGACCCAGTGGCAAAGACCAGCAATATTGGCCCTCAAATAGTCGCTTCACTTCAGGGGCAAAAAATCTCTTAAAAGTTGAATAATTTTGACCTGATAAGGTGCAAAATCATATGCAAGAATCAAGGTACTCCACTAGTAATCGTGACAACTCAATGACCTTCATGTGTATAATTTGAAGGCAATTGTTTTTAATTACAGCATCGCTTGACAAAAATTGTTTCGGTAAACTGTTGGCCCGAGTTACGAAACCACAATATGAAAAGCAAACAAAACATTTACAGTGAGTTGGGACTAAAAAAAACTGATGTGCTAAAATGATTGATGGATTCATAGTCCAGTTCCCCGCATGGTTTAAGTTGTTTTAAATCTCTCAACAACCCTATTGATGGAGACAATGTGCAAGATAAAATCCCAGAGGAATTCTATGTACAGTGTGTCCGACTCCCAAAGCTGTTGCCAAGTCAGCCGCTTCTTTCACATCATCTACGCTGAACATCCGTATAGAATCACAAGCTACAAAAATCCTGGTCTTGCATCGTTGTGTGTGTGTGTGTGATTGATTATGAGGCTGTGGGGCGGGGGGGGGGGGCGGAAAGAGACGAACAAAGTGTGAACTACTTATTTGGCTACCAATATTCCTCAGCAAGAGGCATTGGCAAAAGATCTGTGGTTTCAGGAGTTCCGCCTGAATTTCTTGTAGCGGAGCCATTTTCTACTCTTGGACCCCTCGACGATCAAGACTATGTTTTGAATGGAAGCTAAACTTCGCAAACCAAAGACGTGAGATTAAAAAAAAAGCTACTGCCACTGAGCTAAACAATTAACTCTTAGCCTCGCAACGAACCTTACTCCCCCAATAAACTTTAATCACTGGTTAAAAGTCTCAACACAAGCTACACATACAATGCTGCAACTCAACACCCAAACGAGAACAGACAGATGAGGACCAATAGTGATAGTACCCAAGGTACAGTACATAAAATTGTTCTACAAAGTTAAGTACAAACATATTAACAGAACGCATTGAACTAATACTTACTCACCACTGAAATAACAATCCTGTAAGACTACACGAAGATAGCTTTTTTTTTAAAAAAGATATTTTTCAATCCATTTCCTCCCAACATGTTAATGAAATCTCTTACAGACAGTTCCCAGTGTTCAAACCTGCTTTTTGGCCTCAAGTCAAAAACATTAGCAGAATGAAGACTGGTATCAGCAATAGTAGTGAAAGAAATTACCCGAACTGATTATAGATAGTGCAACGGTATGGAACATCACCGTAGCAATTATATTCTGCTTGGAAAATAGCAATTAATCTAAGACAGGATTGAGGAAAGTCAGAGTAGCAGTAACTGCTGCAACTGGCCTCAGGGTTGCTAATAATAATAATCCTTACATTTATATAACAATTTGCATTCGTATAGCACCCCTTCACACAGGGCAGTAGCTCAGCGCACTTATATAGGGCTTGATCCCTTGTCAGACATCTCAGAGCGCTTCACAGGATATACCGTCAAGTAGATTGTGTATTTTGTGGGAAAAATACAGCAGCCAGTTGCGCACAGCTAAGTTAGAAGAGGGAGGGGAAATTAGCCAGGATTTGTACTCCTGATCATCATCCTGTTGAAAGTGCCCACTTGGTTGAGCCCTCACCATTAATGCTCACACGTGGACTCTGATTGACCACCGGAGTGAGGTGCTAGAGGTTGTCTGGCACTGCAGGGAGGAAAAAACAGAACTCAAATTTCTTCAGGAAAGGAAGGGCAGATTTTTTTTTAAAAAGCAGGACATAGTGGAAGGGCCCAGCTTCTCATAATCAGAATAAAATACAAAGCCTCACAGATTTAAGAGTTTTAAGAATAGTGACCACCTGCCTTGAATTTTTAAAGATATAACACAAGAGCTGGGGGAATTCAAAGAGACAAGGACCTTTTGATACAAACAATAGATGAAGGCAAAATAAGTTTGAAACTTTCCACATCTATACGATGATCATTGTATACATGGATCTCCGCATTCCTCAGCAAGGAACCTCTGAAAAAATACACTTCAAACTAACTAATTATGGTTAAATACTGCATGTAATTTTCATCCATTTAATATAGTTGCCTTGATCAAAGTACCTTCTGTGTGCTACATAATAGGTGCAGACACTTGGGATCACACCTTGCTTAACTACATTTGGGTATGAACCTTTTCAATATATATCCTAGTTCCCCAGAGTGGATTGTCTTCATATTCCTCATCCTGACCTTCAAATCCTTCACAAGCTTGCTCCATCTTAACTGTATAATCTGCAACCACCTGGCTGAGTGGTAGAGATATAAATCCCTCTTCAAATCTCCTATTTTAAAGACTGGTAATCAAACCTGGATTCATTCAAATTTTCATGACTGAGGTGTTTTAGGTCAGGGTATCAAGGGATATGGGGCAAAGGCAGGTAATTGGAGTTGAGGTGCTGATCAGCCATGATCTTATAGAATGGCAGAACAGGCTCGATGGCCTGAATGGCCTACTCCTGTTCCTATGTTTTTATTAAACAGATACATCCAGAGATCAGTCCTTTACAAGATCATAGCACTACAGGAATAGTTAAGTTTTTATGCCAGGTGTCCACATTTACTGCAGCAAACCAAGAAATGCTGTCACTGCACTTTGACCTTCGCCACCAGAATAAAGTGTCAATCAAAGACAATAAAATGTGTTGACAATCTCAGGGGGAAGAAACAATCTTCAATTTACAGCAAAATAAAGTAGATCTATGTACAAGACATTGGTTGAGCAGCAGTTAGGGATACTGCATCAGTTTTGGATATTGAAAGGATAGGAGAGTATAGAACTTTCAAAATATTGAAGGTGTCGGTTTGGGCAAATTCATAACACGGTAAATTAGAGACAACTTCCATTAAATGGCAAATCAGTAACATATTTCCAACTTCACATAATTCTTCATTACTGCCTTGAAGAGGTATTATACACTTAATAGTCCAACGCAGTCTTAAAAAGTTGAACATAAGGTACCAATCTGTATTACATAAGGTACCAACTGTATCTTCTTCAAAGTATAGCCAGCGACAAAGTCATCAATGGACAAATATTTTAACATGGATGAGACATTGCTGCTCATAAGTGGCGAGGCCAACAGGGTTTTGCAGTTAAATCACTTTTCTGAAGCACAGCATCAGGCCTCAGAAGCTAAGCAACATAAATCTAACAGAAGGTGAAAATAACAATGAATCATCAACTGTAATCACAGTCAATGTTATCAAGATTGTCAGGGAAAGAATTTAAAGTAGAACCGTAGAAGGCGGCCACATATATTCTGCAGTGTTGAGGATAAAATGCTTAATTTCATGAAATAATAATTCAAACTGATTAATTGATTGATGGATCATGTATGGTTCTAATCACCAATTATATCATTACATTGGCCCTAACGCACCATTGTCTCCTGCAGCACCAGAATATTGTGTCCTTTAGACACAATATCCTGTTCCCGACAGTCTATTCACTGTTATACCTTCCTATCCTAATCAGCTGGACAAGTGCACAGGCAAATGTGTCAGAAAGATGAGCTACAATGACGATGCTAAAAAATGTGGTCCTATATCGTGGCTTTAACTGCAAAGAGCAAACAAGAAGTTGGACATTTTCAAACCAGTTCATACATTTAAAACATCAGTAGGAGGGAAGGTATGCCCCCACCCTTTAGAACTTCATCCCACAGTCCCTTTGCCTCTCCCCCTCCCTTGCCTCCTTCAAGGCCTGTCTCAAGACCTTCCTCTTCGACCGCAATTTCAATCACCCTCCTACCCCTACTCTCCCTGCCCTCCGCCCCTCCTGATCCCAATCCCCAGCTCGGGTCCAAATCCTTGACTGTCCACCGCGTTGGGAGGTCCTCCTGATGTGAAAGGCACTATACAAATTTAATTTGTTATGTGATCAAGCAGATACTGTCTGCAAACTACAATAAAGGCATTGTACATCTATACAGGTAAGAGTTAACACACCAAAAAAATCCCTTATTTTAGACATACAAATAAATACTACCACTCCATCTGATCAATGCCAACATAGAAATTTAAGTTGTCAGTGTACAAATATTTACACCCAAGTTACGTTTGAAAATACTGTAAAAAAGACAGTAAACTAGGAAACATGGCTCCACCATTAAACTCCTTTTTTTCCTGGAAAGTCCATAAAAATTAACGTAACTTACCTATTTAACAGCAGTGCTAAAAAAACGAAATTAATATTTCATTTACCTTTCTGGCGAACACAAACTTTTTTTACTTGGTATTTCTACCATCCTCGCCAACACAAAGAAAGAAACTCATAGCTTCAGACCAAGGGGTGGGGGGGGGGGGGCAAAAAAATAAAGTAATTAGGGTTTCAAACAGAAAGTTTAAAGGCAAAATTAGTGCTCGGTGTATGAACTTTACCGTTTTAGCAAACCGTGGGTGAGCAAAGCCATTGGGATCATTGTGTGTGTGTGTGTGGGGGGGGGAGGACTACAATTGTAACAGACAAATGAAATAAATCATCGCTTCACATTGAAAAGCAGAATTTTTTTTTCTCTGATGAACTCTTAGCAAACACTGAAAATGCTTGAACTTTCTCCATTAATGACGCACTTTGCGGGGAGGGAGGTGGGGGGGGGGGGGGAAGGGGGATGAAAAATCTTTAAAAAAAAGCCCGATTTGTACCAAAAAAAACACATCTCACCCTCACCCCCAACACAACACCCCCCACACACACACACACACCCACAGACACCCACACACACACCCACACACAGAGCCAGGGAACGGCCTACACAGACATCGACCTTAAACGCTGCCGTTGGCCTTAGCAACACAAAAGGAAACGCCAAAGGAGTTCAGGACTTCTTTAGGAAAAGGGAAAGAGAGAGAGAGAAGAGAAAAAAAAAATACCATTTAACATCGCATTAAAAGACAGAACGCACCGACACGTTTTCTGAAACACTTGAGAGAGAGGGAAGGAGAGAGAGAGAGGGAAGAGAGAGGAGAGGGAAAGAGAGGAGAGGTGAGAGGAGGGAGAAAAGGGGAAGAAAAAAAAGAGAGAGAGAGAGAGATGTTCGGTCCATCAGTCACCACACAAGTCCGAGTTCCCTTCATTCCTCACCTCATCGGCGCTAAGTTCTTCCATTTCTTTTTTTTCAACCTATTCTCCTCCTCCTCCTCCTCCTCCCCCTCTTTTCGCTCAGGGAGGAGGGGGTTGGCTTATTTTTTTTGCAATTTTTTTTTGTTTGTTTGGTGGGGGGGTGGGGGGGGATAAAAAAAATAAATATCGAAACGAATCCTTTGCTTTCCTCCTTCGTCCTCTCTCTCTCTCCCTCTCTCTCTCTCCCTCTCACGCCTTCCAGTCCCTATCTTCCCCCCTCCCGCCCCTCCCTCTCTATTCCCCCCACCCCCCCCAACCCAAACCCCTCAGCAAAAGTGCATGGTCCTCCTCAGTCCGCCCCCCGCCGCCGCTCCCGGCATTTGCACATGTAACAGACGAGACGGAGCCGCGCGCGCGATCCTTGTTGTTGTGGCCCTGACACAAAGTCTCTTATTCATCAAAACAACTCCGGCGCCATTTTGAAACCCCTCACGTGACTTCCCCTCTCCTCCTCCTCCCCCTCCTCCCGCCTCCCCCTCACGTCACGCTCTCGCGCGGCGCCTCGGCCCAATCGGCGCCCCGCCCCGCTCCGCCGACCAATCGGAGCTCTCCCACGCAGCCCCTCCCTCCCACCGCCACCCTCGCGAGCTCCGGCCCCAACCGACCAACCAGGACGCCCGCCGCCGCGCTCCGGCCAATCGGAGGGCGCGGCCCTGCCCCGGACCGGCCAATCAGCGGGGCCCGCCTGCGGGGGGGGGGGGCTGTCGCCGACCAATCGCGGCCCGCGAGCGCCCCCGGGCTCCTGCGATTGGCCGAGAATTGTGCTAAGACTGCGGGGAGAGCGCCGCTCGGGTTCAGAGCGCGTCCCAGCGTTGGGGCTGCGCGGTCGGGAGGGGAGGGGTCGCGCTGCGCCGCGGACATTTATTCAGACGGGGCAGCGAAAAGGGGGAAGTTGAGCAGCAACGAATTGCACTCGTACAGAGCCCTTTGCGTCGGAAAAAACGTCCAGAGCCCTGGGCAGTCGGGGGGGGTTTTTTTTGAACCCGAGCGCTGTTGGGGTCACTTGGGGGGTGGAGGTCTCACGGGGTTGGGGTTGGGGTTGGGTGGCTCAAGGCACGATCGAAGAGGAAGGTCTTTGGATGGGACTTGAGGGAGGCACGAGAGGGGGGGGGGGGCGGCGGGCGGCAGAGATGCTGAACGCCTGACCACCAAATGGTGGGGGAGGGTCGCGGAGATGGGTGGGGGGGGGGGATTAAGGGAGAATTAAACAATCCTTGCATTTCACGCACAGCAACAACCTGCGTGTATATAGCGGCCCTCCCCGCAGGGTCGTGTCCCACACACACACACACACACAGCACCGCTCGCTTCGGCACAGATTTCTCAAAACGCTTGGCAGGAATTTAATCTTGAAGTGTAGTGACTATTTTTGTAGGCTGGCACGGCGGCCAATCTGCACGCGGCAGAATCCATGACATACGTGCGTGACCGGGACACCGAGAGGAACTCCTCTTTTTTTGAGAGACTCATTTCTCTTTGACCGAGCCTTCAGCTCCCCTCTCGACTCTCTTCCCCCTCCTCGCTCCCTCCCTTCCCTCCCCTCACCCTGACCATTTCCCCCCCTCCTCGCTCCCTCCCTTCCCTCCCCTCACCCTGACCATTTCCCCCCTCCTCGCTCCCTCCCTTCCCTCCCCTCACCCTGACCATTCCCCCCCAATGCTCGGGTCATGACCCAACTGTGCAGCGCCTCGGGACGTCCTCCTGACGTGAAAGGCGCTTTATAAATGGAATCTTGTTGTTGTTGTTGTTGTTGAGACGTGCCATGGGATCTTTGACATCCACATGAACAGGCAGACAGCCCACCATGAATATTTAGCGCCCTGTGCAGGATAAAAGAAAAGTCAGCCATGGATCCCCATTAATCATTGTTACATAATCGCTCTCAGGTGACTGTGCATTTTGTGGGTGAAACTTACGTGAGGCATTCCATTTGACAGATGAATCAACACTCCTGCACAGCCAATTTATAGCGAGGTGCTAATTAGAGAAAGGTCTTACAGCTCATCTGTCTTGTACAAGGCTGAGCATGTTTCTGCAGGCAGCTCCCATTACCCTCCCCAGTTGACCTTTGCTCTTATCTACTGTCCCACATAAAAGGCTTCACCGATGCTGGAAGCTCTGTGACCGGTGGATATGTTGTCACAATCGGGCTTGTATGATGTCAGTCGCTATTCATAAGGCATCTATTTGACTCCTGGGCCACTCCTTATGACGATGGTATCGATTGGTGTACTTTGATTAAGCTACGATGGTTGATCAGATGCTGATTTAGAATCATAGAATCTTACAGCACAGAAAGAGGCCATTCACCCACTGTGCCTGTGCCGGCTCTTTAAAAGAGGTATCCAACTCGTCCCATCGCCCAGCTCTCACACCACAGACCTGCAATTTTTTTCCTTTTTAAGTACCTATCCAATTCACTTACTGAGCAACATCACACAACCCTCTGGTTCTGCTTTCCGGTGTATAAATAAACTGAGGATGTGTGCAAGAGCCTTGTTTTCTTCCCTTTTCTCCTATCCTCAAGTTGCTGACCCTTCTCAAGGCACTACGTCAATTGCAAGGATTATCATTGTTAAGTGTTTGGGATATCAATTAGGCTCCAAGCATCAAACCATATCGAGGGTTGTTTTGGGAACGCAATCAGTACCATCAGCTGCAGCATCAATGCAACTTGTACAGCAGCCAGTTTCAACCAATACTTAAATCCAGAATAATAAATGTTCCCGACTTTTGATGGAGCCTTTTAATATCGGGAGGATGTCTCACTGTGATTCACAGGGTTTACTGCAAAGTGTTGGACCAAGTATTTTGTAGGCAAATATGAACACGGCAACTGAACAATTAAGTTGAAAGCGTTTTTAGGTGGTCAACGGAACTGCTCTGTTAACTTTCTTGACGTCATTAAGGGTTAGCACCTCTGAGCTGCTTCTCTACAGCAGAGAAGTTGGAATTACAGGAAGATTGTCTAAGCGCCATCTCATGGTCAGATGCATTCATTTTTTTGTGCGCTGAGATACATCATATTCTTTATGTAATCAATTCAAACCTCACATAAATAATAGCCCTCGTATTTGATACGGCGTCTTATCACGTCTTCGAGACGTCTCAAAGCGCTTCACAGGATATACTGTAAAGTGAATTGACCGTATAATTTGTGGGCAAAACACGGCAGCCAATTGCGCACAGCAAACAGTCTACCATGAAGCTCATCAGGAGGACAAGCTGAATTGCAGAGTTTTCCCTTGAAGACTGGAGGGGAGTGAGTGGAGGGAAAACAACAACTTGCATTTATATAGCGCCCTTCATGCTGGAAGGCGTCTGGGAGCGCTTAACAGTGGCGGAGCCTGATGCCGAGCCAGTGGGAGGGGGAAAGTGATCATAGGCGCGGTCGAAGAAGGTCTTCAAGCATGACCAAAAATGGGGAGAGAGAGGGGGGCAAGGCCAAGGGATTGAGGGAGAGAGTTCCACAGCCAGTCATAGCATTTAACAGAAAGGGACCACAGAACTCGAACATTTGATTGAGTCAGTTCTTTATGGCTGTCAAGTTCATTTTGTACAATTGTCTGCCTTTGAACAATAGGACTTTGCAGACCAGAATTTTGCTACGGGCTCTTTCCCACCTCGGCTATAACCACACTCCAGAGACCTGTGCAAAGTCACATTTCGGAGAGAAAATAAAACGAAGTATTCGCTCTGTGACATGTTTACACTTCAGATTCAACACCCAGATTCTTCAATTCTTCGGCAGTTAAGTATACAGTAGAGGCAAGTCATTTCTCACCAGTAAGTTTGCTGAATGTGCTTCTTAACCCAAGCTATGGGTTCTCTTACCGGTCGGTCACAAGAACTTTACATGAATCAATTCATCGATGCATAAGACAGCTTCACAATCAACAGCGGAATCGCACTCAGCACTTTTCGTCTCTCATGCTCCAGGAACCTTTCTGTAGACTTGTTTGCATACTTGATCTGAACAGTGCAGTTCCTGAAGAAGAAGAGAGGGGTGAAGGGGAGGGAGGGGAAATTAACGCCACCCTGTATTCACATCTCTAACCTGCTCGGCAGACTCCCCACCTCTTCTCTCCACAAGCTGCAGATTGTCCAGAACTTCCCATAACAAGCTACGTGAACCAATCACCCCCATCTGTGCCCGGCTCCACTGTCTCCCATCCCCCAGAGGATTGAGTTTAAAATCCTTGTCCTCATTTTTAGAACCCTCCGTGGCCTTGCTCCTCCCCACCCCTTTTAACACCATACCAACCCTCCCACACCCTCTGTTCAGCTGACCTGTTCCCCGTTCCCCCTTCCAAATAAATGTAATGTGTTGTTGAAAGACCTGGAAGCACTTCGCTAGAATGAGATTAAACAGAAATACCAAGTGAAGATCGCCATCCTCAACCCAGTGAGTCCAGCCCCGATTCTCCTTTTCTCCCTTCTGGACACACACCAGTTTGTTGGAAACCCAGGTCACCAGACTCTGCAGGGCGAAAGCAGAAGGCATCACGTGGAATCCCGTAGCGTAGTGGTTAGTGCGCAAGCGAGAGAACCCCCCCCCCCCCGGGTTCGATTCCCGAAATCTTAGGCACGTTTGCTGACTCCACACGCCTCTGTTGACCCAGCAGAAAGTAGGAACCGTGTTGTTAGTCGATTGGCGGATCACTTTCCGGGTAGGGGGGGGAGAGGGGAAAATCCATCCCCCACTCCCCCCCTAAAAAAAATGCGGTCACTCAGTCCACGACCGTTTGTGGGACACCGCTGGGCGCAATTGGCTGCCGCGTAACTCCCGCAAAATACAGTGTCAAAGCAAGAGCGTCTCGCCCAGTGTCCTGGCCAACAGTCCCCCATGTAGAATTGGTCATTCATTGACTTCACGACTGTGTGTGCGTGTGCGCAAACTGGCTGCTGCTTTTGCTGAAAAATAAACAGCCCCTGGACTTTACAATCCAATCCTGCGCTGCACTTTGAGACATTTCGACGATGTGATAGGGCGCAATATTGAATTCCAGGTTTATGAAACGACATGAATTTCTTACCTTGCATTTCCTGTTATCTAATCCCTTTGTATCTTCTTCAAACTCTTCTCCTACTGTGAATTGGACCCTGTAGTTTCTGAACGTGCTGAGGGTTTTGACGATGAACGAATCCCCTTTCTGTTCAATAACTTTCTGAGGTTTCAGCAGGTTGGCAATCTTGCGTGTGGGGAAATCAATATCTGTCATTTTTTAAATAAAAGAAAGACCTACCCACGTTAGACCTTAAACTCTTAAAATGTGAGATTAAGTAGGATTTTTTGGAAAATTCTTACCTTCGGAAGCCAGTTCTTTGTCAGAACTGCAAAAAACACAAAAGCTTTAAAATTAAGACCGGACGTAAGAAGGTCCCAAAATTTGAGTGTGCGTCAGCCTGGCTGAGATGGTAGCTCTCTCGCCTCAGAGACAGAGGGTTGAGTGTTCAAGACCTACATTGGGGACTTTGAACTTACGGTCTCGGTTGACTCCCCAGTGTAGTGCTGGCGGGAGCACTGCATTGTCAGTGGTGTCATCCTTCGGATGAAACGTTAACATTAAAACCATAGTTCTGTTCAGGTAGACGTAAAAGCGAGAAGGATATTTCTCCCGGTGTCCAGGCCAACAATCCCCCCGATTAAAAAAAAGGTTGTTCGCTCCACAGCTATTTCTGGGTTGTTTGCTGTGGCGTAACTGGCTGCCTACAAAATACAGCCACTGCACCTTACAGTGAATCCTGCGAAGTGATTTGAGACGTCCTCCCGACTCGAAAGTTACAGCGAATGCAAGGATTGTTACGTTCAATCGAAAAACATTGCAAATCAAACAAGCAACCATGGCCACTGCCCCAGCCCGTCAATAATAATAATAATCCTTGCATTTGATACGGCGCCTTATCGCGTCTTCGAGACGTCTCAAAGCGCTGCGCAGAATATACTGTAAAGTGAATTGACTGTGTGATTTGTCAAGCGTGTTTGACTCACCCAGCGCTGCCATGTAAGCTTCAAAGTTATCGTTGCTGACCATGTTCCAGGTACCGTTGAAATCGGTAGACATCGTGAGCGAGTGTATTGGAGCCCTGTTATCAAGTGAAATAACAAGATAACTGCTGCCGTGTCACCCCAACACCGAGCAGGGAATCTACAAGTCAGGACTGAACGTAGAAATGTACTGAGTAGGCACAAGAGGAGGGGTTAACCTACCCTGACCTGGGCAATGATCTCCTCTGTTCAACCCATTGAACCTCGGCACTGCTGACCAACCCTTCCCAATGGAAACGCTCTCTACACTTAGTGCACTCAGTGGTCTTATCCTCAGTTCTGGTATCTTTGCTCTCGCCAAGTGGCGCTCAGCTCTGAGATGGACGTCTGACCTGATAAATGCAAGTTGCTTCTCTCTATTTTTGTAGTGCTTTGAGATTCGGGGGTGGGGGAAAGGGAAACTTCAGCAACCACCCCCCACCCCATGACCTGGACAATCCAGTATAAAATGCAAAGCTACAGGTTTTTTTTTGTTGATACTCTGTCTCCGTGTTGTTATCTGTGTTTGCTCACGGTATCGATTACTCAATCTGCTAACAGTGGGAAATCAGTTCCAGATTCCCAAGTGACCTTGAAACAGTTTCAACACGACATTCAACCTCTCAGTCGACCTCAGTGTAAAGAGAAAACCAGGGTGTGTTTCATCTCTCCCAAGTTAGTTCATCTCAGCCAGCAAAGCGCAGTTGGTTTAATAGAATCCTACAGCACAGAAGGAGGCCATTTGGCCCATCATACCTGTGCCTTTTTGAGAGCTACCAACTAGTCTCACTCCCCCGCTCTCTCCCCATAGCCTTGCAAAGGTTTCCTTTTCAAGTACCTTTCCAATTCCCCTTTGAAACCTGCTATCAATAATAATAATAATCCTTGCATTTGATATAGCGTCTTATCCGTTGATAATAACTAAGGTTATTATAAGAGTGAGTCCAGCAATAAGCTGCTGCACATCAAGGGCTGAAGGACAAGCGAGAAGCAAATTGGAGGGTTGGAAAAATAATTCACAAACAGCCATGGATTGAGCGACCAATTTTATTTGGGGGGATTGTTGCCAGGAGACCAGGAGAGAGAGACTCCCTCTCTTTCTGAATAGTGCTGTGGGGACTTTAACGTTCACCTCAACGGACACAGATGGGATCTCGTTTTAACGTCTCATCCAAAAGGTTAACATCCAACAGTATGAAACACGATCCGGTTTCAACAATAGTTTTGACAACTATCAAATGTAAAGTCACATATTCCCCCCCCCACCCCCATCCATTCACAAACACTTCCCGCACCCCATTCCCCCCTCCTAATCCCACCGTAAACTCATATTTGATCCACGGATGGCTTTCCGACAAACGCGGGTGGAATTTTCCGATTTATTCTTTGACCTCGGAGCCAAGTGTCAGAGTTGCGCCGAACGTTCCTGCTCCCGAACCGAGGTGTAAACGAGGGTATAGGTGAGGCCACTAACCTAGTCGAGATCAGGTAAATATCAGCACAGTCCAGCGATCAGACCCACAGCTCTCCTGACCTGTCTCAAGTTCTTGCCCTGTTGACATGTAACAATGATCATAGGAACATAGGAAATACTAGACAAAATAAGACCAAAGTCCATCCGTTCGCCTTCCACCATCCTGACAGTCGCTTTCACATGTCAAGTCCCGAACTACTCTCATATACTGACTGTCTCCCTGAATATTACTATTTCCTAAAATAAATCTGTCTGATTTGCATTTGAAAGAATCAACAAGTTCAGCTTCCACTGTCTCCCTCCCATTTACCACCCGCTCACCAAAATAGTGTTTCCGCAGATTAGTTTGGAATTTACCCCCCCCCAATCAATTTGGTTAATCGGCGGCAGGAGGGGGAGGGAGGGAGGGGAGAAGGGAAGAGAATCTCAACCTGCGTCCATCTTATCTCTCAAAGTGATCAATGATAGATCTTTTCGACCTTCCTTTCACTCAAAACGAGACATCAAAAAAAGAATTAATGCAAACGCTTAATTTTGTGGGGTTTTTTCATATTAAAAAAAAGCAAAGACAGAAGTGTGTACGGACGGACGGGGAAGGGGGCGGGTGTGGGGGGGGGGGGGGAGTCTTGCACGGACTTTGGTTAAAATCAACAGCCAAAAAAAAATGCATCAACAAAATGTTTTCTTTATTCAAGACTGCTTCACAACCAACCCACATACAAGTCTTAAACAGCTCAATATTCCTTCATCGATAATAATAATAATAATAATAAAGCGGTGTTCCTTTCTTTTCCCTCCGACGTTAAACGGGAATTATTTACTCCCCCAGCCCATGTCCACACCCCCAGCCCAACCTCACCCCACCCCCCCAACCCCATCTCCCCCATTTGGAGCCCAGAGAGTGTGTTGGCAGTTCACCTCGCTCCCAGGCCTGAGGTGTTGAGATGTTAACATCCCCAACACGCATTTTAGAAGCTGACAGTAGAGAGCGATTAAAAACTGATAAAAACACCATCAAAATCGAACACTTGCTGACTACTGCTCTGGGGGTGGGAGGGTCATTGGTGGAACCGGTAGTGGAGAGGGCGACAATGGGTTAAAAAGATTCACACACATCCCCCATCACCACCAGAACCAGCCCCACTCCTCCAAGCCCCAGCCCCTCAGAGGTGAACCAGGCTTATCAAGGAGAAAGTGGGAGAGCTTCGCTGATGCAGCACTGTGATGCGCTGGAGACAGTCTCATGGATCTAACTCACCGGGAAGAGCGATCAGAATCCACGTGGGGCCTCCCCCGCCTGCTCGCTCCGCACTGGAAGGAGATCTTACTTGGTTTCCTTGGCGTTGCGTCGAAGTGGCTCTAAAACCACGCCGTCGTTCTTGTCCTCGCTCTCCTGATCATACAAGTGATGCTTCTGTAGGTACTGGACCACGGGGTCGGGCAGCAGGTACCTGACGCTCTCTCCCCTGCGCAGGGCGCGACGGACCTTGGTGGCTGAGATGTCGTTGCCGATCCACTCGGTCACCAGGTGAATGTTCTGCCGGTGACGCCACAGCAGGTCGGACCCGTACACGAAATCCTCGGGCTTGTTGCCCGTCCGGCTGATGCACACGAGGCTGAACTTGCCCACGATCTCCTCCAGGTCCTCTGTCGTCCAGAGGTTGGGGACCGCGAATGTGGCCAGCACGTCCGCCCCACACAGCAGCATCACCTCGGGGCAGTCTGAGGAAGAACAAGTGCCTGTTTTAATAATAATATCGGTGTTTGTTACAGCACTCAGTTTATTATTCTGTTCGTCCTCAAAATACAGTCAATTCACTTTATAGTATATCCTGTGAAGCGCTTTGAGACATCTCGAAGACGTGATAAGTCGCTGTATCTAATGCAAGGATTATATTATTCCTCCGCTAATTTCCCCCTCCTTCCCCCATTCCCCCTCCTGTCCTGAAGGAATTTGCCATCATTTTGTTTCCTTTCACAGGAGGGGACGTTTCCACGGACGTGCCTCTCCTCAGTGATTCTGGCTTAAAGATTTTAAATAAACAATGAGATTGTGTCTCTGTGCAGTTAAGAATCATAGAATCTTAGTGCACAAAAGGAGGCCATTCGGCCCATCGCGCCTGTGGACGGCTCTTTGAAAGAGCTGCCCGAATAGTCTCACTCCCCCACTCTTTCCCCATAGCCTTGTAATTTTTTTTTGCCGATTTAATACTGGACCGATCGCCCGTTGTACGTTGAGGTTTGCCCACCTTTTGTTTCCAATGAACATTCTTTTTCTTCTTTCTTCCTTTTCTTGCCTCTCTTGCATCGAGCAGAGCTCTTCTCGGCGTTGCTGAGGTTTCGGAGGTTCTCGTGATGGTGTCTTAAGGAGAGAGAAAAGCCCGGAATGAAGCACTAATCATCCAGAACTGAGCATCTCCTTCCAAAGTGGCCGCAGTCCGAATCAATCCCAGAATTGAGGTCAATTCAGTCCATCGTGTCTGTGCCACATGATCAACTTTGCTATAAATTACCATCAGTCGGATGGGAGTTCAAAAGAGATTTCTAAATTTTGTTTGACCGGAGAAGTTTAATTCCGCGGAGAGTATTAATAATAATAATAATGATAATCTTTTGAATTTCACGTCGGAAGGATGGCTCAAAGCGCTTCACAGGATTCATTATAAAATGTCGTGACTGTATTTTGTTAGGCAAACGAGACAGCCCCCAATTTGCACGCAGCAAATGTCCCACAAACAGGCATGAAATGAATAACCGATTATGATGATAATCCTTTCATTTGAAACAGCGCCTTTTCACGTTGTTGAGACGTCTCAAAGCGCTTCCCCAAAAATACTGTAAAGTGAACTGACTGTATATTTTGTGGGCGAAATTGCGCACAGCAGCGTCCCCACAAACAGTCGTGGATTGAGTGACCAATTTTTTTGTAAGGAATTATTATCCCCTGAAAACGATCTGCCAATCGACTAACAGGCAGGTCCTATTTACTTCTCGGTAAACAGAAGCGCGTGGACTAAGGAATCTTGCCTAAGGCCGGGAATCGAACCCGGGTCCTCTCGCTCGCGAGGCAAGTGCTCTAACCAATACGATACAGGACACTTTATTACACTTTTTCCCCACAAGAATCGGCAGATGTTTTTTCCTCGAGCCATGTCACTCACCTGAGAACCTTCACGGTCTCGACCCATTCCTTCTGATTCATCTCCCAGGGATCCACGGTCACCCAGTCACTGCTGTCAGTGGCCAGGGTCGCCATTGTCAGGCGATGATGTGACTCGATTAGACCTTTCTTTTTATAGGCGTCGCCCACTGGTGAGATAATACCCTTTATCACTGTGTATTTCCCTGCAGCAGTTTGGAAAGATAATTGGATTAAACTTGAGTTGCACAAGCACCCAATGGCAAGATATGGCAGTTTTAACTGGTTAGACTGTCTGTGTTTTACACCTGGAAGAGACTGAATAATGTGACGTACACATCTCATGTCCGACTGTTTCCACACCCACACTCTAGTCATTGGGGGACAGGGAATCCTCCCATTCAGCTCCTGTTAACCCTGCCAGCCAATGCCCTAACGGTAAGGTCGTCCTTGTTGGACAAGCAGCGGGTAAGCTTTGCCAGCCAGTGCTCTCAATGGCAAGCTGTGTGGTTTAGCTGATTAGACTCCAGCAGTTACTGCCAACGCTCACTCTGGGCTCCCCCACAAGCTTTGGCTCTTGCCAACCTGCGTCTAATAATGTCTGGAATTAGGTAAGCAGGATGTGACCCTCCAGGGAGAGGGAGAGTATGTATTCCATTGCAACAATCTCCATGTGTAGGTGGGATGGGATGCGTGGAATTCTCATCTTGGTTTGGATACATGGGTTTCCGCGGCTGATCAAAACAAAGGACAAAAAGTCTACATTCTGAGTTAAAAGAAAGAACCAGCATTTCTCCAGCTCCTTTAAACAATTGCCAGAAAGTTGAGCCGCCTCAAAGTCAGAATAATCCTTGCATTGGATATAACTTGATCTCAAAACACCTCTTCACGGGATTTCCTGTAAAGTAACACAGTCACTACACTTCACAGTAAATCCTGAGAAGCGCTACAAGACGTCCTTGCAACACGAAAGGCTCTGTATCAAACTGAAAGGGTTATTAATATTAGTGACTGTGAACTCACATTTTATAATACAATAATAATAGTTGCATTTTACACATCGCCTTATCACGTTGTCCGAATGACTCAAAGCATTTCATAAGATCACTGTAATGCGATATAGAATTTTGGTAATTATTATTGTTTTGTACAAGAGAAAAATGATGATGCATTTTTAAAAAAAAATTGAAGCCAAACCTGTTCCTTGCAGATAATCTCGCGCCAACTCAAACATCCTGAGGTGCATGTTGGTGATGGGATTAAAGGACCCACAGGACAGCAGCACCACTTCCACTCGCTTCTCAGGATTCTCCATCGCTGACGCACTGTGAAACACACGGACGGTGGGTTATGTTCAAAAGTCCCGTAGCGTAGCGAGAGGACCCGGGTTTGATTCCCGCCACGGCTGGGCCAGGGCGAAAAGCTTAGGCAAGTTTCCTTACTCCACACGCTTCTGTTTAACCATCAGCAAGTAGGAACTTGGCTGTTGGTTGATTGGGATTGTTAACGTCCACTTGAACAGGGAGATGGTTTAACGTCTCATCCAAAGGACTCCGACAATGCAGCGTTCCCCTCACGCTGCAGCGTCGTCTTAAACTGTGCGATTCCAAATCCCGACGTGGGGGGGGGGGGGGCTTGAACCCTTCAGCCTTCTGGCTCAGAAGGTGAGAGCGCTACCGACCGAGCCGGGCTGACACATGTCCTGCCATTGTTTTAAAATTAATTTAACCACGCAGGTATATCCTGTGCTTTGTGTCGGGCTCCGCCACTGTTAAGCGCTCTGAGACGCCTTCGGGTCGAAGGGCACTGTATAAATGCAAGTTGTTGTTGTTGTTTAGTGAGTGTTTTAATAACAATAATAAACCGTGCATTCGATAGAGTGCCTTATCGCGTCGTTGAGATGTCTCAAAGCGATTCACAGTATATAGTATCAAGTGAATTGACTGTATATCTTGAGAGCAAAATATTATATTCAACAGGTCCAATATCTCTGCGTGAAAGCAGTGTGGGCCCTGAGTTTCACACCGGGCTAAATTTGAGCAGCATCTCTCAGATACAGCATTGGGTTGCCTTGGGTACAGTCCACACCTCAAACCTGTCCATCTGTTTTGAGTACCAGGACCACAAAATTCAAACATCAAAGCGAACAAGCTTGTGAGATGTTGTGTGTAAAAAATAAATTACCACCGTCTGCCTACATTGCATCCAAAAATGCCAAATCTTTTATCATTTGCAAACTTACTAATCTTTACTGGGCCTTAAATCTGTAACCAGTTGACATTTAGTCTGGATCGAAACCACCCATGACACTCCACCAAGTCTTCCACAGCTGTTAACCGTACTGGTTTGAAATGAAACAAAATGAAATCTCTAAACTCTGCGAACCTGAGAAGACTTTGAAATACGATCTGTGAGTGTTGCCCTCTCTCGCCTAGACGAAGGAGCCCAAATTGCATAAGGACTACAGTAAACTGCTTACGTTTAAGATTTTGGCTTAAACCCATTACATGGAGATAGACAGATATTGAAATGCAAAGGAGAAACGAGGGTTGAAGACAGCCCTGTCCACTTCTAACCTCTCTGGTTCCTGCTTCCTCCGGATCAGTGCGAGTGCGTGAGAGGGAGAAAGACACCAGATTAAACCAATGGGTTTATGTGGGAGGGAACGTGCAACCAAATCCTGCTCAGCCCGACTACACTGAAAGTGACAGTGCAGATAAAAACACAGAGAAAGGCTGTAGGAGGGTAAATACTATGAGATTATTTTCGCTGGCCAGCAAGTAAAGCAACCAGAGGACACGCGCGATTAATTGATCGCAAATGAAATTAAAGGGGAGATTAGAGGGAGATGGGGATCTTTATTAATAATAATCTTTGCATTTGATACAGCGCCTTATCACATCGTTGAAACGTCTCAAAGCTCTTCACTGAATATACTGTAAAGCGGAGTGACTGTATATTTTGTGGGCGAAACGCGGCAGCCAACTGCGCACAGCGACGTCCCCACAAACAGTCGTGGATTGAGTGACCGAATTATTATTTTTTGGGGGTTGGACTGATAATGGGGTTCCGACTTACACCTTGGTAAACAGAGGCGTGTGAAGGAAACTTTCCCAAGGTTTTGCCCCGCCCGGGATCGAACGTGGGTCCCCTCGCTTGTGAGGCGAGCGCTCTAACCATTACCCTACGGGACTCCACGAACATCTATGATATTAGGAGAATTCTGGCCGAGAATTAGGAATCTTCGCTCTGCGCTTCCTGCCTTTATTTCCGGTTGCTTGCTTGGTCGTTACTTATACCGTTACATCGCAATGACCCAGCGTGTGTTTTTGTAACCATTCCTGGCTTTATCTCATCTCGTTTACTGACAAGCGGTTTATCTCTGTGTCCTTAGGTGGCAGATTCACTTCATTCAATCCTAGAAGCACAGAAGGAGGCCATTCGGGCCATCGTTGCCTGTACTGGCTCTTTAAAAGAGCTACCAACTAGTCCCACTCCCCCTGCTCTTACCCCACAGCAGTTACCCTGTTTAATACAGTGAGCTGAGCTACTGTGTCCAGCGATGTTCACGTACACTCTCTCCTCTCCTACAATTCAGTCACTTGAACCCACGCACCCTCCTGCCCAATAAACTGGTCCCCTAATCCACGACCTTTTGTGGGGCACCGCTGTGTCCAATGGGTTGCCGCCGCATATCGCCCACAAACTGCACAGTCACTCCGCTTTACAGTGCACTCTGTGAAGCGCTTTGAGACGTCTCAAAGAGGGGATAAGGCACTGTATCAAATGCAAGGAATATTATTATTTATTATTATACCTCTGGCAGACATTGTTCCCACTCCAAATTGATCGGGAACCTGAATGCCGGCTGCTCGTCCCTCACCCGAGAGCTTTGTGCCCATTAGTCACAGAGGCTAACACCCCCCACCTCCCCCCCCCACCCCGATATCAGGGGTCTCCAACCAGTCAGTCTCCACAAGGTGGCACTGTCACATATGATTAAGAAGACAGGACGGATGGATAGATAATTGGCTGCCTAGTTTCACCCACAAAATACACAGTCACTTCACTTTACAGTATATCCTGGGAAGCGCTTTGAGACGCCTCGAAGACGTGATAAGGCGCTGTATCAAATGCAAGGATTATCATTATTATTGGAGCAAGCTTGTTTGTAGTGCAGCAAGGATCCTTCTAATACGGTTAATTCCCTTCACGTAAACAAAATAATAATAATTTGGGTCGTTCAATCCAAGACTGTTCGTGGACAATTGCTGCTGTGCGCAATTGGCTGCCACATTTCACCCACAAAACAGTCAATCCGCTTCACAGTCAATTACAGTGCTAAGGCTTTATATCAAATTTAAGGATTATTAATATTATTATAATAATTCTCCCACCCACCCACACACAAGCTGGAGCTCTCTCTCTCTCTTTTACACACACATACATCTCTTCTTTATACACTGAGGGTCGTGACATTGGAATGATCTGGCAATGTTTGCAATGGTGATTGTCCATTGAAAGGCTCAGAGCTCTTCATGAAACAGAAAACACATTCAAAAACCTGCCTCTCTAACTTGGCCAAGACAGGGGGGGGAGAGGAGGAGAGACAGAGACAGATACAATAGAGCAAGTCTGCATCAGAGAGAAACTAAAATCTTAATTTACAAGGGAATGAGAGAGGGAGAGAAAGTGGAAAAAAAAGATTGGAGCAGCAGAGTGTGTGAGAGTGGGAGAGAGAGAGTGACTGAGTGGTGAGAGAAGAGAACCAAGTGTGGATCAGAGCGAGTAATTGAGAGCAAATGGGGGGTGTGAGAGAGGGAGTGTGAGTGTGTGTGTCTGTCTGTGTGTTACAGCAAAGAATGAGAGTGAATGTGTTACAGCAAATAAAACATGAGAGTTAAAGTGTTTTGGTTTCAGCCCCAAATGTGAAACTGGACCAGAAACTGGAGATGGTGTCAAAGGGAAAATATGGGTTGTGGATCAAATGCTGAGAGATGGAATCTATTATGTGAGAGAAGGAATGAAAGAGAGGAGGGTGGGAAGAGAGAAAGGAGAGGGATAAGAGGGGGAAGGGGAGGAGAGAGGGGGGGAGGAGAGAAGAGGGAGAGAGAGAGAGCGAGAGGGGGCAGGGAAAAGAGAGAGGGAGGAGAGAGAAGGGAGGAAAGAGAGAGAGAGAGAAGGGGAGAGGAGAGAGAGAGAGAGGGAGGAAAGAGGGGAGAGAAAGAGAGAAGCTCAGCCTCACTGAGAGTGAGTTGCAGAGAGAGAGAGAGAGAGAGTGTGAGAGAGGGAGAGAGAGAGAGAGAGAGAGAAGATGCTGAAAGTGATTGCTCAGTCTTTGGCCATTTTCCTTCTCATTTTCCTCCTCGTCGCCAATTTCGTGGTGGTGAAAAGTGCAGAGGCAATTAACGTGGCGTACAGGAGGCTGTGCAGACACTGAGGGCAGCTCTGACCCCCCCCCACCAACTGGTATTTACTATGTGATTTGTTTGTTATGTGTTGGGGATACGTTTTGTTTTGTTATTGTATATTGTTTGATAACAATTTGCCATTTGATTTACTAACCAGAGAGAGAAATAGGGAGAAAGAGAGAGAGAGAGGGGGGAGGGTGTGTGTGTGGGGGGGTGTGGGGGGGGGGGGGGGGATAAGGAAAGGAGAGAGGGGGAAGGAAGAAAGAGAGATTGGGAGGAATTAGAGAGAGGGAGAGAGAAAGAGGGAGAAATAAAGGAAGGAAGGGGTGGGGGAGAGAGAGAGGGGGGGGAATAGAGAGAAAGGGGGGGAGGAATAGAGAGGGAAAGGGTGGGGGAGGAATAGAGTGGTAGGAAGAAAGAGAGAGAGAGAGAGTGGGGGAGGAAGGGAGTGTGAAGTCTGTTTCACTGAAATAAGTCAGAAAATGTCCAGACAAACTGGTTGTTAGAGAGAATCAATGGCTAAAATATCTAAACGGCATCTAAAGTTACCCCCCTCCTCCCCCCCAAAAAAAAAATATTTTACTTAATTTTAATAAAAAAAAGCTTTTTTTTTGAAAAACAGACCAATTTTTTTTACCAGTAAAATCCAGTTGTCGCTGTTGTTGTTTCTGCACTTTACAGATGTTACTATTTCTCATCATTTTCACTTGCAGTTCCGTTCACAGTGATTTGAGGGTATTTTTTTGGGGGGGGGGGTCAGATGTGGAGTTTTTTGTAAAAAAAATCAAAATACATATTTTTTTAAAAAAAGTAAAAAAACATAATTTGACAAAGTGTTTTTCTAAAAATTATTTTCGATTTAATTGGACGTTGTTTTTTGGGGGGTGTGTGTGCGGGAGGGGGGGTGGGGGTGGGGGTGAAGCACAGATAGTGGTTTTTTAAAAAAAATAAAATTTGAAACCATAATTTGTTTAATATAAAAAAAATCATTCGACAAATAAATGTCTTTTTCTATTGAATTGGACATTTTTGGGGGTGGGGTTGGGGGGGGGGGGAGGAAGAAGAGGATTTTTGGAGCTTCTTTTGGGTGGGGGTTGGAAAAAAGGAAGGATCAGATCATTAGTTTTGTCACAGGATATTTAATTCCCCCCCCACCCCCCCCCCTCAGCGTCCTCTGTCGCTAGGAGACCACAAAGATCTCAAACACCAACTCATTAACTAATGTTGTTAAACTCCCATCACAATCCACAGGTAAGAAGAGAGGCTGTGGCTGATGTTAGGGCTTGTGGCTGTGTCTGTGTGGAATTCAGTGGTTCGGTCACTCGCCTCTCAGAGCTGGAGTCAATCCAGCCAAAACCACACCGCTGGCCATGGACATCACTGTCCGGCCAGCTTTCCCTCCCGCTGCTTGTCGAGGAACCAATCTCCCCGTTGGGGCTTTGGCTTGCAAGGTTAACAGGAGCTGAGTGGGAGGGTTCCCCGCCCTCAGTGTGACTGGTCTGCCCACTGAGCCAGGCTAACGCGTATTTAATCCCGAGGGGAGGCTCTCAGCAGAACGCACACGGCTCATGGGAGCAGATTCCCAAACCTTGGTCCACACGCAGCTCCCCCCCCCCCCCTCCTCCTCCTCCCCATATCACCAGACTCTCTCTGCCTGCTGGGGTTTTTGGCTCTTCTTTCTTTCGTGTCCCCTCCACCTCTCTCCGCACTCACTCACTCACTCGCCGCGTGTTGCTGCAGGGCTGTGATTCTGAGAAATACTGGTGGGACTGTCCGGGCCATTGCTTTGGCCTTTTGCTTCACTGTTTTAGGTGTTTAAGGACAGACTGGCTGGACAATGTTGCATTACTGCCTGGCCCACACCGCCTATCACTTGAGCAGAAGGCTGCCTAAACGCAGCAGACTGAGATTGTAAGTATCTCTCAGGGATCTGAAGTACATAATGACAACGACTTTGCATTTATATAACGCCCTTCGCGCGAGGCAGTGTCTTGGAACGGTTAACAATGACCCCAAGCCAATCCTTGCATTTGATATGGCGCCTTATCACGTCTTCGAGACGTCTCAAAGTGCTTCACAGCATATACTGTGAAGTGAATTGACTGCATGTTTTGTGGGCGAAACGCGGCAGCCAAGCAGTGATCAGCGCAAGTGATTTTATTGATATTCCCAAGTTTTTTGGGGGGCAGATCAGGGGTTTGGGAATCCAAACGATAGCCAGCGGGAGGCGATGGGAAAATGCAGGGCTTGCGTTTCTGTCCTCGGAGATTCTAATAAAGCTTTCTCTCTCTCTCTCCATTTGTATATCTCAGCACTTTCAGTGCCAGCAACCACAACTGCATTCCCTGAGCACTCCCCAGGGCTTGAGGTTTTTGAGGGGAAACAAGTCCAGAGTGAGAGAAACATTACACACGAGAACAGAAAGAAGAAAAACTCCTCACACAGTCCCAAGTTCTTGTTTGCTGTTTGCAACCGTGGGAACAACAACAACAACTTGCATTTATACAGCGCTCCTTAGCGTCCCAGAGCGCTTGACAAGTTATCTTACGGTAACGTAAGATTTAAAGACACCGATGAAATGCGGGGTTCAAGAAACACAATGTTTTTTTTTGCATTAAAGGCAGAGAGAGAGATAGCAAGTGAAATAGAAGTCAAATAGCTTTCGTCAAATGAGGCATTCTGGCTGTAGGAGGTGTGGAGGTATGAGGCAATTGCAATTGGTGGGGTGGGGGGAAGGCGGCAAATAGAGGAAAGAAGGTGAGACATTTTCTATTTTACAATCATGGCGACGTGTGATTTTTACCTAAAACCGTTACCTGTTTTGCTCCTTTCCAGTCAGATCCTCGTGGTTCTAGTTGTGACTTTCTTTCTCGTTCCTCAGCTCTTTGTACTGTTCCGGTAAGTTAAAACTTTAACCAGGATCCTCCTCCCCCCGCCCCACCCCCCCCCACCCCATTCCCCAAGACTTGGTCGGAAAATGTTGGGAGTCCTGTAGAGCGTATTATTGGTTAGAGCACTCGCCTCGCAAGCAAGAGGACCTGGGTTCGATTCCCAGCTGGGACAAAACCTTAGACATGTTTCCTAACTCCACACGCGTCTGTTTGCCAAGCAGTAGGTAGGAACCTGGTTGCTAGTCGATTGGCGGATCACTTGCTGGGGGTAATAATCCCTTTAAAAAAAAACACATAAATATTAATAAATTGGTCACTCAATCCATGACTGTTTGAGGGACGCTGCTGCGCGCAATTGGCTGCCGCGTTTCGACCACGAAATACACAAGTCAATCCATTTTACAGTATATTCTGTGAAGCGCTTTGAGACGTCTTGGTGAGTGGGAGGGGGAGGAAGAGATTGTCAGCCAGAGCGCTGGTTGGAAATGAGCTGAATTATCTGGAGCAAAAACTCAGTTGCCCACTGTTTCCCCCCCCCCTACCAAACTCTTGATCTTTCAGACCAAAGTCATCGCGTTACTGTGAGCAACCCCTCCTCAGGAACCTAACCAGTTTCATCGTCCTTACCTTCCTCATGACAGGTAAGACACGTGGCTCAGCTTTGTACTGGGCTACAGGTAGGCACAACAACCCCAGCACTGCAGTCCCGAAATAATAACAGTCCTTGCATTTGATCACGTCGTCCAGAAGTCTCAAAGCGCTTCACAGGATATACTGTAAAATGTATTTTGTGGGTGAAATCCCACCTCTTGACCTACAAGATCAAATTTAAAGCCCTCCCCATCCCCCCCTAAAAAACATAGGAAATTCTTAAACAGGGCCTGAAATTTGGAGGGTCTTTTTGTTAAGCATTCGCAGAAAACGCGGCTTCCAAATACACAGTCATTACACCATCAGAAAATCCTGCGAAGTGCTTTGAAATTATTTTGACGACTTGCCAAGGAGCAATATAAAATGCTAGGATTCATTATTTTTATTTCAGAAGGAAGGGTATTAATGCATTATGGGGTTGAGTGGGTGGGTTTAAAATATCTGCCAAGATCTAATAAAATAGTGGAACGGGCTGGGCTGAATGGCCTCTTCCTATGTTTGCTATGTGGTCAGTGCTGTAACATGAAATGTGTGTTAAATATTGGATGAGACGTTAAGACGTCTATAGCATGAGCTGAGGGAGATCTCAATGTAACCAACATGTTATGCAAGGAATTCATGTTCACAAAGCGCTCTGGGACATGACCCTGTGTGAAGGGCGCTAAATAAATGCAAGTTGTTGTTGTTGGAGTCAACGACTGATACTTTTGGTGAAATTCATTCCTTTAGGGTTTACAGTTGTTCTGACTTTGATGGACCCAGTGCCTCGGGAGGTGAAAGTGGCTTTCCACGTGTTTGGAGTAGCATCTTTTGCACAGGGAATGCTAACAATTGCCTTCACTGTTACTGCTCCTGAATGTGTAAGTTCCTTTTCCCACACATATATATATATATGAATATTTTTGTACACATACGCATACACTAAACCTCACATAAGTCAAATCAGTTGGGACCATACATTTAATATGACTTATGCAAAGTATGAGTTATGTCAAATATGGGTAGATGTACCACTTAGATAATTTATACAGATCAGACTTTTGAGTTTTGCTATATATTTTTTCTGAGACATTAACCCAAGGGACTATCTGCCTGTTCAGGTGGACGTTAAATGACCTGACCAGCGCTTTGAGATGTCTCAACAACGTGATAAGGCTCTGTATCGAATGCAAGGACTATTATTATAATACAGCTTTGCTTCACACAGCTCACAATAGGAAACAGTGTTAGGCTGATCGCAGTCAGTGGGAAGAAGAGCTCCATTCATCTGGGCTGAATTCAACATCCCTTAACAGTGGCCTCTCCCGCTCTGATCTGTCGCACACAGATCCAGGACCCATTGACTGCATTTATCCTGACAGGAGAGGGCACTCAGAGTAAAAATAGGTTGTCCCAGTTGCATTGAGGCTTCGACTCCAATCACATCAATATGAAATGCAAAGCAAACAGCACAGAACTTGCTGTCAGACACATTTGCGTATCACTGAATACAGAGGCTCGGGCCACCCAGAAATAGGCAAAACAACACAAGCAGAACAACAAATTACTATAACTGTAGACGTTTGGACTTCAGTATTAAATCTCTCTAAGTTTATTCTTTACCTTTTAGGCAAAGACGACCCCTGAGCTGTATCGCTTGTCCCTCGTGTTGTCTGTATTGAGTGCTCTCGCAACAGGTATGTGCAGAGATCGACACTGGCCCTTTAACTTGAGATTTCAAATGAAGCGCTGGGCTGCTGCACCGCGCGAGGGGCTCTATGTTGTTGTTTGAAATATACGAGTATGTTCAGCTCCGCCTCACAAGATGCCAGCATTATTGTTAACCGTGCTAGTCGACACCAGCGACTGAGGGCAGAGCTGGGCATCAGTTCTCACTGTCGGCCTTCATTACATCGCCATGCCCAGCGAGGGAGATTTTATAACATGGACTAATTTTAGGAGATTTCCACCCAAGTCAAGTAAAGATTTAGAATTGGAGAGGGTGGGTGGGTGGGGAGGTGGGGGTAGTGGTAGTGTCTGAGCTCTTAAGCTACTTTAAATGCACGTCATCAGTAATTTTAAAATGTGTCGTACATTAATTTTGTATTTTCTTTTTTTTTCTTAAATGTTTAAAAACAAGTGTTCGTCCTTTTCACAATACCTTTCTGGCTCGCTAACATTTTCTACCCGGGGATGGTGCTTAATAAGCGTTCCCGGGCTGGGATCTGCTACGAACCCGTCTCGCACTGTTCCTGCCTGTGGCACGTTTAACAAAAAAATCCAGGCCAGCCCTCGCCTCGGAAGGAGAGACCAACGACTCAAAACCATGAATAACACAATCGGTCGCCAAAGCAACAGCCACGCAACAACATTCCAGCGTCTGAGCCATTATCAAGTTGAGTTGACCACCCAGTCAGGTCGTATGAAAAGTCACAAAGAAATTATTAACCCGCTGCAGAGACAGCTGCCTCCTTTTTATTTGTACAATTATCGCTCTCGTTAGTAAAACAGCTAAACTCGGTCACTATGTCCAGCTGTACAGCCAGATTCAGTCAGACCATTTAAGTTTAATGATCTTCATTAATATTGCATCCACTAACCTCTCGTCTTTGTGCAGGTAAAACTGGTAGTTGCACAACTATTAAAAGGGACTTTTTTTCTTAACTAAAAAAATGTTTTTAATAGGAGAGATACCGCCTGCCGAACACTGACCTTTATATCTTAGCGCTGCTGCTGGACAATTACGATTACGAGTGGGCTATGCTGGAGCCGTCTAATCCCTCATGTCCTTAAAAATAAACGACTGGGATTTTCACCTTCCCTGAGTATGTGTTTGGAATCGTAAAGATTCTATTCTTTTACCAGAACAGTTGCCAGCTCGAGAGAGAGAGAAACTCTCCCCCCCCCCACTCTGTACCCCAGACACAGACTGAAGCCTCTGCGTGTGGGATACATGCTCTACTTAGGGTTGATACTTGGGGATGCTGAGGCAGAGTCAGGTAATGGACAGTGGTGTGGGCCAGTGCAGCAAGAGGCCCGTGTACACATTATCCAAACCACACGGCACCACTTCACCCGATTCAATGGAAAAGTGACTCTAAAACAGTTCCCCAGGTGTGGAATTCAGTGAGTGAGTTTCACAGGTCAGTAGGGTCCTGCTTCAAGTCAGCTGCCCCGCGCTGATGTAAGGCTGGATGGCATTACAATTGGACTCACTGAGCCTGGGCTGGGCTTTGGCGTGGGAGAAGAGGGGAAAAAGTGAAAGAAGGCATACACAAGTAGTCAGAGTTCCCAACTCCAATCGCTATCCAGTAACCCCAGTTGATGGAAAGTATGTGTGCGCGCGCCTTATGTACAGCAAGACAGTGTGCAAACGCACAAGCTCACATATAGGTAAAGCAGGACTTGCGGGTGCACTGTATATGCAATATGCAGGATGTCCTGCTTTGCGTGCACCCACCCACTCTGGTCTGACTCTGATCACAGCTCATGGACCAAAAGCAAGACCCTTGCTTTATCACTCCCGTTTCAGATGGGTTTTGCCCACAATTGGATGGGAGGGAGTTTGTAGCGGTTTCCCATCGTTGATCAGCTCATTTTGCTCTTGTGCTATCTCTGCTGATTGCATTGCGATACATGCCAGATCTCTCATTTCCTCACTGTAGTCAGTCACAAGTCACTATGGTACGGATCAGTTTTTCGCGAGTGGCCTAATGATAGTTTGCGTAACAGAACTCACTGTCCCTTTTCACTAACAAACCAGTGAGTACTTTTGAAAGAAATAGAATGGTAACGTGTTGGTTTCAAGGCAGGTACTGGGTGTGGGGTTGGGGGGGGGGGGGGGGAAGGGAATATACTTTGTATTGATAAAACTTTTGCCATTTCAAACGTTGGCATCAATGTGACCTCTGAGTTACTTACAGGCTCGCGCCCCAATTATCCCGTGTGAAACTGGGTTGAATTCTGCATCATTATGCTGTTGGGGCTGAGCAGCTCGCTCTCAAGTTGTGACGCTGTTAACACTTAATATGTTTTAATGAGAGAATAAGATGCTGTACTTTGTTCAGAAGCACTGAATCGTAAGACCGGCGGCACTGCAGATGTTTTAAAGATGTAGCAACAAAGAATTGTTTACATGCCAGTTGTGAAATGTATAGCAAAACACTTAAGACACTGTTGGAAATTAATTGTGATTATTTTGTTTCAATCGTTAAGACTGTTTTCCCATGTTGAGTTATAACTTCTTAAAAAGAGGGTTTGTGTACTCTTTCCACCCCCACCCCTTCCCGAATCATCTCCTTTCACTGGTCCCGGTCTAAATCCATCCTCCCCTCTTGTCAAGAGCTAACAAGAAACGCGCACACACGCACATCCAGCAGACTTCCCTTGATACCCAATGACTGAATTCTGGAGCACGAGATTGAAGGTGCGAGTCTTTGCACGTGGCTCAGTTGATTGCAGATTCAAGCCCTAAATTGGGATTGGAGCTCAAAATCTAGTGTCCAGTCAATTACACTGCAGTCATGGGGCGGGTGAGGGGAGATCTGCATAGTTGGGAGGGGTACCAGTCCTTCAGAGAAGGCCTTAAAAGCACCTGCCTCTTCTTCGGACATTCAAACCATTTGGATTAAACCTCTCACCCGATGGGCTGCCCCCTCCCACTCCACAGCACTGCACTGGGAGCACCATTTTAGACTATCAGCTCAAAGTCCTGACATGGGGCTTTGAACCCATGAGCTCCTGAGGTCGAAAGAGTACAACTGATTGAAGCCAAGCTGACACCTCAAGGGCACACGTGTGGATGGATGGCAGACAAGGATTGAGCTCTGCTGCAACACTTGACGCACTGCAGGATCTTGTCAGCGAGGTCCTTGTGCAGCCATCAGATTCCCGCCTAGGTCAGTGCGTTCAGCAGACAGGCTCGAGGGAGGAAACCGGGACTTAAGTCTTGTATTGAGCAATAATGACTTTCAGCAGTTTTGTTGACTGGAGCCGTTTGGCAACATTGTATTTTCAATAAATATTTTGTGGAAACCCAATCGTTCCCTCTGCCCTCCCATTATTCTTTCCAACTGGGTTCGTGGAAGCCCTGTTCAAAATTCAGGGATTATTGCTTGTTCCTCTTGCAAGGGACTTGTGAGCTGCCCACAAAACACAGTCACTCCACTTTACAGTGCAGTAAACCTCACGTAAGTTGTATCAGTTGGGACCATACATTTAATATTTATTATGAGTTATGTCAAACTTACATAGAATACAGTATAAACTCTTGAACTGGACTCGGGCAGATGTATGATTTAGGCGATCATACAATTTATACAGATTAGATTTATGCGAGTTATTACCATAATTCGTAAGAGCTTTGGGTCGTCCTCCCAACATGGAAAGGCGCTACTCTATACTAATGTATTACTGCAGATGAAAGATCTTGATGCGTTCAATAGTTACACTGTCACAATGAAAACAGAGGCTGACCTGCTATCTCGTCCATGTGGTCCTTCGAGTGCAGGGAGCAAGATCAAACAGGCACTGCTCAACGCCAGCATCTGAAAAAAAAGTTTGCCAGTCTAGTGTGGATTATCAGGGCAATCTTCAATGCCTTCTGTCCTAAAAAAAATTCTGTATCACCTGGTCATTCATGAGGAAAGAGGCAGGAACCGTGTTCATCGCAAAATCCACCCCAAATGTTTGAAAAGAATCAATCAGGGAAATCTACACCACATCAATCAGGATCTGATGGGAGGCTAACCGTCCCCTTCAAGTACAGGCATGAAACTCCACAATTCTAGTTCACCAACGGAGGAGAAGATTTAAACGAGTTCATACAAATTGTGCAAGTCTGCGCCATCCAATATTCTGGGCGCACAGCCCCATTTAGTGGTGAGAGGATAAAATTACACGGTCAACTTAAAAAAAAAGCCAACACATATCCAGCACAAAGACTGTCAATTCTTTCACTGACCAAAACATTCCATTTGGCCGTTCACACGCAGACATCAATTAAGATGTACAATGTACCTTCACATAGTTACGCGGAGGGATACATTTGGCCCAACTGATCTGTACCAGTATATATACTTCACATGAGCTCCCAACCCCTCCTTTTCCACTCTGTTCTCTTCTCCCTTAAGTATGCACCTGTTTTTTTAAATTAAAAATGCCTTCTCATCCTATAAGATCAGGGACTTCTCGAAGTTCCTGTTCAAACGAACACTCAGGTGAGATGCACTCCTTCCTCGATTGGCTTCAACCTATCTGTAGTCTAAGTAAGTTAACAGGAAAGGGAAGGCGAAGAAAGAAAAGTCAAATTATTTTTTCATGTACACACTATACCAAGTCCCAACACTACTTTCACACTACTATGTATTTACGATTGGAAATTTATTGTTGCTTAAAGATCGTTCAAATTGACCTACCATATACAGATCTGCAAGTAATACCCATATTGGCTACATACAATTTAACAAGATTACACCTTTATTAGCTTTTAACGTAGCCTTTAAGCCTAATACATTATCAACGTTGACAATACATGGATCGACTTCAAGTCTTATACACAACATGATCACAAGACATCTATGTCAGACAAATACTTTAAAACATAGGATTTAAAAGTTTCCACCTTTGATAAAACTATTACTTTCCTTAACTTGACAGAAAAAAACTCAAGTAAAACCATATTCCCCATTGTTAAGAAATCTACAATTTAAAGTTACAAAATAATTATTCGCAAACTACTCCACTTCTTGAATGTGCATCATTAACAGTTATGTCATTTGTGAAAGGCAAAGGCACTCCCAATCCGCTCATCTCAATCCAGTTTCAATTGCATGTTTCTGCCCAGAAGCACGATGCAGAAAAGCAGACCTGGCTTCGAGAATTTAACTGTGGCCCAAAACTGGGAATCCAATGTCATCATGTACAGAATCAGATAAGATTGGCAAAAATCTGATTTAATGGCATTCTCTGTACAGTGCATTGTGTCTGGAATTTCCAATTAGGTAAGAACCTTTAATTGGTCCCAGACCCAAAATTCATCTGGTCCAATCCTCAATGCCTTACCATTTAGGTTCCTCCAGCGTTTTGGAAAATTCTTAAATTCAGTCTTGAGCGGGAAACTGATTTCCCACAGGTCTTTTATGAACGGTGGAAGACCCGCTTCCAATACAAGACTTCTCCAAAATTCTGCATGACCTTGAATATTAAACACAATGGTCTTTTAAGGCTGGGACAAGATGAAATTTCAGGCATCTGGATGTCAACTGGAAAACAACTCTCAAACTACTTTAAAAATGTTTATTAGTACTAGTTTAGCAGCACACAAATTTTCACAACTGTCCTTCCCCCAGTTAAAGTCCTTCGTTAAAAATCCTGGCGTCAACGTAGTCAGTAAACTTGACGGCTCAGTGAGAAACAAAATGCCAATTGGTCTGTGTGGCTTATTAGCCATAAAGTCAGACAAGCTCTTGGAAAGCCCATTACAAAACAGACTCAACTCTGTTGAAGGCTAGCAACGTTTAATTAAAGAAGTGCATTTTCAGTGTAGCCAGTGTAATGACTTAATTTCTTAGTCACAGGGCCAGAATAGCATTTACTGAAGCCGTCATTGATGTAGCATTCTTTATGGGGGGGGAGACCCCCAGCTCCACCGTCATGTAGCAGTTAATGGGGGGGGGGGGGCCTACATCAAGTTTCCTTTGGGACGCCAGCCTTTTCAGTTTGCTTCAACAACAGACAATCCTCAACTACATCCTCTGCTCCCTATAAGTGAGTCCATATCTTACACGTTCTCCATTTCCAAGGTTCACTCTAAGCAAATCAGGCCTGGAAATTCACCATGTCTTCTTAGATCAGAAGAACTGAATCTTCTCTTTTGGCTCAAACATCCTAAACCCATTGGAATTTTCCCACCAAATATCCTTATTTTCTAGCAAGTTTGGGATTCCAAGTAGCATGTGGTCTAGGGATTAGAGATACAAGAGCCCAGAGATTACTTGCACCTCTCACCGGGCCTTCCAAAGGAAAGCCTCAATTCACCTCATCTTTTCTAGTGTTGACCTACTATTACATTTATTTACAGTCAAAAATTATCATCCTCACGTGATTCTGCAAGAGCTGTTGCCTTGCTCAGTCGTTTTGCCCAGAACCTTTCCTGATCATTTCAATCGATTACCAGTTTAGCTGGCCAGGCCTGCTCAGTGCACCTCACACTCAAAAGCTGTGTACTTTTTTCTTAAATAACCTTCCGGCAAATTTTTCAGATCAGATAGAAATTCAATTAAAAAAACAGACAGAGCACAGTTTTAAAACCACCACAAAAACATGATTCACAAATATGAGCCAATTTCTTTGTACAATTTCAACTACAATAGAACCAGGAAAAAATAAAACCCAAGTTTACTAAACGTAAACAAATAGCTTAAAACTACAGTACAGTTTAATGTACAGGAGCTACTAGTAGTTATCTAAAATGCATATTGATCCAACAGGGACAACGTTGAATAGTGTTTTCTATTAAATTCTTGCACTTTGTGGAGACTTCATAACCTATCACCATAAAACTCAATTTTAAAAAGACAGCATTACCTTTGGTTAGTCTCTATAGGGCCAGCTTCATCTCATTTCACCCAGTGCATACTGATGGGCTCACAATACCAAGTTGTAGCCAATCTATATTATAGTTAAATGTCAACTTTCTCATTTTAATTAAAAGTTAAGAGTTACGATTAACTTGAGGATGAATGGATTTACAACTCGGGGCATGTTACATGCTTAGGAACACAAGGTTTTTCGATAGCAACTCTAGGTTTGTGCCGGTGAAGCAGTTCAAATTGCCTAAAAAAAATTACACATTTCCCTTACATAAAGAGTTAGCTCTGAAATATAAATTACAGTAGTACTTTTTGTAGCATCAGTAATGACTTGTTCAAAATTAAGTCTATTTATGACAGCCAGAATATTATATCAAGTACATTTGCGTCAAAGCCTCAAAAGGCCAACATAAATGATACATCGTCTCTTTACATTTCTCACGTTTCAAATTCTATTGTGTCCAATCCCCGTTTTCACTACCACAATGACAGTAATTACAGAATTTCAATATATTTACAAAATATTAAAAATCTTGTTATTCCTCTACATAAATTGACCTTTTTTCTGCGCTTTTTGTTTTCCACATGCACTAGAGAGAGAGAGAGAATATCTAAAGGTGACCAGGCCAAAAACCAAGCAACTTTCAAACACTACTGAATGCAATTTCTCTTTTGAATGAAGAACAGAAAAAAAAAACACGCAAGAAGCTGCCTCTTAGAGCAAAAAAAAAGGACAGTCCTGAAATTCATGTGTTTCGTCTACCAAGAGTCACTCATCTGAGATGACATGAAGAAAAAGTGCAAGATGGTTCCTTAGGTAAGATGGAGTGGGCAACGAGGGAAGTCTTCAAAGCACAAACAGATAGCAGGAAAAATCAATAGGTAAGAGTAGAGTCATCCCATTCAAGTTGCTGCTGTCGGTTTACATTCTGCTGGTCTTCCTGTTCACCTTCCTCTTCCTCACTGCTTTCAGATTCTGCACTAGTGATGTCATCTTCCTCATCACCTTCCTCACTCTCCTCCTCTTCTTCCTCCTCTTCCTCACTACTATGTTGGTCCTCATACGTCTAGAGTTGTACAGAACATTTGTAGATCAACGTTACAACAACTTGTGTGCACGGCAGCTTTCACATAACATGAACCCCTCAAAGAACTTTTTTCTCAACAAAAAGCAGGGGGGAAATGAGGAGGAATGTGAATGTGTTTGCCAAAGGCCCAGCACAGTAGAAAAACCAAGACTTTTAAGAGGGTTTTGAAAGCAGGGATGGACAGCAGGCACAAGACAAATGATTTATAAATGGCCTGGACTTGGGCATTGGGAGTACAATTTCCAAGTTTGCAGATGATACTAAGCTAGGAAAAGTAGTAAACAGTGAGGAGGATAGTAGCATATAGACTGCAAATGGACATAGACAGACTGGTAACATGGGCAGACACGTGGCAGATGAAGTTTAATATGGAGAAATGCTAAGCGATGCATTTTGGGAGGAAGAATGAGGAGAGGCTGATGGTACAAACGTAAAGGGGGTGAAGGAACAGAGAGACCTGGGGGTCATATAGTAAATCTTTGAAGGTGGCAGGACAGGTGGATAAAGCTTTTAAAAAGCATACGAGATACTAGGCTTTATAAATAGGGGCATAGAATACACAAGTCATGAAGTTATGATGAACCTTTATGAAACACTGGTTAGGCCTCAGCGAGAGACTGAGTTCAGTTCTGGACCCCACACTTTAAGGAAGGATGTCAAGGCATTGGAGAGGGTGCAAAGGAGATTGACCAGGATGGTACCAAGAATGAGCGACTTCAATTATCAGGAGAGGTTAGAGAAGCTAGAATTATTCTCCTTGGAGCAGAGAAGGTTAAGAGGAGACTTAATAGAAGTTTTCAAAATTATGAAGAGATTCGATGCAGTGAACAAGGAGAAACTATTTCCACTGGAGGGTGGGTTGGTAACCCAAGGATACCGATTTAAAATAATTGTTAGGGGAAACAGAGGGTAGGTGATGAGAAATTTTTTCACAGCGAGTTGATTGGATCTGGAATGTATTGCCAGAAAGGGTGGTGGAAGCTGATTCGATAACAAGAGTAATTATCTGGGGAGGACAAGTTTGCAGGGCTATGGGGAGAGCGCAGGTGAGTGGGATTGAATTGGATAGCTCTTTTCAAAGAGCTGGCACAGACACTATGGACTGAATGGCCTCCTTCTGTGCTGTATAATTCTATGAAGACAAGGGGACTTGAGGAGTTTCACACAACAGTGGCTGAATGCCTAAGGGACAGAAAGAGTAAGGAACATGCAGTAGATGAAAGGCAAGGGGCACAGGTAGGAGAATAGGGCTGAAGGAGGTTGCTGAAAAAAGCTGAGGCAAGATCACAAAGGGATTTGAAGGCTAGGAAGAGGATTAAGCAACTAAACAAGAGTCATTCTCTGCTTCATCAAGTCACTGTCTTAAGCGGGTGTGATTGGGAATAATTAAAAAAAAACTACCTCCATAGGATTCACTGTAATAGTTAAAGCTGAATCGTCCCAGTCCATCTCATTCTCCTTCCCATTTTCTTGGTCACTCAATGTCCGTTGATGTGCAGCACGGATTCGGAAAACTCCGAGGATGATCATAAAGACGAGGAAGCTGACGCAGACGACAATAACTATAGTCGCTGCACTGGGCACCACTGGAAAATAATATATTTTTTAAAAAAACTTATAACTAGTCCACAATCATTGAATATAAACTGCAGTTTCAATCGTGTGAAAAAGACTCGCCCCCAAATCAGACTTCAAGAACAACAACTTGCATTTTTACAGCGGCCTTCACGGGGGTAGCATCCCGGAGTGCTTTAACACCAAAACAAAGTTTAACCAATTCCCGCCAAACTAGAATTTTCTAAAAAGAACTTGCAAACAGTGCTTTGTATTGTCATTGAGCAGCGAGCAATTTATTTGAAAAAAAAGAATGAGAACAAAATCCCCCTGGCGCTGGTTACATGGTGTAACTGGTATCAATCCTGTATTTTCAATTTTATGTCAATTCTACCGCAATCTCTGAAGTCAGTTCTTTCAATGCTGTAACCCGAAGTATACAGATTTTAAAACAACTTGTATTTGAACAATTAATTTCAAACAATTTCGGATACCTGAGGACGGGTGGGGATTTGCCAGGTTATGTCCCGACAAGTCCACTGAAGAATGGTGAACTGGGTGAACAAACTGTGGCTGTGCCATTAAATGGTTAGGATGTTCCACTGGATTAGCTGTGTGAATCACATTGACCTGAAATGATCAAAACAGTACAATAAGAATTTAAATTAAAAAAGAGTTCAAAGCTTGTACAATAATATTAAACTCTTAAGATTGAATAAGTGAGTTTCAGGCCCCTTATTCAAATCCTGTTGGTACTAGTATAAAGGAATCTCCCCTTTGACCAGCTTGTAGTTATAATAGCACCTTTCAACAACAACAAATTTCATTTATATAGTGACTTTCACATGCGGAAGACATCCCAAGGCGTTACCACAGGATGAACTTTACAGTATATTCTGTGAAGGGCTTTGAGACGTCTCGACGATGTGATAAGGCCCTATATCAAATGCAAGGATTATTATTATCTAACCACTTTACGGAGAAGATATGCAGCATCAAGATTGAAGGAGGTGATGGAATAAGGGTGTTATGAAAGGCACAGTCAAAGATGTGTTGTAATGGGTTCTCGTGCATTTTATTTTTTAAAGTTTCAAAGTACCTCAACGCTGAACTCATTGCTGGTATAGCGTCCATTTAGTTCTGAGCAAACAAGTTTGAACTTCCTTTCAAATAGGGTTTCGGTGTTCCAATTTCGGTAACGGATTAAATGTAGCATCTCTTCATAGCTTGCCATGGTGTCAACACCTATGCACGTCAAAATAAATGAGTGACAAGCAGATTCCTACAATCTAAGTTTTTAGAACATTATAGTGACATTATAAAAAGGTAGATTTTTAGGCAGGATTTAAAGACAGAAATGAAGGGGTAAGAAAGAGGAAATTTGAGGTTAGGGGCTTTGCAAATACCTGCCCTGAAAAGCCCTCAGTATTTGTAGAATAAGGTCATCAGATTCTCACTTAATGCTCACCTGTGACAGTCATGCCGGTAGAGGAGTTACTAGTCTCCATGCCTCTTTGCTGGAGCTGAGACTGATCAACCTCCAAGGTCTCCTCTTCTGGATTGAGCTCATCCCCAAGGACAGTGATCTCACAAGTATCCAGATTGTGCATGATCTCCTCAGACACCATAGATTCTTGGACTGGAAACAATAAAAAACACGAAGCACAGTAAAACGCTTGAAGCCATGGGATTGTTTTTCACCACTAGAAATACAATATGCTATGGCTTGAAGATCCACATTAAAATTCCCACAGCATCAATTAACAAAGTGAAGCACATACCAAGGTGCAGCAGGATACAATTCTGCACACAACAAGCCCATGACCTCAGATGCAATGATTACTGTGCTGGTCAGTCACTTGCTTAAAAAAAACTGTCGGGCACATCCAACTTTGATCCACCCATACTTTCTTACAGCCAATTAATACAGTGGTGTTAACAGATGCTTAGAATAGCTGTCTGCCCCAAATGTGGAGTCCTGTAGCTCAGTGGTTAGAGCACTCGCTTTGCAAGTGAGAGACCTGAATTCAATTCCAGGCAGAGGGCGAAACCTTGGGCAAGTTTCCTTACTCCACACAGAGCCTAATAATAATCCCTCCAAAACCAAAAACAATAATAAATTGGTCATTTTCAATCTACGACTGTTTGTGGGACATTGCTGTGCGCAATTGGCTGCCGCGTTCGCCCACAAATATACAGTCAATTCACTTGACAGTGTGTTCTGTGAAGCGCTTTGGGACGTCCTCCCGACGTGAAAAGCGCTATATCAAATGCAAGGATTATTATTATTATTATTATTAATGTATACGAGATACTGAAGTTCAATGTCTAGAATTTTCTGTCAAAGGGCTTCATGGACTAGATCTACCATTAATTACAGCTTCAACAATCATCTAATTTTGCATTAATCTAGTCCAGAACATAACTGCTCTTGAGACAGGAAGGTTTAATAAACTATACTGAACCAGAATAGATTGCTTTATTGAAATAAATTGTTTCTAAAAAAACACCAGGAGCTGCAAGACTCAGCCTGTGCAAACACAGATTTGGAACTCATGCGATTTCAAGCATTATGTACCAACACTGGAAAGAGGCAGCATTTCATAATTAAATTGGCTGTTGTTCTCAAACTGTTCCTGTGATAAAGTAATGTTAAGATAGTTCAGGTATTGAGAAAAACAGGTGTTTTATGGAGGATGGCATTGAAAACGGTCATTGGTAGGGCTACTGTACTAATTATTTTTCACCTGGTTGGACAATGGTGCATCAATTCAAAAAGTTGGCAGGAATTACCTGTTGGCTCATCTTCATCCTCTCCCTCTGGTTCCACCTCTCGGGTAATGGTACTGACGATTTTGAGCTCTGGGAACAATGGAACACCTTCGTGGCTCACAAATTCAGAAGCAGCTCGTGCAAAATGATCAATGCCACTCACGCTTATCTTTGGTTCATCGGGTTGAAGCACCATCACATAACCCTCCACATCTGGGACACTTATGCATGTCTCTTCATTGAAGCATCTGAAATACAAAAATAATCAATTGCAGAGTTACTGTTCGAACATAAGGTACATTTTACCCAAGACTTTTGAAGTTCAATGTCTACCAACAATTAGAACTTGCTGTCAAAGGTCTTCTAATATGTAGCTGTTAATGACTGTGTGAAATTCAGACAGACGGTTCGGTGTAGAGACAGCCAATATCAGACAAGACAAACAGGTGGCGGTAAAGTATGCTTGAAGATCCCAGGATAGAACTGATGGTAAAGGAAACTGCTTGGACAGGCTGATCAAAATCACTTAGATAATAGTACCGATGAGACTAAATTCCATCAGAATTTATGAATTTTTATGAACTTTCCCCTTCATTTTATGAAGGGGAAAGGTATATTGGATGGGGGGAGAAATTTTCAAAAACTTTGTGGGTGTTTTTCAGGCGAAAGTCACCCAGGGATACACTTCCTACAAGAAATATCCACTAGTTGAAAAGAGAGTTTCTCTCATTGTATTCTGGCCAACAGCCTCTCAGTTTAAATTGGTCATTCACCTCATGGCTGACTGTTGGACCTATGTGCACAATAGCTGCTGTACGCACCTACATAATAAAACGCACCACAGTTGACAGTAATTACCTGTGAGGTCATCATTATAGGTACCAAGAATTTGTGAATCAAAGTTGTGACTGAATAAAATTAGGTTCGTCGTAAATGGCAGAACTGGTTTCAAGGATCGAACTTACTTCAAGGTGGTGGTGATTTTCAACCTTCTAATTCCAGGCGTTGGAAACTGACGGGAATTAAGGTACGACACATGCTGCATACTCTTGTCAAAGTTTTCAAGATCATCCCCTTCCAAACCAAGCACCGACTGGCTGGGGTTAAAGTGAACCTAGGACAAGTTTATATGGTTAGAACAGCAGCTGAGAAATTTACAAAACCGTCCTTGCAGAATGCATTCAACTAACATCTGTTAACACTTAAGATCATTATTGGCCTGCCAGCTGGATAATTTGGGGATTAAGAGTTGGTGGAACACGGATAGTGAGGAAACTGAATGGCTTTTAAGTCACAACCTCCCAAAATACAGCATTCATCAATAAAACAGTTAAGACATGTCAAAGCAGACTTGATTCACCTAATCACTAACATCTGCCTACTCAGCAATATTTCATTGGTCTAGAAGCTTGTCTTTGCAACAAATCACACAGTGGAAAAAGAGATGTTTTGACTGGAATGTAATGAATGCAGAATAATCAAGTCAATTTGCTAGGACACGCAAAGACCAATTCCAAAGTTGCTCGGATTTGGTTGAATGCTTGGGACTTTCAACCAAATGGAAACTCATTGGATTGATGCTGATCCGAAAGATAGTTTCCTTTCAAATGGAATATTTTTCCACTAGTCAAGCCGGTTATATAAGCTGTCTACTCAGATGAAGAGTGGCGCACTTAGGAAAGCTATCATGTACCCATTGCACCCGCTGAAGGCTGTGCAAGTTTGAGAAAAGGAGAGAAAGGTGAACAGGCTGTTAAGGAAAGTGTAACTGGGTGAAATCTCATCCAACCGAAAGTTCCTTGCTTTAAGCTGCCAATGAAACAACCTCAACAGCCTCTTACCATTACACCATTGTCAAGATTCTCATCCAGAAGGTCCAATCCTTCTTTACACGTGTACAAGCAGTCAATCACCTTCTTGCTCTCAATCTTACCAGTTCGAATCATCAAACCAGCTAGATTACCCTGGAAGTACTGAGCCATGCGAAACTCACCACCTGGAGAAGAGGGAAAAATATCATCAGCACTTTTTGGTCCTGCTCCTAACCTTTTCAACTGCCACGTACGTGCATTCATGCAAGTTAGTGCATCTTCCATTCGTTCCATGGTTAGCTTTTGGCCTAACATGTGCATAACAGATGACCTGCTGTACAGAACTTGCCCTCATGCATGTGGATGTGGCAAGCAGAGAGCTTCAGTGGAGTCAAGTAAAGTCGATGAGAATGAGGAGGAGGGGAAGGGGGTAAAGGAGAAAGAAACAAATTCTTGTGAAAGCTTTCTTTAATGCAGTGAGGTGGGAGACGATTGCTTTTCATTTAGAGCTAACTAGAATGAAGCTGGCCCATCTGCTAAAAATGTAACCGGCAGAATTCCACGAAGAACCCAATATAGAAAACAGCTTTGTAGGACAAAAATAGCTGATCCAGCTGGACCAGACGTCTTTCAGAATATGAATCACACGTTTCTACATAAACACTAGATGAGGGATGACAAAAAAAGTCAAGGAAACTACAACTTTGTTGGAAGTGGACCCTCGACTATATTAAACTTATGATGCACTAAGGCAATTTAGTATTGTCCTGTCTGGCAACTTCAATCTTCTGAACCTTAATTTTCTTTAACATGTGAAACATCTTTATTCGACTGTTGATACTTCTGCGTGTCAAAGCAATCCAAAGCTGATATTCCCCAGTTGATTTATAGAGGGAGGAAGACATGGAGTTTAGAACAATCAGTCAGATTTCTTTCCGACAGCTTTAATATCGGTTAGCAGATCACTTAACTATTATAAACTAACAAGCATGGAACTATGTCCTTTTGATTCAGTCTTGAAATACTGAATGATATCTGTAAGCTCAGTGCTGTAAGTAAAGCTTTGTTCCGGAATTCTTCTATCCTTTTGAAATTACTTGCAGGACAGACTATACTGGCAACTGCATAAGTCACTTAAGTTCCAAGCATGCTGAACCATCAAGTGAGGAGAACAAACTAAATTCAAAGGATAAAGAAATACAAATAGATTGTATCCAAATATAGAGGTGGATAACTTCATGACGTACAAACGGCCAGTTCCAATACAATGAACTTCTTAAAATTCTGGGTAATGCTTACTTGAAGCATATAGAATACTGAAGCAGTTTGGAAAAAATCCTTATTGCATTGACATCATTAAAACAAACTGTAATCCAGTAGTCCTAAAGGAATTAAGACAGCACAGATTATTTTACAACATTTTCAGGAAGGGGTGGAGAATAAACTGTAGTGGTTGCCAAATGAAGCTGGCTATTTATATTTGGAGAAAATATATACCACAATATCTGGTATACTAAAAAACAGGGCATCCACATCTACTAACTTCCTAATGTAAGAGGACTTTAATCTTTAGAATATTGTGAAACTTAAACGTGAAAGAAAAGTAAAGAAACGATCAATGCATAGTTTCTCACTCTTTTAAGAGCCAAATCTTCAAAGATTTCCATGACAAATCTCACAACTTCCTCCAATAAATAAGTCAAGCAACCAAGATTAAACCTCCCATTTTGTGTTGTTGTCCCAACAGGCCCAAATCAACTTTGCCTCGGCTGGTAGAGATTCCACGATTCTCATTCCCTCTGAAATTTACTGATAATCCTTGGAGCAAGTAACACGCAAATTCCTACAGGAAGAGACATTCATTCTGAAGAGTATCAGTCAAGTGTCATCAAGTCACACAATCAACTTCCTTTCTGCATCAAATCAGCCAACTGCTCTTAAAGTCATTAGGATCTCTTTCCCAGGAGCTCTTTGTATCAATCATCTAAAGCATCTCCGGGCGAAGGCCTCATTAATTCCAATCCACATTCTTCTCAGGCAGGCATCAAAATATTCCCGTACCCATCAAAATTCTAGGCTAAAGAAAAGCCATTGGCAGCACAACTGCTGAACCTGCAGCAAATCTCTCTTTGCAGTGAATGGAGATGTCATATCTAATTTAGATGAAGTTATTTTTTTCCCACATGATTTATTTTAGAAGTACCTTTTGGGAGGGATTGATTTTCACAAGAGCAGTGTTGGAAGGCAAGATTTTACACCAGAACCTCAAGGCTTCCAGCACCACACCATTTGCCCAGAATAAACACATAATAGATATTCATAGCCAAGTACAGATTGCTCTGCAACAGTAACAGTAAATGCAGAACAACAGAAAAAGGTGAACTATATTACACTTAATTAACTTGTACGAGTCAATGATTCAATACTCATACTAGACTGATTATTATTCGGCTTGAATATTAACAACTATCTCTCATTTATCAGTCTTAATAACCATTTACCAGTCCTAGAACTACAAGATTTCCCTAAACAGTGTAGCTCTATTCAAAACCACCTCACTGCTAGCCACACAAACACACACGCAAAAATAAAGACAGCAGGTTAAACCCCACCTCCTCCCCCTTCCCCCCCCAAATAAAGAAATGAAGGAAACACGATGCAGAAATAGGTCAATAAGCAAGGGATGAATCAGCCAAAGTAGATCAAACGGACAGTGGAACATTTCATGCCAATTGTGGAAAAATACATAAAACGAGAGGGAAACCCCAGCAACCTGGATAGGCTTCAGTCACAGTTTCATTTTCATTCTCGTTTCCTGAAAATTCTGTAGAAAAGCAAGACAAAAAAGGAAAGATGGGGGAAAGGACCAAATGATTATTGGGGAACCCAATTGCACATGTCCATACTGGAAAAATCCTGAGGCCAAGAGACTAACAGCAACCAATAACAGTAACACCACACAAACATATTCCATTTTTAATGACACATCAAGACCATTATCATTAGTAACAGTTCTCTGTAGTTAAATGAGTTCATTTGAAGACTCCCTGTGTTTGGCCTCATTTCACAAGGCAACTGATATTTTGAGTACCAGAGGGCATTCCACCCATTTAACATGGTTGAAGAGATTATTAACACTGCAAACCTCCTTTCCTGCATAAAATATATTTGGACGGGTCAAAATAAACCTACATTTTTCAAAATATTGCTCGCATGAAGATGCCGTTGAAACAGATTTAAACAGTTCTGTTTGAATATGCTGGTTTCAAAGATAAACTTGAATTTCTCTGGTTATGCATCAAACACTTCAGTCCATCCTTCCTCAAAATTCTTGAGTCTAAATTCTCTCACTTCCTTTCTTGAAGCGACTCACGTTAGGAAATCAGTTCACTAGACACCAGCAGCTTTGATACAAGTCCGGACATCAAATATCAAGCTGTTCAAACTAGACTTTTTCAATTCAAAGGAAGCAGAGAAGGAGATAGGCCCAGGAATCCAGGGCAAAGAAAAATATAAAAAAGTGACAATTGAGAGTCACTGGGGAAATGGGGGTAAAAGTAACTAGAGACAAGTTAACAATTGTAATCAGGAGAAAATACTACATACAGCAAAGGAACTGAGCTCAGTGCGCTGGAGTTGGAGGGGGCGAGGGAAGAGAAAGGTACTGTAGACATGTCAAACAATATAGCATGTAGAGATGTTATGTGGAACAGGATAGTGTGTTTTGTTTTCCTAAAGGGAAAAAAATCTGAGTGGTCTTCATAGAGATGATCCCATCTCTCAGAAATGGTGAGATCTCTACACAACACATCATCCATTTACCAACTGAGCCATCAGAGGGAGCTAAAATCATTTAAAACTATTACAAAAACAAAATTATTCCACTGCAGTCACCAATGCTACAGTTTCTTTCCAAGACTTTAACTCTGGAACATTATCCTTTGAAGAGTCACAAGAATATGGATTTACAAAGAAGCCGTTTCATCTCCTGACAACAGTAAGTTATTACGCTACAGCTGTTTTCATTCATAAATGCATCTCAAATAAACCAAAAACTGATTTAGAAGCTACTGACCAAATTATGAACAAAATCGTTTTCACACAAGCTTTTACCTTGCCAGCATGCTCCAACCACCAACTGAGTTTCAATCTTTGAATGTCGGAGTGGATAATCTTCAGTGACTAGGAATGGATCATATGATACTCCGTCTACATAGAGAGCCACGGTGGGAATGTCAACATTCAGCACGTAGTGATGCCATTCTTTATCGCACACCTACAGAAATTAAGAAAGTTGATCAAAAAGATTGTCGCTCCTATTTGCTTAGTGAGTGAATTGCAAGATAAATGTGCAAAAAAACATGTATATCCAATATGGAAATGAAATCCTGAGCAGCTGGTGCTATAGGTATTCCTTACACAGTGGCAAGTTTCTCAAAGCAGCAAAATATACTTCAACTTGCACTCATAGCGCCTTTCAAATAAGATGAAGGCCTCAGTTTCAAAGACAAGCAGAGACAAATGAGAGGGATAATTAAAGGCATAAAGGCAAAGACAAGTTAAAACTTTCAAAGACAAGTTTTTTAAAAAGATTTTTGATGGCAGGGAGAGAAGATCCTATAATTCTACCACAATCTAAATTTTTGTGTATATGAAGTCATCGGCAGTGCTGTGAAGAGACAGCTTTAAGCACATATGATTTACACCAGTTCACTCTGGATGAGGTTAGCAACACAATCATTTTGGGAATCTTGCTCTTGGGCTGAGTTGTTAAGTAGCCCATGTCTGCAGAAACCGTGACACACTTAAGACCAGGCAACTTCCAAAGATTAAATGACCACCTAAAGTCAAAATGTTCTGGCAACCAAACTCAATGGGTTACAATGTCACCATCCTTCGCCAAATGGATCATTCAAAAGTTTTACTAATTGGCAGACGGCGGGCAATTCGATAGATCAAATGTTCTCTTTCCTTAAATTCTGAAACTTATTCCAATTAAATCTAAAACATGAAAGTACAAGATTCTTAATGATAAAGATGACCCCAAGCAACTGCCTCTTTTCCAGTATTGTTCTTCTGGGGCTAGAATTTGGCTGACAGGTTAGTCAAGCAAGAGCTATTAAATTAGGCTAAACTGGGCGGGGGGGAATATTCAGCCTTCAGCAATGTCAGAACTATCAGAATAACTTCATAATTAACTATTAGCTTCACTGCAGTGTTGTGTGTTCACTGGGACTTGTGCTTTTGAAAAGTAAGGAGTAGAAAAGCTATGATCAGGAGAGGTTTGGAGGAAGGTAGGTCATTGGTTTAGGTTATATCAAGGCATCAGAAAACTTAGATTCAAAATATACAAACACATTTTTCTTTGGGAAATTAGCATTTTAATATTCAGTGACAGAAATAGGACTTCGCAATTTCTTCTCTCTTGAAAATATTAAGTCTCTCCTATTATGATAGTTTCACAAGCAGAGATTGCCTTCTCGTATCTCACCCAAGGAGTTACCATGATGTGAGCCTTTCCGGTGAGTTTCCGACAATTCAGCGCCCCCCAGCACTGTACTGGAGTACAATTTAAATCATAAGCTCAAAGTTCCCAATGCGAGACTAGAACCAATAGCCTTTTGACTCATAGGTGAGAGAGCTGACAAGTTGGTTATCAAAATTGTAGAATGTTGCCAATCAAAATTAGTTGTAGTAATTTCTTTCATGTTAAAGCCACCACAGAACTGAAAGGCAATACATTTTTCTAACCTGATCTAGTTTCCAATGGAACTCTGCAGGCCGGAAGTTCTCATTTTCGGAAGGATTCTGACGGAAGAGGAAAACCAGGCGGCAGTTGTGCACGTAAAGGGAGAAGTGGTGCCGATTCATTTCTAGAAGCAAAGTTTTAAAACGTTTAGCTCTAGATGAGAAAAGCCATCAAATGGTACAAAAGGCAAAGAGATCCAGGTAAAAATCTGACTGTTTACTGCTTCGTGTTTCAAACCTGACAAAATGCAATACAATACAAAATTACATCTGTAAAGCACCTTTCACGTCGGGAGGACGTCCCTATGCGCTGAATGTTGAATACTTGGATAACCAAGCAAACAATAAAAGGGAGACCACTTAAAAAGTTTCATACCTGTTTTGTCGGAGTTGCAAAGGACAGTTTCCTTCTCCCCGCGTACACTAGAACCAGCCCCGTGTCGCATCCAAACAGAAATTGTAAATGGTTCCTTGAGGTTTGTTGTCAGGACACCTGAAGGAATTTTCACAGCCTGGGTGCCATTGAACTCAAAGACTTGATCACTGTCGTGGCCATTGTCAGTGGGAAGGCCAACTGTCCAATTTGTAACAGAGCTTGGTGAAGGGAGGAGATCAATTGTGCCAGAGGAAGCCCCTAAAAACAAAGACAGATTGTACAGATTGAGGGAAACGTTTGCAAGGCTGGGCTTCGCAATGAAATGTTTTTTCCAAACTAAAAATGACCTTTCATTTTAAAAGTATTAACTGTTTAGCACTGCTAAATCCCGTGCGGATCCAAGTTTCAAAAACTATCCAGAAGAATTGCAAGAAAGACCAATCAGTTTCAAGCTGTGAAATTAGTTGGCCGAGTGGATTATTTTTGGAGCCTAAGCAGCCAAGTGTCTTCTTTTTGTAACTGTATAAAGTATGACTACCTACTATTCATACTTTATACATCCCTGAATTATTTTTTTAAAAATTGAAGTATCGTCCCTACTTATTACATTAAATGAAACAGAAAAATGCAGAAATTCCAACACAAGAGTAGATACTGGCATCAAAAACAACAAACAAACACAAACAACATCAAATTGCATTTACATAGAACCTTTCACGTTCCATGGCAGTGAAAATAGTAACTTTCTCTGGAACAAAATGGCAACTAATTTCACTGTAAAAATTAAAGTTTCCTCTCAACACCAATGCACTCAGTCGTGAGAATGAAAGCATGATGCATAGAAAGGAATATATGAATATCGCTCATTTAGTAAAGTCACACACACCAACCCAAATGAGATTAAATGCGTGTCGGCTTCTATGAATGAGCAATTCTGTTCATGTTAAGGCATAGTCCTTCTTTCATCTATTTAAACTGCATCTGAAATAAATGCAATCACACAGCCTTGCATTGTTTGACAACTCCAGACCCCATGGTTTGACAAAAGCATGAAGGATAACCGCTAACGCATATTTTCTACAAATTAATTTTTATGAATTACAATAAGTACTTAGCATTACAATAAGTACTTAGGAGAAACAATGTATAGTCTTATTGTTGTATAATCTAAAGATCATGGCAAAACTTTACAGCCAAAAAGGTTTCAATTTTTATTTTGACAAAAGGCACCACTTACACTGCAGTCATGTCTACTATGTCTTATTCTTGAAACTTGAAAGCAAGTGTTTTGGCAGGATGTCACCGCAGGGGGCACTGAAGCAATGCCCTCAGCCAGTATTCACACATGGGCGCTTCCAGCAGAAGACTGGTCAATCAGGGGCAGGCACATTGGCAGATTTGTTTTAATCCCTTGCCCCTTGCTAGAACTAATGGCAGTTCCAGCATTTTCCTTAATGCCATCCTCTTCCAACTGTGCCTACGGTCACCTCTCCCTCCCCCTAGCTTGGCCTTGCGCTCCGCCACTGACAAGTGGTCTGGGATGCTGCCCTGCATGAGGGACGTTACATAAATATAAGTTGTTGTTGTTGTTATTCGTACCTTGTGCAGGTACCAAAATAAAATACTTACCACAGAGTCTGTGGAGTGACTTTTCAGAGTACGTGTCCCGATCACATCCTTTGCCGATGTGGCTCGTTTCCAACTCAATGTTTGCTTCAATGGATGTAATTGGTTCGCCACATGTCTCCAAACGCATGGTTGGAAACAATGCCAAACTTCCAGTGCCAGGCTCGTATTCAATCCTTTTGCTCCAACCTATTCATAACCAGACGAGCTTTGTTTAATATTACAAAACTCGTCTGCAGTATTGTAGAATTGCACTGATTTAGTTAATTGCATTTATATTTAAGGTTACAAGCTTGAAACTACAAGCGGGTATCAACTAGGTATCAACACTTCTTGCAAAGCATTACTTTAATTTCATACTTCAGAGGAGACGTGCATTTAAAAATAATACTTTGGAACACCTGTTTTCTTAGAGCTCTAAGAAGTTTAACTTTCCTTGTTAATTTTATTTATGTTCTTACCTTCCCAGCCAGGCTTGCATGTCGGTTTAATGCTGATCTTAACCAAAACATCCTCAGTTGAACGCTTCTTCCCACAGTCATAGGCGGTCACTGCGAGCTTATACTGGCGGTCTTTACTGTAGTTCAGCGTCTCAGAGTTCTTAATATAGCCTTAAAAAAAATATTTGCAACACTTAGTACAACTTATTCTAGAAGACAACTTAAAGCACACGGGATGAATGGTGCCCAACAGACTTCTTGTGTGATAACATCTCATATTACCTTGTGAGATCATCCAAACAAATTAAAATGGCTTTACATGAAATACTGCATCACGTATTTTAAGAATGTCTTTTGGGGACGGAATTTCCCCCTCCATGTTAAAACTGTAGCTTGCTGAATAAAACATTAAATAAAGAACACCTTTTGTAGTGAATCCACATAATACTATATTTTAATATGTTTCTACCAAAATAGAAAATCGCAAGACACACATTTCACGGTACTCGAAGCATTATAGAGAGATGCCACCATGAATTAATTACCTCCATCTGGTCGCTTTTATTCCAATAAACATTTTAAAATCAGCAAGGTACCAACACATTAAGACAGCATTCTTACAAATTGTGGCAATTTGCATTTATTTTTGTTATTTTCAAGTATAGTTGTTTTCTTACCATCTTTATCAATGGTAAATGGCACATCAGGAGTTACAATCTCATAACTGCAAATCTGGCTGAACTGAGGTGAGCAGTCTGCATCTATGGCTTCGACTCTTAAGATGCTGTTATATTTCTTTCCTTCGATGACTGTGGCTTTGTAGGACTTCTCTTTGAAAACTGGGGAGTACTCATTCACATCATTCACCTGAATGTGGACATTAGCCCTATGAAGAGGAGATAGAGGTTGGGTATTTTGATAAACGTTGGGATCCAAATGGAATATAAACAGGTTTGAGTGCAATTCTATTGGAACAGAACATTTTTAAAAAATATAGCTTAGGCTTACACCGAAGATGAATATTGTAATAAACAATGGCACCACTGGTTTCCGCACAATGTGAAACAAACCCCATCAATCATGCTTTGAAGCTGGCCATTGTAAACTACAGCCATCTAAGGGGTCAGCTTCCGCCTGGGAATTCAGTCAGATCCCATCAACCAAGAAGTGACCTCCACGCTAAATTATCCTTGTTGCAAGCTAAATCCCTTCTATTGAAGCTATACATCACTGTTACATCCAACATTCATATTGGTAATTTTTCCATTAATGGGTTAACAGGCTGACTGATTTAAATACCTACATGAACCAAATTTTTCGATATGGTAAAATGAAGAAAGTTGCTTACTATTGTGCCCATAGGTTTAAATTCATGGGAGTCTAAACTGCAGGGCCAATTATAGAAGAAAAATGGTAGGGCCTTATTTTTGTGAGCAAGTTCAGACTTTCTGTACAAGTAGATAGGTTTTTCTATCCTCACTTCAAATGTTCACACTGCCAATCAGTTGAGCCATTGTCCCTCTAAGCTTTACCAGTTAAAACAACGGCAAATAATGTTTAGTACACATGGGAAACGGATCACAAAAGGAAAGACTGGGAGGTAGAAGGTCCAGTCTTGAGGTCTTAGAGAGTGCATTAGGAGACCGTAGATATTTAACAGCGAGAATTCAGGGAGGAGGAGGAGTATGTGAGCATAAACATTAAAACTGCTTCGTTATCAGTTTCTTTTTGCACGCCTCCATCCAAAATTGGCAGCGTTATACTATATGCTCTGTGTTCGCAGATCACACACAGAATTGCAACAGCTAATTTATCACTTGAATCCTTTATAGAAGGGAGAGAAATACAGCTGTGGATACGCGCTTGCAATCAGACTGTTTGCAACCAAGTACAGAATGTTTAGAAGAATTTTGGGGATCCACAGTGCATTACATGAAGGTTAAGCCAAATACTTGTTGAGAGGGAGAGTGATTCTGTTTGATCACCTTTTCCTCAAAATCTAGTTCTATGGTACCAGAGCATTACAATGAGGTTCTATGTTACTACTAACAGCAGCAGAAATATTCTTCACTAGAACAAAGCCATGACTGCATATAAAATGGAATCAGGAAGACAATTAGGACTGCAGCATCATGCCAACTTCTTAAGACAGAACAGTATCCCAGGAGCTCTCTTTTCGTAAGGTTGAACAACAGAGAAACACAAATCAGGATTTCCCATATGCTAGTTAATTTTAGTTGCTGCCACAGTTGTACACTTACTTGTGCGACTTCTTCATATTTCCTCTATCTGGACCCTCTCCACAATCATACGCCTGGATGGCAAACGTATACTCTTTCTGCAGCTCACAATCCATCTTTTCCTTTGAACGGATGACACCTTCCCCAGTGGTTTTATCAACCACCACAGCTTCGAAGGGGACATCTTGTCCGTGAATCCTAAATCCACAAATCTCACCTAGAGTTTAACAGATGGCAAGTTAAGAGCTGAATAATGTACTGCTTGTAACTTTTAAAAAGGTTTAAAATGCTAGAGCAGTCCAAACTTCACAGCCAGGGATTTTGTTTTTATTGTGAGGGTCTGTGGAGAAAGCAAAAGCCTGTGCTTGGTTGGGTGAGCTGTGGGTCTTAGTAAAGGAGCATATGCCGGCCTTCCAAGCCACTGGTTTACATTGCATCCATTCATGCAGGAGGAAGAGAAAACACAAGAGACAGGCATTTCACAGGAGTACTTAAGACAACTATAAAAGTTTAGAACACATAGCCATGGTTGCTGGCATCTTCTATGCCAAGCTACTGGACAGAGCTGGGCTGCCTGTTCTGACCAGGACAAAAAGTTAAAGTGCAAAGTTAAGTCTGGAGATGTACAAGCTTTTGACATAGGTTCAGCACAGTTTCACAAATTCTGTCAATTTCTTTTCAACGTGATGACATTTTCAGTCTTCCTGTGCAATGTGTCTGTCCACAATTGGGAAACCAAGACAAACCACTGGATGACATTCAGCACTAGAAATATCAGTTAAGACGTCCAATTCCATAAGACAGGAATGTAATTGCACTGGGACAATGTGTACCTGCACAAGTGCATCCTATCCAACATTTTCACAAAACAAATGCTATAACATACCTGAAGATAAAGAACTTCTATTTTTATGGCTCTTCACACCTCAACACAAATCCAAAAAAATGTCATCAACGTGGAATGTTTTTTGTAGGCAAATGCGCCAGTCATTTTGCACACATCAAGATCCCACAAATAGCCACGAGGGAATAAAATTTTGAGTAACACCATGGGGTCTTGAATACCAAAGGCAGATGGGACCACCTTAACATTTTACAGCACCTCGTAAAATGCCGCACTCCCCAGAATTGCATTAAGGGACTAAATAAAATTTGTAAATGACGTCAACAGTGACTCATAAGCCACAGACAGTCACGCCTGGTAAACGAGAAGCATGCTAAACCAAACCACAGAGGGACTAAAGTGAGCAGGAAAACTAATTTTTGTTGAACGGCTTGGTTAAAATTGAAAAAAGTTTCAAATCTATATTCTATGAAGTCAGCACTTTGCAAGACCACATGCTGTGATTTGTGGTCTTGCAGTCACAATTTTATCTGATATTGTGATTGCCTGCTCTAAATTAAACTCAACAGAATTTATTATACAGACTAACAGGTAATTTTACAGCCTTGATTTGAAATACATTAGGTAAAGACGATTACACTCTGGACGCTAGTATTGAAGCAATTTGGTAACCTGACATTTATTTGAACCAGTCAATATCCAAATGCGTGCAACTCAAGAATGATTTACATCAGAAAGCTGCATAGAACTAGACCCGGTCAAATTGGATGCGATACATTACAAATTAATACAGATATCCAAAAAATAGTAATCTAAATGTGGGCTGCAGAATAATTGATTTATAACCTACACGGAATGTTTAACCAACGGCAGTCTATTTCCAAGCAAGCCAAAGGTTTTATCTATCTAAGTGCTTTGAGACCCTACCCGGCGTGAAGGACGCTATGTAAATGCAAGTTGTTGTTGTTTATCTACCGAGTCCAGAAATTAAAATCTTCGCACTAAAGTACCTAGTCCTAAAGAAGTCAGAAAAAGTGTTTTTTTAAATAATTCACTTTGCAATACCACAAAATGGAATGGCTATCTAACAACTGATATTTCTAACCAGCTTTTTAATAAACTTCATCCAGTAATTTTTGTGGATAAACTTGCATAATAATGGGGAATAATACTGATGACAGGATTTGCTGCTTAAGTGCTGATTCCCCATTTTATGACCAGAGTTAGTGGGTTAATACAATTGTTCATGAAGAAAGTAAGAACCCAGATATCACCTTCTTTGGTGAATGTCACCTCAAACCTCTCTATAAGGGGGAGAAAAGATAAATCGAAGTCAGTTATCAAGGTATCAAGCAAAGGACGAAGACAGGGAATTGGGGAAGGGTCAATGGTTCAATGCAAATACAACGCAACTCACATTCAAACTCAAATACTATGCTTCATTAAGAAACGAGCAACACAGATTAAATCAATTTTTCCCATGCATAGTTAAAAACAAGTTCACGGAGATCAAAAAAAACAGATAATTATTTTTTAAAAAAATATTACTAACCTTCAGTTCCAGGTACTTTTTTTTAAATAAAGTTTATAAGAAAAGAAGAACAACATTATCTAACATGGATTTAGGAGTATGCAATGTTGAATGTTGAATATTTCAATTCTGCTCATCATACCAACTCATATTTTGCAAACTGAACGCAACTTTTGAAATAGCTCAAATTTCAAAAGGACATGTAGAGGGCAAACACAAGAAAAACTCAAGGCTCAAACTGTAACCACTGAATAAAGCTTTCTTTAAGAGTATTATTTCCCCAATCTCATTCTGAACAGGATTTTAGTAAATATATTGCAGATCAGTGGTTTTCATAAATGGGATAAACTCATTTAATAATAATAATCCAAGTATAGTATTTATATTAACAAGCTCAAGATACCCTTCAAATTTCCATCCATTTCTTCATGCAAATCTCTCAATTTATGGTAACTGTGACCAATCTGCAATACATTTGCTGTAATTATTTATTCTGTCGTTAATTGGTTGCGTTTGGTGCCAAATATTCTTCCTTGACCGCTAACGTCAATGGGATGGAATTCCAGGTAAAGGTGACATATGAACTTGCACATGCAGATCGAGACAAAGGTGCCAAAGATTTTGGTCAGAGGCAACTTGGGGTGTGCTGATGGCCAAAACCTCTTAGCCAGAAGCAGTCAGTGGACTTTGTTGCAGCTTTCTGCACTGGATTTGGTTTCCTTGAACAGTGAGATTTAAAGGAGTCAGCGATCACCTCCTTCAACTAACAGTGAGTGCCGTTTTTGAAACTGCTGTTAGTGAAATAGGGGTATAAAAAGGAACATGATGAAAGACCACGTAAACTTCAAAACAAACCAATATTAGTCACATTTCAGCTTTAAAAGAACAAACAATGAACGAACAGTCTGTGTAAAGCTGTGGGAATGGCATCTGCAGAATTCTGCATGTTTTGTGTTTTGCTCCCCACAAATTCCATTCATGTTTACACGTCCCAAACTTCCAAAAATCACTTTATATTAAAAAAAGCTTTCCAAATGATGTTCAATTTGTATCCTACTAAATGCATTTATGGCATATCAATTTTAAACTTCACAACATTGTGGCACCCCAACCTTAGAGCTTGTTTCTATAGCTTTGGCGATCAGCCAGTGGCAGTAAGCTTGGCCCACTGCTCAAAACAGTGGTATTACAGGCATGTGACAGGAAGAATAATAAGGCAGTTTAAGATTTATAATTGCCACAGCAGAAGAAATTCTGTGAACCATGTCCAAGAAAGATCGTGATTAACTTTACACTTCTGAGATATTCCACACTATTTAAGAACACACATGGGTATAAATACTGCTGCGATGCCTTTGATCTGGGCGTGGCCTCCTGAACACACGGAAAATAATTTTCTGAATCAAATTAAGTTTCTTGTTGATTTCTTTGCATATTCAAATCCATTTGGGTGGTTGCATTTCTAATCCACAAGTCACCTCTCCAGGAAAGTTGACTATTTGACAAGTAGCAAACCGACCAATTTCCATACCTGCGTAACGCAGAGGTGCATCTTTATCCAAGGCAATTAGTGGAGGGTTCAGCAGCACCGTGATGTCATTTTCTGTTACAATACCATGATACGTAGTTTCTATCCATGGCTTGTGCTTGTTAACTATAAGATAGAGAGAGAAAAAAACAGCAGTTGGAAAGGAGAAGCAACTCATTCAAGGTTTTGATCTTTTATACTTTTGAATATGGGAGCATCTCCCAGAAAAGGTTAACAGATAATTTAAAAAAAAAGTGAAATGACAAACTAGTTGGTATGGTACCAAATTTGTTTTGACGACTGAATTCCGTTCCAGGCAACTGACAGCACTCGTAACAAAAATGGGGGGCAAATGGTCAGCGAGCTTGTCCTAGTAAAATTGTTCAGTTAGCTCAAGCTGTTGAGATCACAATTGCATAACTGAGTTGTGTCTGACCAGATGCCCTACAAAGAAATTTCAGGTTAACATGCGTAGACCATGGTGTCATATAATTTGATTGGATTTATGCCAATTCCAACTTAAATCCAGTAAACCTGAGCAACACACGAAAATAGCCAAGAACTAAAAATCTGTAGAAAGTCAGTCCTGTAATTAAACACAATTACTCTTTTAGTAGAGCGTTAAGTAGCAAAATTGAGCAAGATAAATGTAGGATCACCATACAATTCAACAGGCCAAAGGGATTTGGGAGGGGGGGGGGGGGGAGGACAGAAGAAAAATAGATTATCTGCCAACCTGAAATCCTAATACAGTTAAATCTTAATCACCTTATCAGAGACCCTGTATATTTCATGGCGTGCATCACATTATGTGCTTTGTGCCAGCTCAGTCTAGCCAAATAGCAGAATAATCCTCTTTAGATCTTTTTCAGAGAATAAGGAAACTAATGAGTCTCATTTCACAGTACAGTTGTTGATGCCTTGAACCTTCAAAACATTTTGACCAAAAGCACAAGAACAAAATAAAGGCGTGAACTAAATCAGAAAGTTATGGCTCACAAAAAAGTTACAGGACACCAAGAGCCATTCGTTTGGAAAAACAGAGCAGATTAGAGTTAACAGGGCATGAAGTCATCTATTCTACAGTGTTAAATTAGCATCACTAACTTTACAATTATACAAGGCACCAAACCAAAGCATTCACCTTTACACTGGTCAATCACTTTCAAGAAATGCTACACAATACAATGTCTGGTAAAGGAAACCATTACTTCCTGACAGGAAATTCCGATATACTTGTTAAGTCAACCGTAACAGTATTGTACTCTTAGATACTGAAGTCATCTATCCAATAACAAATCTACATTTTTTTAAAAATTGGACACAAAGTAAATTAATAATAAAAATCCTTGCATTTGGTATAGTGCCTCATAACATAGTTGAGACGTGTCAATACGCCTCACAGGATATACTGTAAGGTGAATTGACTGTATATTTTGTGGGTGAAATGAGGTAACCAATTGCGCACAGCAGTGCCCACATACATTTGTGGATTGGAGGGATTATCACCCCCAGAAAGCGATCCGCCAATCAACTAACAACTGGGTTCCACCTTACTGCTATGCTCGGTAAACGGGTGTGTGGAATAAGGAAAATTGCGAGAGTTTTCGCCCTGCCCCGGAATCAGACCAAGGTCCTCTTCGCTTGCGATGTGAGTGAGTGTTCTCACCACTACGCTACAGGACTCCACCTGTACCTTGCAGCGGTACCTCTGCTCGGCAAAATATTAAGGTGACGTAACTTCTCGTTTTACGTACTTGATGATTGATCTTTTCATAAATACACCTAACTCCATTTCTTTCTTTCAAGTTTTGCAGCACATTTGTAGCTGTTTTTTTTTAAAATGAAAAGTAGCTCCCGTAGTAGACATTTTACACAGATTTAAAATGGTGCAATTGCTCACGAGCATTTCATACATTATCCCCACCAAAATGGCAAGGAGGTTGCCCTTTTCTTCCGCTCACCAAAACAGATAGTAATAACTGAAGCACTCCAAGACAATAAATATTCTATAAAAATATATTTGGAGTTAGATTTCTACAAAATCATTTAGTTTCATACTACTACAACGCATGCTGATGCAATTTTTTGTTTCTGTGGCAAGTGCTTTTTAATTGCTCCAGTATTCTGGAGGAAAATCTTTCAGCAGCTTTTAACTTATAGCTGAGCAGGATCAGTATCAAATGTAATATCAGTGTTACAATCATTTCTATACATTAAATGCAAGATAAATGCACAGGATTTACAAGTACACCTCTCAACAGAAGCAAGTTATAACCCCTTACAGCCAGTGACCATTTGTGGAATTATTTCAAAACAGAAACGGGCAAAGAACTTTAAAAGTCAAATTCCAGCACTATTTGCAAAACTGAAGAACAATTTAATTTCTTTGAAGATTGTAACAAAGTCATGCTTAACTTCAGCACAGTTGGTTTGCGGAGCAAAGTACCTCACTCGCCTAGTAAGCAGGGTAGCCCAAATAAATGAGGCAAGCAACCACAAAATGACACACCCATACATCCTAAATTGATGAAGCAGCGGTCTATACACAAAGGGCAACTTCACTGCTCAAAGGACAGCTATTAACGTCTCCCTTAGGCTACAAATTTCCTATGATGTGAGGGGTACACTTTCAAATGCTGACACAGGACTTCAATTACTTTACAATATTTAACTTGAAATTGAAATGTTAACCATGAAGTGGCAGGACACGTGGTGAAAATTTCCATCCTAGATATATCCCATCAGAATTCATTCCCATGGGTGTGTGTGTGTGTGTGTGTGGGAGAGAAGAAAAAAAATGCAGGATGCCAGCTTCTAAATTATTCTTGTTCTATAAGTATATAGTTGCAGATGAATGCTTTATCATACATTGGATTACAATATATACTTCCAGGTTTTATTCAATGTTATACTGATGGCAAACAGGCCAGACGACCAACCAACCCAGTAATGCAAATGGATGCAATATTTAAGCAACAGCATAATGTAAATTGAATTATCTGAATCACTGAGGTGGCTGGAAATGTGGAATTTACTGCTTTGATCTGCAAGCAGGAAGAAGGATGTATCACCACATGAGCCAGTGATGCCAAAACTACATTACTGACCTGTGTGAAAAGGCAAGGCCCTCAGACTGCCGGCAGCCAGAAAATAAGCCTGGTTTTCTGGAGGCAGCAGCAATCGCACATTGTCACATGGGGGAGCAATGTGCACAAATAAAGCTACAGCTGTGAAGGTGTCACTAATGGTCCACAGAACAGGCTACTGAAGCCAGCAGGCGTTATAAGCCTCTACAAAAGATTCTATATATCCAATATATGGCATACAGCCATTTTTGCTAATATGTTTCATGATGGGAAAGCAAAATCTGCAGCTGCATAGAAATTTAAAGGGATACTTTCAGGACAAAGAGAAGTCATTTAGCCCTTCGTATCTTCATTGCTTGGCATTGATTTAAGACAACCAAGAATTGTCTTCAGCACCCAATTGCACACATCAGTGTCCCAAACAGTCATGGATTGAGTGACCGAATTATTATTTATTTATGAATGATTACCCCCAGAAAAGCAATCTGCCAATCGACTAACAACTGGGTTCCTACTTACTGCTAGGTAAACAAGAGGCGTGTGGAGTAAGGAAAGTTGTCTAACGTTTCTACCTGCCAGGAATCAAACCCAAGTCTTCTCGGTTGCAAGACCAGTGCTCTCGCCACTAAGCTGCAGCACTCCTCGTGGTTGAAGAGGATGGAAAGATGATTTGTGGTCAGGTTTTTCCAAAATTTGGTTTTAACAATGTGCACTGAGTAACTGATATAGGTAAGCAGTTCCGGAATATGGAAAAGAACAATTTAGAATAGAGCACTGAATTTTGATTCCAATAGAGGAAAGATAAATGTGTAGAATAATTTGCTTGGAGATTTGGAGGAAATAGAATACTCAAGAACCATAACCATATGATTATTGATAAAATAGTGGAAGACAAGAAAGGCGGTGACAGACTTGAGAAGCGAGTGCGAGCAAAACAATCTTTACAAGTGTTTTCCTGCATTTCATTCAGCATGAAAAGTGCTAGAAAAACCTACTTGGCCTATAAAACTTGTATCTCAGAGTTACAAATTGAAGGAATAAAAAATGTTCAGCACAAAAGGAAAAATAAGAATGGTAGAGACTGAGAAGACAAACATTCCATTTAAGATTAGAGATAGTGAGACCAAGAGTCAATAGATGCAGGATTAGAGATGATAGCTGCACAGGCCTGTAACTGAAGGGAATGGATTAGTTTTAAGGTTCAGTGACTATTGCACTCCAAGAGAGCCTGAAGGAAGTTAATGGAGTGAAATTGGATTTCAGAACTATTCCACAGCATTTTGAGAATCTAAAGCAAGACTAACTTGCTTTAAAACTATATTAAACAAGCGTAAAGATAGTTCTTCAGTTTTTTTGGCAACCGGTATTTGCTTATTTTACAAAATGGGAAATTGTAAAAGACAACACAATTTCAAGTTTTTTGTGCATACTTACATTAAGCCTTTATTGAAGCCATGGCCCAGTTAAAAAACTTGCAAACACACAGATTTTGACTGCACACATTCCTCGAAGAATACCATTAATACAAGAACGTAGATTCATTTGTATATTCACCCATCCTGTCCAAAACATGCGTTTTGGACCTCAAAGTCCTGTAGTAATGTTATTCAGATCACACCTTCTTAATGACGTGCAGAAAACCAACTAGGTCAGACACAGCATGCTAAAAATAGAACATAACTACTGGAGAATATCTTGCCCCACAAATTCTCCTGGAACTATCCCAAAGTCCTATCCCTTGCATCCTCTCTCTTCCTTACCAAACTCTTCTATAAACCTAAATCCAAATGCACTTTGCCACCCCCTCCTACCACATTTTTGTAAATTACTTTGAGGTGTTTAACTATTACATCAATGTAAGATTGATGTGGTAGAGGCTGTTGTATTTTGAAACTGCAAAATTTTAATTTTTGAAAGAAATTGCAATCAAATACCCTCGACTAAAAGATCTTCAATTGTGATGTGTCTGTAAAGTACAATCACATCTCAAGATTCAGTTCACAGCTTGTGTTGTAAAAATGTGAGATCACATTGGTGATGGCATCTTTGTGTAACGAAAACTAAATATGGATGTTTTTACTTCACTATGTATGATGAATGAACACAATTTAAAAATTCTAATAAAGGTATCCTACGTTTGATTAACAGATAGGGGTTTTAAGACTCATTTAAAAAGTCAAAGTAACATGTTACATTCTGACCAACTGTGCACACTTTTTTCATCTTTCACAAAGCCAGTTCAGGATATTCGTCCCAGGCTCAAAAAGGCACACAGATCAATATTAAATCCTTGCAAATAAGATATTGAACTGTTTATTACAATTAAGATTACAGGAAACTCAAAATGTACAAAGATTAAGACCGTGGCTTAATTGTTTATTGGAGTTAAGATTACAATGCAACTAGTTTTCAAATATGGACAGTGCTTCATCCTGCTGTCAAAATCATGGAGTGAGAGGGTTGAAAGAAACAACTTTTGCATTCGAACAGTTATGCTTCTGTAAGCAAATTGACATTTTCCAATCTTTTCCACCAAGATCCTCCACCGCACTTCCAGATTGTATCCAGACTAATTTCAGCATCATTACAAGCAGTAGCAAGATCCTCACCACATCAACCTAGATTTGTATTCAAAGGGTTTCCAGAAATATAAATTGCAGTTTACTCACTCACTCATTTCAAATAACTCCCCTGCTTTCAAGTTCCTCTCACCACACAGCAGATCTGCTACTATACATGACTTTCTTCATGTTATTCAAACTGGTTACAGGGAATTGCAGCACAGTGTCCTGATTGGATCTTCCCTCCATCCGAGGACTTGGCCTTGTAGTCATTATCTTCTGATTGTCTGGCCAAGATTAGGAATCCAGACAACAAACCATAGCTCAACACTCTGCATCAACTTAGTGGGAAAAATCCCAAAGTGAAAATGTGCCGATATCAATTACATGAAGTATGAAATATTAAAACCCTAAAATGGGAGAAGTGCTGAAGCCAGAAAGTATTTTGTTAATCCAATGTCCCCAATTTGGTTCATATTGAGTTCTATCAAGAGGAATAAAAGCATCACTGTGGAAGCTGAAACTGATCGATTTTAAAACATCAAATGCAACTGAGAATTCACAGCTAGAAAGGCAATACTGTACAAACTCTCACTCTCCTAAAAAAACTGACTCATGCTGGGTGCAGTTCCATGGGCACTGGTTTTCACTTCACACCTTTTCAGTCATCATTTTCATGTATGAGCCTAGGAAGTGATTAACAATGTATGCAATGGTCATAGCCAAGCCCATTTCCTTTCTCACTCAGTTTTCACATGTGTATCTACTTTGTATTTAATGGATCACCAAAACATTTCCTAGTTCAAATAGTATTATTTGTTTTTATCACTGCAGAAAACATTACTGCACATCAGTTAACGTAAATTTAGATTAACTGCTGACAATGCTTTATCAATTCCTTAGGAAACAACTACAAACAGCAATTCAATACTACACAATTGTACGGTAAAGACAATTCTCAGCTCCAGGAATGGGACAAATGCTCAAACAATTGAGAAAAGCTGAGGATACGGACAAAGAAAATGAATTATGAAATATTTCCTTCAACACAAAACTGTACTAAAAGGCAACTCAAATAAATAACCTAATGAGATTACGAAAGAACTCATTTTAAAATTACAATTATGGTTTGTTTCAAGTGTTGTTTGGATAAAACCAGGCCTTATTATATCGTATTAACCAGGTTAGCTGCTTTGAGCAAATACTATAGATGTAAACCAGTCTATGTAAACTCTACTTTCACTGCAGAACCATACAAATCACAATAATGTTGTGTACAATGCAAAGCCAAGTATGTTTCAAATCATTCCCATCCAAAATCAACCACATTACAAAATTCTCGTCATTGTGGATTGATTGAAAATGGAAGGATTATACATACACCAACATGGAAATTCAAATTATATTTTTAATTTGCCAAAGTTTATACTGCTCAGTAGGATATTTGTTCAAAACAAAGCTTGTACCATTCAATGTCTTCAAAGACACAGCCATAAACATGTTCAATTACTTGTTCATACTAGTCTATTTCATGGCTTGTCACCACTTGACACCACTGAACCATCTCCAAAATCATAACTCTACAATTTAACATCAACAACAATGATTCTTACCAATCATGACAGAACTTGATTAGATAATATGTCAGTATTCACCACTATTAATTTTTATGGGTGGAGGGGGGGGGGTGGCAAAAACAATATGAGAGAAGTTACTGATCTTTACAAAACAAGGGAGATGATGCAACTGAAATTATCAGATTAGAGTATCGATTATTTGGTATTGATTCATTCAGTCCTTCACATCCAGTCAGCTCCTAATATTTCAAATTGAAAAAGTATTTTACAAAATAAATTAATACTTAAAACAGCACAGTCTTTAAATGTGCTTAAATCTAGTAAGGAAGAATTTGCTCCAAAGAAGCTACCTGTAAGTTTAAGAACACCATGCAAGTTCCTAGCATATAAAAAACATGAAAAATTCTCACTTCTGACATCAACTGTGGACAATACCACAAAGTCTATGAACATTCTATTTCTCAAAATAAGTTCTGTTCTAACATAAAAGTCCCTAAAAATGCAATCAAACTTGCTCACCATCTGAACTGTCATTTTATACTAAATGAAAAATATTTGAAACCTGCACCATGTCCAACACGAGCACAAGCGCACATCAAAGAACCTGCAATGCGTCTGGTTTTGCACTTTAAAAGGACAATCAATATTCAATGGGAAGCATCAAAACAGTTTTTTTTAGTAAGATGCACAAAATGCCATGAAACATAATTGCCTACAAGGATAGGATAATAATCCTTGCATTTGATATAGCACCTTATCACGTCTTAGAGATGTCTCAAAGTGCTTCACAGAATACACTGTAAAGTGTAGTGACTCTATTTTGGGTACTCTTTGAATAAAATAACCTAATAATTAGGTATCTAAGTGAAAGAATATGGCCATATTTGGATTATTCCAAGTGTGATAGACTAAAGCTTAACACAAGAGAGAAAAACAGTCCAAGTCTGGTTTTGACATCTAAATTATTCCAATCTCAATTTCAAAAAAAATGTCCAGCCCATATAAAATATTTCTAAATCACCAAATAGTCAACACTGTCCTTCAAAGGGAGACTGACCGCAGTTAATTTAACATGGAAGCTCCAAGAATGAAAGGCATTTATTCAATATTAATAAAGACACCATAAGATGGCAAATACTGAAATCAGCACCAATATTTCAAAAAGGTTATCATTAACAACAGAGGGACTGCAGTTTTAAGTAACGTCATTGGAGACCTCAGTACAAAAACAAAGCCTAGCCCTTAACTAACCCCAGAATTCACTCTGGACAGGAAGAAAATAAATCACTGCATTCTGCAAAAGGAAAACAAAACCTTCTAATGGAAACGTGCCCAGACATTAATTGTACGAAGCTCACAAACATTTATTTTCCAAAAAATCATTTACACATTGAAAATAAGAGATTTGCTCCTTCCACAGCAGACGCTGCAGTCATCATGATGCAAGGATAGAAAAGAGGAGGAGTAAGGAACAAGCCTGTATTTTACAAAACAAAAACGAAGCCAAAAATGTCTCTTTCTAAAAAAAATAGGATTTTATATTAAAAAAACAATAACATAAAAAAGCAGCTATTTTCTCTCAAACCACACCAGGGTTGCTGTATAGTGTGGATGGCAATGAGAGGTTTTCCTCCCAACTGTAAAACAGATAAATGCACCCTTTGGAAAATGTATACACATTTTCATTTCAAAACGCATATTTCACCTCGGAATACACCCGTTGAATGTACATAATACTGCACTTTTTATAAAAAAATTAAAAACTCCACTCTGCAAAATAAGCAAAAAAATGTTGAGAAAGCAGGGAATAATCAAACACACAATGTTTTTTCTGAACAAAAAAAACAGGATGGAAGGGGAGAAGAGAGAGAAAAAAAAACATTTATAGATTTATAAAGGGCAACAAAAAAAACAAGAGATTGGTAGATTTTGTAGTCTCTCTCATTTTTTTTCGGCATTCCGCCTCATTTTCTTCAAGGACAGAATTCCTCCTAATTTTCTTCACGGACAGAAATCCTCCTCATTTTCTTCACAGACAGAATTCCTCCTCATTTTCTTCACGGACAGAATTCCTCCTCATTTTCTTCAAGGACAGAATTCCTCCTAATTTTCTTCACAGACAGAATTCCTCCTCATTTTCTTCACAGACAGAATTCCTCCTCATTTTCTTCACAGACAGAATTCCTCCTCGTTTTCCTCACCGGCAGAATTCCTCCTCGTTTTCCTCACCGGCAGAATCGCTCCTCGTTGCTTCTTCCCGAACGGAATGAATCGGGTCCTCGGTTTCTTTCCAAATTACAGAACATCTTCCCGAGTCTTTGCTGTCCCAAGAAATTTAAGAATTCGGTCTCCGACCAAAAAAAAAAGGGGGGGGGGTTGGGAGGGGGGGAGGAGGATTGACTCTTCATCTTCTTTCCCAGATACAATTTTCCTCCTTTTCTTTTTGCCCCCTCCCCCCCCTCCCCCAGCGAGTGACAGAGAGAGAGAGAGAGAGGGGAATATATATATATAGAGAGAGAGATGGGGAGAGAGATGGGGAGAGAGGGGATGAAGGGATGAAAAAAAAACTAAAAATAATAATGTGACCGGTGGGGGGGGGGGGGAGTGGGAGAGGTGGGGGGGGAGTGGGAGAGAGGGGGGGGGAGCGGGAGGGGGAGTGGGGGGGGGGAGTGGGGAGGGGGAGTGGGAGTGGGGGGGAAACATCAGGATGAAGAGGAAGAAGAAATCACAGCGACACCGAGAGAGAGAGAGAGAGGGGGGGAGAGGGAAGAGAGATAAACTGCCCGAAAATGGAAGCCGTTTGTTCCCCCCCCCCACACCTCACCTTTCCCCGTCAAGACGGGTCCGCAGAGGCTCAGGTGGAGGAAGAAGGCGAAGCGGAGCAGCGCGGTGAGGAGCTCGGGTTTGCCGGGAGACATGCTGGCCTGGCCTTGGCCCTCAACCCGGGGCCGGTCACGGACACTCACTCGGGGACACGCTCACTCGGGGGGACACACTCACAACGCAAACGCACTCCGTCTATCTCTCTGAGAGGGAGAGAGAGAGAGAGCGCACGTACTGCCTCTCCTCTCCTCTCGCTGACGCTCCTCGTCTAAAATGGCCGCCCCGAGTGCGTGAGTGAGGGAGAGAGAGACAGACAGCGAGAGCGCGAGAGGGAGAGGGACGCTCGAGCCCCAACCGCCCGCCCCGCCCCCGCGCCGCGCCGGCCCCGCCCCCGCCCCGGCCCCGCGCGTGAGTGCGCGCGCCGCCAGGAGGGGCGGGTTTGGCCAGCCACAAGAATCTTTGTAGCCCAAAATGTAGCCCCATATTACCAGGCGGTTGACGCCTCCTCTCGTCGCCTCCGGTAAGCGGCGGCAGAGTTAGTGAGGGTCAGTGGACGCTTTTGAACCCCCCCCACGTTTAGAGTCTTTAATATAATTAGCCCAATGCTGTTTCCAGGCGCACAAACAACCAACACTCACGAAAAAAAAACCCGCCCGATTGGGCGCGAACCCGCCCCAATCTGCCCGCATTGGCGGCCGGCCCAGCGCAGCCCGCTGACGTCAGTCACCCCTCTCTGGCCCCGCCCCTGGCCCCGCCCCCCACCCAACACTCGGCTCGGCCCCCCCCCCCCCCCGGCGGCCACGTGACCTTTAAAGGGACAATGGCATTGAATGGGGTGACTGTGGTTTTGGCCCCAAAACAAATCCAGAGAGAAAGAACATGTGGCACTGACACTTAACAGCAGCAGCAATAGCCATCAGGACAATCCTCGCGTTTGGTATCGCGCCCTATCGCGGCGCTGGGACGTCTCAAAGCGCTTCGCAGAATGTACCGCGAAGTGGATGTCCACACACACGCGCACATGCGCGTATATACGTATATATATATATATTAAAAAAAATGATCTCACCGCCATCACCACCACAACTCAATTACACGTGCACAGCGTCTTTCACGTCGGGAGGACGTCCCAAGGCGCTGGACGGACGGGAGTTACGGACCCGAGCCGGGGGAGTCGGGATTGGGGAGGCTGGAGGGGGCGAGGGGAGGGGGAGGGGGCGAGGGGGAGGAAGGAGGGTGATCGAAAGCACGGTCGGAGAGGATGGTCTTGAGACGGGTCTTGAAGGAGGCAAGGGAGGGGGCGAGGCCGACTGCGGGATGGAGTCCCAGAGGGTGGGGGCAGCGGGGCAGAAGGACCGCCCGCCAGTGGATCTTGAACACTTTCACAATTCCTCACGCCGCCAGTTACTGGAGAATCTTGTTGGATTAATGGCTGTGTTGCTCTGATGAACGTATCCGGTTTGTATCTTGCTCAGTTTGTTGATGAACTCCAGACACGATAGATTTGGCCTCAGGGACACAATACCTCATCTGGGAATCGGAGACGTATGGTCACCCAACAGTTAATAATAATAATCCTTGCATCTGATATAGCGCCTTATGTCGGTGAGAAGCCTCAAAGCACTTCACTGTAAAGTAGATTGACTGTGTGATTTGTGGGCAAAACGTGGCAGCCAGTTTGCGTACAGCAGTGTCCCCCAAATAGCCATGAAGTGAGCAGCCAGTCTTTATTTGGGGGATTGTTGGCCCAATAACCGGGAGAGAGAAACTCTCTTCTCTTTTGAAATTGTGCCACAGAATCTTTAACGTCCAGGCAGACGATACCTCAGTTTAATGCCTCATCTGAAGTACGACACCTCCGACAATGCAACACAACCCCAGCACTGCGTTGGAGTTTCATCTTAGAGGACGTGAATCCAAGTCCTGACAACGGAAAAGGGACAATGATATTTAAAGGGACAAAAATGCAAATAGGAGGGAGACTGGGGTAGGGGTGATTTGGTGTTGCGTGCCTTAAAATAATAATGATGATATCAAGAATATTTATGTTCCATTGATTTGATGGATCGCTTGTATATAATGTTGAAACGTTCCCACAGCGCTTTGCGGTGGGGATGGTTGCTATCAAGCAGTGTAGTGACTGTGTATTTGCAGGCAGACGCTTCTCGCCCGTGTATGTAATCCACCCCACTAACCCAATACCGATCAATAGCTCAGCACCCTGCAGCCACATGACTTTTAAAGAAACAATGACATTTAAAAGCATGATAACATTTACAGTGACAAGGACCAACACAATGAGAGGGAGAGGGGCGGTAGGATCGGGATGTGAAGAGTTAGTGTGCATTTTTTGTGCCCCATAAAAATAACAAATATGAATATTCATTTGCTACTGATTCGCCTGGATATGATGTGGAAATTACTATTTTAGAACAAGCACTCCCCCCCTATTTGCCTGAAAATTCACAGTCACCACACTCGTCTTTAACAACAAGCAATAATGATAAGCAATCAATAATAATAATTATTAAAAATATTATTTAACAATTCTTCCTCTTTACCAAATCTGGAAACTACAGTGCAGTAGGACAGGGAGCAGTGCTGCGCTCGAGTATATATTACTGCGATGGGAATATATAGCATTGGAAAATAATTCAAAACTTTCTTAAAGTTGCATTGTCCAAAAATGTCTAGTCCTGTCCTGTGTAGGTTTAAGCACTCCCTTCAACTTCAAATGAGCTGGATGCTCATTTGTCCTTGTTTTCTCTGACTCCTGTTGTTAAATTAAATAACGTTCACAAGTAAAAATTGTTTGCAGTCCAACTTTTTGTTTTGTTTGCAAATATCATAGCCCGATCCCACGACCTTCACAGCAATGTCATGTCACACACCCTCTCTCTCTCTCTCTCCCTGAGGGACACACCCTGCTTACCCAATTCCAAGAGTATTAGACTCAGGTTTGGGGACCCCCTAAGTGTGCACGGGGTGTTGCTGGAGTTTAACCAGCTAAAATCACATTGCTTACCATTGAGAGAGCCGTCTGGCAAACTTTCCGCTCTGGTGCTTCTCTGTTCCATGTTGCTTCACTAACCGTTATCTTATTAGCATCTATTGGACCTCTATAGATTGCCAACGCCTTCAAGTAAAAATGAGGCATGCTCAAGAGATAAGAAAATGAAACAGCTCCTTACATCTTGACACAGCGCTTCCAATATTCCAGCACCGCCATCTCCCTAACATTGCACTGGTGGTTCCAGACCGTGAGGTCAAAGTCATGGAGACCTGTAGCATATTGGTTAGAGCTCTTGCCTCGCAAGCGAGTGGACCTGGATTCGATTCCCATATGGGGGAGAAATGTTAGGCATATTTACTTACTCCACACGCCTCTGTTTACCAAGCAGTAAATAGGAACCCAGTTGTCAGTTGATTGCAGAACGCTTTTCTGGGGGTAATAAATCCCCTAAAAACAAAAAAAATTTGGTTGGTTACTTCAATCCACGACTGTTTGTGGGACATTGCAGTGCACAATTGTTAAGAGGCGTGCTCACTGAGAGGCGAGAGTGGTACAAACAGAGTGTGCCAGACAGACACCTGGGTTTATTGTGTTTGATGTGTGAAAGCTTATAACATTATCAAGAAGCGCAACTGATTACAATTAATATCTTACTTTATCAACAACTCCAATCGCAATGAATGGCTCCTTGCATGTTGCGTTTATTCCTGTGGATTTCTCCTAACATCAACATAATTACAGTAAGCAAATGGAAATGTTTATTTCCTGCGAAGCAAAGGGTATTATTTTCCTATCATTGTTCAAGCATCCACATATTTAAATCCAAATTAAGTGTAGCGGTGCGGCTTTTACAAACACAATGGAAATTAGGTGGGTGGACATGGCTGTATTTCTTAATGGGATTTCTTAATTAAGAGATCCAATTGGGCAGTCTTTCCCCTTCCAGAAGTGTGTCACGCCAGCTCAAGGGACCTCGGCTCTGAACACAGACTGAGCTCTCAGCAGTGGACGTCACCAACATAAGATTTCTTAATTTCAGAGTTTTCATCAAGAAATATCACAAAATTGATCCTCTTCCATGTTCCCCACCCCACCCACACACACACACACACACACACACCCACACACACACCCTGAGGCATTTAGAAACAGAAGTGGCAGACTTGTGTACTCTCTCAAGGTTTTACCTGGAAACACTGTTCAGTGTTGATGTTATTAGAGTCAGTTGTCGTGTCCTGTAGCTTAGTGGTTAGTGCACTTACCTCCCAAGTGAGAGGATCCGGGTTCGTTTCCTGGGGAATGTTGAAACCTTAAACAAGTTTGCTTACTTCACACGCCTCTGTTTACCTCGCTGTAAGTTGGAACCCGGTGGTAAGTCGATTAACGATCGCTTTCTCAACAACGTGATAAGGCACTATATCAAACGCAAGGTTTATTATTATTATTATAATAATACTTACTTTGATATTGCATCTTTCATCTCTGGAGTATGTCTCAAAGTGCTTGATAGGAAATATTATAGTATAGTGACTGGGTGTCTTGTAGGTTGAGCATGAAATGAAATCCCCTCTAATGACCAAACGACTTACTGCCTTACTTCACGTCCCTGAACCTTTGTCCTGCTGCCTGTGCGAAGCTGAAACAGTATTAATTGTTAGCCATCTAGCCATCAGCATATGATAGACCCCATTAATTCAAACCCTGTGCACGACGTACATTCGAAATTGCATTGTGATACATTGCTGCATAAGGTTATATATCCTTCGCAGATGTGAAAGGTTCCAACGTAAATCACAAGCCATTTGTATTGCCCAGTATGCCAAGTTAGCTGGCAACTCTGACCAATTACATCAGTGTTAAATTAATAAAGAAATGTCAAGTATTAATGGGAGAAGTCTTTAAAGATTTACTTCGCGCAGAAGGGATGGGGATAATGCATTGCATTTGTTTATCTGTTAATGGAGACGCAAATTTTGTATCTATGCATTCTGCCTCCAGAGCTATGTTCCTGATATAAATCTTCTGCTGCACTAAAAATACAAGTAAAGCACATTAACTGACGTGTAATTACGGCTTGCTGTTTTTTTTAACCTCCTTCTGCCACTGTTTGTTGAATGTCATTTGGCTTTCTGCGCCGGCTCACGTACGTAAAGCTTCGGTGTGTTTGATGTGTCCAAGTCGATACAGCCTTCAGTGACTTCAATGACTGGATTTCCGAATGGAGAATAATTGTAATAATCCTTGCATTTGATATAACGCCTTATCACATCTTCAAGACATCTCAAAGGGCTTCCCAGGATATA